TTATCAGGCCGAACGTTTCAGAAGCCGTTGCCTTTTGAAAATTCTGACTGGCCCCCGTAGCACTGTTTCGAGTTACTACCACCAATATAAATAGTGTGCCGTACTGACTAAACTCGACAGCGTGGAACATTACAAAGTATACTTGAATGAGTTTAATTTCTATATTTTTGATTCAATATTTTTTGCACCTAAAGACATCGCGGCACATAGTTTAGGAGCCACAGCCCTAAGTGATTTAAACCAGCTGTCGTCAAACAGTTTAATAAAAAATAAAAATACAGGATAGTTTATAAATCAAACCGAAATTTTGCAGTGGGAGAACGAATGCACTAGAGCAGGCCTGGGCAAGTTGCGGCCCGCGGGCCACATCCGGCCCGCGGCAACGTTTTATCCGGCCCGTGAGCAAGTTTCTAGATTTAGACACTTTCTTTTTTAATTACATATAAAATATATATACTTTGATTGCGAACAAAAGGATTTTTAGGACAATGAAAAAGTCGATATTAACATTCGACTAAATTTCTATTAAATCGCCGATTGTTTTCGTCAGCTCGAGGTGTTACACTTTTACGTCGGGGATTAGTCTCCTCAAGTCACAAATTTTCCTCAACATATATATGTCTTGTATACGGAACTGTGAAATCATTGAAAAAAAAGAGTTGTTATATAATCATCGGCGACGAGATGCTAAAGATAAATAAAGGAGTGAATCTGCAAGCAACCTAAATCTAGATTTAGAGTGGCAATATAAAATACTAAAAATTGAACAAAACAAGTTATGATTCAAACGGCTTGCGACAGATTAAAAACGCTTTTGTGAAAATGGAAACTAAAAAATTTCTGGTGCCCCCGGCACACATTTTAATTGCGTAGCTTTCGTGGGCGCGATGTACCTCTTGATCAATTCTAAAACTACCGACGGGGCCAGTTGTATAAGATAATTAATGTGAGGTAAATTCAATCGATTTTTATGTAACTAAAATGAATTTTACTCGGTATTTTTTTTATCGCAGGCGTAGGGATTTTTCTGATGGTAAAATCTTTAAAACAGAGCTAAGTCAGTGTTGCAGAAACAGATCAGATTTGTCGAATTCACGAAATCGCAAAACACGAATAAAAATAATCTGGCACTTTACCTCACATTTTAATGTCCTCGGAATGCGGTGGTATTTCAGAATTGTAATGCTTATATTTTGTCGAAGCAACCGCGGGTTAGGTTGAAAACAACAAGACCATTCAATGTGCCCGTATCAATGCATTTTAAATACATGCAGATGATAGATATGGTAGCCTATATAAAGTATATTCCGACAGTTTATCTCACATTTTTATATCCGCAGATAGCCGTGGTATTTCATATAGTCCGGCAGAATCGGGCCTTAACATTGTTTTGGGACATAAAGTTTTTTTTATTGTTTAGATATAATGTATATGACATATATAATGATACCCAGGTGGGTGTGAAGTATATAATGTTGAGCATTTTTTTCTAAGTGGATTTAAAGTATTCGGTCCAAGATGACGTACATCCTGAACCCTAACCTGGTAAACCTACAATGTTCAGGTTGTGCGCCATCTTGGTACGAATACTTCAGGAGCGCCTTTTTGTTAAAAACAATTATTTCATAACTACATGGTTTAGTTTTGCATACATATTGACATTGAATCTTCTTACAATGTCAGAAATTCAATTTTAGTAGAATAAATGGTAGTTTATTGCACTAATACAAGCCAAGATCCATCGACAGCATCTAGCCACATTCTATTGCGCTCTTCAAACTACATTTGCGTTGTCGCGCGCATTTCGTTCTCCTAGTTTAAGCTTAGGGACTTGGAAAATATTTTATTAGTTGAATTGGATTGGAATATTTGACCTCGTCTTTCACTCCGAACAAGACCATGTAAAACCATCATTCACTGGTATCTAAAGATGTGTAACGTGTTTTCTTTTCGAAGAACCGCAACCTTTCAGTGCTGCATTGACTTTGGCAAAATTAATATATCCTTGTGGAGATAGAAGGTATGCGTATGCGAAACCGAGATGTGCACTTGTTATGCCAACATAGTTGAGACAAACGTTTTGAATACTAGTACATCACACACATTTTCCTGCGTGCTTCGGTTGTACGTAGTAACGCGCACATGCATCAAATTCCACTTGATTATTGAGCTATAGATTTTTGACGAGCTTTTGTGTATGATTTCATTCCATAGAATTTGTAAGCTGTTCTAAAGAATACTAGTTTCAGCTTTTTCATTCATTCAAACCGCGTGTTGAAAGCAAGTTTTGTAATATTGCGTGTTGGTTTCCAACATCCTTAAATCGGTGATGCCAGTAAATCTTTACTACAAAAAGATCAGTAACATCTGCAATAAAAACAGCAGTACCCACTCAAATGACAGCTGGGGAATGGATACTCTTAATATCTTCTCCATCGCGTGCCTCTTACAGTCTTACCAGTTTACATGAGTGCCAATTGGTATCTAAGCTCAGCCAGAGACAAAAAGTTCGGACTGCAGTTGGCGTGACGAAATGTTTTTAAATATATATATTCTACAATAAGATTATTTGATTGCATACCACTGAAAGTTCCGCCTTAAATGTCTTTTCCCATTGCACTATTCCTTTACCGATATTCGATAATATGACGCTCATCTGACATAGCTCTTAAAGTGTGTAGGTGGGTATACTCTTTTCCACGCTGTTCAGATGGGAATGCACGAATATATATAAGACTTGCTAATATTGGTTTGCAATGCGATGAAATCCCATCTTGGCATTTCTGCCTTTCGCAATTGCTGCGTATGCTCATAGGGGAAGTGCTGTGGTGTGGTTATCAAATGAAAAAAAACATGGGAGTTTTTTTTTTCTACTTCTCTTCTTCTATCAAACCTTGACATTTTGTAAATAATTTTTTCCATGACACCTTTTTAAAACATCCCCAACAACCACAATTAACTCTGTTATTAAACATTCGAAACAAACACATAAAATCATCAACAGATGCATAGATATTGCTGAATTGATCTTTATTTTACCATTTTTCATGTAATACTTTTTGGTAAACCTGTTATCTATCGTAAATACAGCACATTTGACAATGTTGTAGTGTGACTTTTTTGGCCTCACATTTTTGATATTTGTAGTTAGAGCTCTTGGAGCTCTGTCAAACAAAGTTACATACAAATTATTGGTTGTAAATTGCAAAATATGATCATGTTGTTGGAATAACTTGGCATTTTACCACCCGTATATCATTCATTGTTGAGAATATGAATAAAATCATGAAATTTAAAAATTTGTTTTCGTGAAATTTTTGTTGTAGCTGAATTCCAGGGACAGCAGGACAACAGGCAAGAGAAGCACGGCCGCCTCTTTTAGTTTATGACAGGGTTTCTTAAAAGGGGACCCGTCCTCTTTGGAGGCCGCTGATCGGTTATCTGGGAGCACGAACAAACAGATGGAAATGCGAATATATAATAACAATGTATTTTTTATAGAAGAGAAGAAGCAAAAGTGTTGAGAGTCTTTGGCAGTTTGATAAGCATTGGCATGGAACATAAGAATGAACTACATTCTTTTCCAGGAATATGCTATAAAATGTAGAATTTTTCACATTCTTGTTCTCGTGATATCCTTATCTTTCACTGCGTCGTCGTGATCATCCCGCTGCATAACTATTCTCGCTAACAAATAATTGACTATTCTCCACCGGGTGTATATCCACTTGAACCACTGGAGACTGCATTAGCAGGCTTGTATTGTTAATTGCAACAAAAACGGGTATTTTGAAATAATACTCTTTATTTTACGCGTATGTTTCGACAGTATTTCCATATACTGTATATGGGTCGCGACCCAAAGCTGGGCTCAACAAATACCTAAAAGTTATTGAATTTATTTCCTGGTAAATTTGGTGCTTGCGTAGTTTGTGCACCAAGATTGCGCACAACCTGAACATAGTATTGTAACAGGTTATTATTCAGGTTGTGCGTCATTATGATGCACATGTTTGACAAAAAACAGTAATACAAATATCTAAATAAATACCTAAAAGTTATTGATTTTATTTCCTAGTAAATTTGGTGCTTGCGTAGTTTGTGCACCTAGATTGCGCACAACCTGAACATAGTACTTTAACAGGTTATGGTTCAGGTTGTGCGTCATTATGATGCACAGGTTTGACGAGAAAACACTAATACAAATATCGAGCCGTAAAAAAATTGCTCAAGGCTGCAAACTCCACACCCATGTAGAAATAATGGGCAATGACCCCCAGATGAATAATCACAAAAAAAAAAAACTTTATGTCTGAAATCAGACTTGGGCCAAAAAGGCCCCCTTATCTGCCGGACTAATAGCAGTGCATCCCAAACTTTTAAGCTCGCAACGCCTTCTAATGCATTAAAATTTCCGCGAACCTTGTTCACCTCAAAATGCTATGACGACAGCAAAGTTATATGAATCACGATGTTTGGCCACCAAAGGCATGGCCCTAATTCCGCATTCAAACAAAGAGCAACATATTTTATTATAAATTACTGATGTAAGTATCAATCAACGACTAACATACCGGTATCAATACTTCCACAGAACTTACTTGACTTGTAGAAACTAACGAATATTTGTACATGGAATGATCTTAAAATCTGCGTATGGAGGGACAGCGTATACTTCCTAGATATGATATGTTATAAATTTTTCTCTAAAGTTCTATGAGGATTGTTATTTTGCGTCACAGGTACAAAATCTTCTTACAAAAAAAAATTTAACCGTAAATTGAAAAAAAAAAAAAAACGTTTCAAAATTTCATACAGTAATCGACCTTGTGACAAGGAATTGTGTTTATTATTATATATATTATTTTCACTCTAGCTAAGCCTAAATTTGTATTCTCAATGACAACCACAAGTTTTCAGAAAACAATGTCCGGTTGAGTGCCAAACCATGAGCAACTTTCATCCGAACACGAGTAGCACTACAGAGCAGCATGGGGATCTCCCCAGCGGAAAATCCACTTTGATAAATTCTGTTCGTCAAGAATCTTATGCTTACCGCCACGGGACTTTGGTGATTTTTACTAAAAAAGTAGACCACTTACCCAAAAGGTCCATATAAACTGGAATGTCGTTTGATTGGTTGCCATGGTGGAATCGCTGATTAGCAACGTGTATCAGTGTATGGCCATCGTCAATCGAGTACTTCTATCTGTCAATTAAACAAACAAATATCGATATGTTCCCAAGAGAATGATATTTTGTTTGATACGTCTGTAAATAAAGCGCGGACGTCGAGCAAGACGGTTCACAAATCTGTATGTTCTCTGAGTTTTGACTCGATGCAATCTTCACAACATTATAAGGAGCGGCGGAGTCGGCGGTCCTCGGAAACCATTGTTTATGACGATGGAACAAACACATTTTTGTGGTAGGAATATAATATATAGCATTAACAATATAATAATATGAAATATATTAGTATTTTTAATTGGTAATTCATGCATTGAAATAGGCTCATTCAGGTTGTTATCTTTGTTTGTATCATTAATTAGTTCTTCTCTTTTTAATTAAAAAGCCAAAATAACTTGCTCAATTTTACTTTTATACTCTATATTTTAACTAGAACTTTTTAGATGAAATATATTCAATATTTGTGATGCAGTTTCCATGAGATGTACGTTATATATAATGTTATGAAATTTTTGTGTGGCATGCTAGTCTTAGATTCACTAGGAATATGAAGTTTGGAATATTAACCAGTTTTTACAGAACTATGTTATGCTTAACAGACCTGTATTTCAAGCAATTTCTGTTCTAGTTATTATGGAGTATTTTTCAGGGTCTTAGTGTGTTTGGTACTGAGATCGTGGGTTCGTACCTGTCGAAACCTAGAAATTAAATTCAATGTTAAAGTTTTGGACTAGAAGATGTGACTATACCACTCTTGTGTTGAGAAAATTCTATTTGGAATTTAAATATAAATTCATTCATAAGACTTTAAAATATAATTGTATATTGTTTGTATTATTTTTACTGATTTGAACTGTTATGATATATATTTTTTACACAGGCGGACACACACAGTTCTTTCTCTTCTAATTATTATCTCATTTTTAACTTATACTGTCATTACTGAAGAAGAATCACAAGATGTTGAATACAATGTTAAGAGGTAAAATTATAGAACTTTGGATTTTTTTAAAAATATGTTGTTAGGGAATTTATTCAAAGGTGAAACCATATGGGCTATACATAATCACAGGTGGCGGGATAGAATATTTTGAAGTTGTATAAAAATTAATGCTATAAGTTTCTGTACTAGTATATTAATATAATTATTTAGAGGATTTCAGTTCTTTTCGGCATAGCATACAATATTTGTTTAAATTCATGCTAATTATTTTAACACAATTCATTTCAATGCCATATTGCATCCATATACCGGCCCACACATTTTATTCAGGATGTAGTAAATGGAGTAGGCTGTGATGAACTGTAAATATACTGATCGTTGAATCTGAGTGACAGATTCTGTAGAGCTATGTTTCAAATATTGGGTGTTGATAATCATAGAGGTATAATATTAGACCAAACCAGTAAAAATACAGTAGATTGACTACCATCTTAAAGCAATATAGTCATGCCTGATTTTTGGTGTAGTTTGGTCACCAGTTGGTTACCAATAATTATTACGGTACTTGATTTATTCTACCAGCTTTGTTATGCCACCATGTAATATCAAGTCATATTGGCAAACTTCATTTGACATTTTTAATAGTCGCAGGATTTCAAGGGTAATCACATAGATATGTCATGATTCTATAACACAGCAATTATCACCTCATATCGGTTTATTATTTATTATTGTGATCAATTGAATATGTGACCATGTAAAACAATAAGCTTATGTATTAATGATGATTTAATCAGATTACTTTAATCCCTGAAGCAAAAGCAACTTTGATGTTCACATAGCTATTGCAACAATCAGTATTCATATGAATTTATATCTCTTTTACTTTTTATAATTGACAAGTGAAAAGATATGTTGAATTTTTTTTGTATTCAGAATCTCACTAGAGCTTGTAGGCCAAGGTTTATTTTCTTAATCCATTTTTAGCAAATTTCAGAATCAACTTATACACCCTACCATATATAGCATATTTCTGAGTTATGGTAAGTGGTTTTCCCAGATGTGAATGCTTTAACCTTATGTGATTAATTTGGTTGCAGAGGAATTTGTGCTGGAGTTTTTATGTTTCTTGCTATCGGTGTAACACAAGTGAAGGATGGACCATTCAAAAGACCTCATCCTATATTATGGAGATTTGTATTCTGTGCGAGCATACTTTATGAAATAGGAATATTGTTCATGTTATTTCAGGTAAAAAGTGCAAATAACAATTTCAAAAATAATCCTGAATAGGAATACAATACTGTTACATTACATCCAGGTGAAAATTCTAAAAACATTTAGTTTGTGCCCATTTAAGACTGAACATTTACCAATATTATATGTGCAATATAGGATGTCGTATTCAGGCATTGAGCTTCATTAGATTGTCTGTCATATTATTCAATACAATATTAGGAATTTACTCTGAAATCTGAGAGATTTTGTGTTTCTTTTCAACAGAAAATATTCCTTCGATAGCTTGCTATATTTTTGTTAGACATATGCTTATAAGTGAGCTATTGTGAAATTTCACTACTTATTTAAACCATTGTTAATAAAATACAATATAAATTTTGCTTTGAAGTGGTTTTGAAAAAGAGTATTATATTGTATTTATCTGCTAGTTAGTTTAAAACATTTTGTTTATTTAGGCCATTCATTACGATATATTTTGTGTTTAATTATTATATTTTACAATAAATCTGTGTAATTCATGTGAATATTCAAAATAGTTACATATATTATAATATTATCACTTAAATTTACCCCTATGGGATATAGTATTATTCTTTAGTGGGTTTTGAACTACTTATATTTAGTGTTTATCATCGGTATTCGCCTTGAATTAACATGTGTATTCCATAATCCTTTCTTTAAAATCTTTCATGTTTGCCATTTTTGCATTGTATATGTCAACAATGGAATGAACATAAGGAATGGTGCAGTAATTAATCTTTTAAAAGATAATAGATGAATCTAAAATTAAATTTGGGCGCGACTGTGAAAATTATGGAGCTAATATAACTGTTGTGACTTGTGGTGAATGTTGCATCATTTTTTATTGTAGTGATGTTTCAAATATAACATGGCAAAATCATGCATTCACGTACACACCTGCCTGTTAACTTTCAATGGAAGTCATAACTTTCAGCAAAAAAAATTCATAAACCCTTCCCATCTATAGTTATGTATGATACACATAAAAGGGAATATTCCAATTTGACCGAATGAGCAATCGTAAAATGTCATGCAGCCTGTATGAAATTACTGGTATTTATGTCGTTTGCTTGATACAGTAATAACTTGTTTGAAATAGCTCTTTTTCTTTCTGTAATATACCAAAGTGTCCCATTTTGGCATCTGTCGTAAACACAACAGTAACGTTACACTGCAGATAAATTATTAACAGACAAATCGTTACGTCCCGGTTCCCACGTGCGCTACAGTTTTGTTTATTGAGATGTTAAATTTTAACATAAGATATATTTCTAATTGCCAAGATTGTATCTTTACTAGGAATATCCATATTTTATTACATCAATATTCTACGCTTTCATTTTGCATTTGATTTTGATTAGTCCAATGAATTTATTTTGGAACCAAATCGGATGTATGCAAAATTTGATGTAAATCTAAAGGTCACTGAGAAATGTCAAATTATACATTGAAAAAGTGATTTTGATTATCTTAACTTTAGAATCTATCACAATTTCAATAAATTTTTTGGCATCTGTAATTTCAACCACAATTTAAAGACTATCCTGCGATACAATACAAGTATTGTATGCTTTTATTTTAATATGTAGTGTATAGCACCAAAGTCCACATTTAGTCTATTTTTTGCAGTATTTCATAATCTTAAAAGTAGGAAGGTTTCTGGTAGAAGAGATCCTGTCACAATATGAGCTACAGGCAAATTTATTATCATTGTTTACTCATTAATATTTATTTTAATTCAGTCTGTGGACCATGCACGATCTTTCCTAACATATATTGATCCTGATTTGAACAAACCTCTTGATTTTCGAGCTTACGGCGGCAACTGTACAATATGGGATGCAGAGAATGAGCGTGATCCATTGCACAATGTTATGGTACAAAATTTTTCAATATTTGACTCTATTTTTATTGATAGCAACTTTCATATTTTTATTAGAAGAAGATAAGTTACAGAATTTCTCCTATGAAATATTTTTAAATACTTTTTCTTTTTATCATGCTATTAATGTAATGATATCTTCTATTTGGAATATGTATTTTTATGAAAATTGTATGAATGTAAATTATTCACTGGTATTCTTACTAGATAATAAATTTGAACATCATTGTGTGTGTGACAGGGCAGTTGTAAAATTTCCTTGAGATGTGAGGCTTTTGTAACTATGTCAATTTAACAGCCATGTCACATCTCACAAATTGAAAAAAAGGGTTATTTGGCAAGTATGCTTGTTTAAAAACGTGTTCGGAAGTTTTTCCAAAGGAAGCGAAACAATGATACATTATTTTATTGATGTTTGAAATTTCAATAAAAAAACAAAATAGTATCTAGATCAGTGGTTCTCAAACTAGGGTTTGAGAGCCGCATGCGGCTCTCAACAACCTTTCCTGCGGCTCTTGTGGATGCTTTAAAAATTAACTACTTTCAAAAAAAGTTTTCATTGAAAACTAATCATTGACTTGAAATTAAAATGCGGAAGTCTACTAGTTAGTCGAATGGATTCCCCCGTGTTCATTTGCATAGCGTTGAGTAATCTACAAGATGCAATAGTGACGCAACAGTAGCGTTTTCGCGGCCACTCGGACACTTTTCGCTTGGAAATATTTTAGACATGACTGTAATCATTGACTTGCTTTCGTGGATTTTCAGTTTTTGTCGCATTTCCGAATATTATGTATAAATCAAATAACTCAATGAATATTTTAATTTATAGAGCTTTTTAATTTTGTTCCAGTAATCGAAAATAGTCCCGAAATATCTGGCGATCATCTCAAGCAGCTACTGCACCTTGCATCCTTCATGATTTCGACCCGCTTTGACAAACTTATTAGAAATCAAAGCCAAATTAAATGGCTGTTAGTCTAGGGTGAGCAAAATCGAATCTTTTTTCGAATCGAATAATTTGAATATTTTTAACGAATACCGAAAAGTCTGAAAATATATATATTTTTATACATAACAGGTATCCAGAACGTCCAATAAAGCGTTTTTTTATTGCTAATGGTTAATTTCATCATAATCGCTCATTGTCTTTGTCAACGCGATCGTTTCGGCGGCGATATCCTAAAGTTGGTATTCTATATTCCCGCCCTTTCCGTTTTTTTGCAAGAATGAGGGGTCGCCGGATATCAAAGTTTTATATTTCTAGTATACCCTTGCGTTAACATCAGCGACAGCTGTTGAGTACATTAAGGGCTGATTTCAAAACCAAAATAATTTAATTCTGAGTTTTATCCTCTGCCTTGGATTTGATCTTTCTTATCACCGCTTGTAAATTAACCGTGCCTGTTTAAAGTGAACGGTGACCGAGATTTTTATTAGATAGAGATATTTATTAAAATGATAATTGAGTTTCTCACGCTTTTTTTATAGTGTTCGTGTTATTTTAGTATTAGATAGATAAACCTAGCAAATTTACGATTGCGTGAATCCTGAATGTTGATTTAAAATAGCAAATAAATAAATTGGCATTTTTAGGCCTTTGTGCTTAATAGAAGGTCAGACGCTAATTAAGACTAATTCCTTCAAGTTTTAACGTTTTTTACAACAAAACAACACCCCGATGGTAAATATAACTAAAATACTAACTAAGTAATGCTCAATTTTCTTTACGGAATTTGCAAACTCAGCACTTTACTCAATGATCTTGAATATGTCATCCCTTAAGGCTTAATTAAATATTACTGCCCAAATGCTTCAAAATTCAACAATTGTAATCATTTTCGATGATAATAGACGCAACAATTCGTGAACGAGTCAGTGTGCATTGTTACAACAAAATTCTTTACGTTCTACTCTTGGCTAAACGGCCATGCATGGTTGAGTAAAGTGTTTACATATTCGAAACATTACTTGGCCAAGGATGGGAGGGAGGGATCACTAAAGAGCCAATACAAAGTGCTTTGAATGAAGTAGGACATGACATTTCATATCTGGTTACAACTTAATGAGTGTTTTTCATACAAGTAACTCATACCAGCCTTTGGAAAAACTTTTGATCATTTTTAAATCCATGCTACTTATATAACTAGAGTTTTCTAACCACCTAAAATCGCCTTTTTCACAATGAAACGCCGAAAAGTCATTTTAACATTTAATTTTAATCAACTTTATGTTCGGTAATGCAAGAAATGACTAATGACATGTCACCAAGCAATCAGAGTTTAAAATCTGAGAAATTTATTTTAAATACCTATTCTGGTTTGACGATTCTAAATTGACGGAACGGTCGGTCCAGTTTTTTTTTCGAATATTTTGCCCAGCCCTAGTTTTTACGTGTGTTGTTGTTACGATGACTTTGTATTTTAATTACGCGCTTAAGGTTTGTTGCTATTTTACCTTGCGTTGTTTGTGCGCGGCTCTTAATAACTTTAAGGTTTGAAATGCGGCTCTGGGACTAAAAAAGTTTGAGAACCACTGATCTAGATAGATCTAGTACCGTATTTACTCGAAATTACGCCTATATCGCGAATAGGCCGACTCCCTTAAAATGGCGATTTTATAAAAATTCGCGAATAAGCCGGTCGGTCCTTCGAATCGTTACACGCGGGACGCCTTAAGAAAAACGTAGAAAGAGAACAAAATTACTGTAACGCAAACATTTCTCACGTTTATCGTTTCAGCATGTTAGCGACGGTCGTAGGTGGATTATTATACGTAACTCTTACTTTATGTTAAATAAAGTCTATATTGCTTTTCAGTGCGTCGTGATCGTGTCGGAAGTTTAAAATAGAGTTCCTGAATCAGCATAAAACAATTTCCTTTGATCGCCACAACGGCGATTAATTCCGTTCCTTGTCCGTTTCAAGGAAAGAAATAACGCTGTATTAACACATTCTTATAAATCGCTACGAATCTTAACACGCCAGACGCCTTAAGAAAGGCGCAGAAAGAAAACAAAATTGCTGTAACACAAATATTTCTCACGTTTATCATTTCTGTTTGTTAGCAACGGCCGTAGATTCTTACTCGTAACTCTTACTTGTAAATTCATGTTAATAAAGACTATTGCTTTTCATGCGTCGTGATTTGTATTAATGGAAGGGTTTGTTGTCAAGAGTTTAAGAGAGTCCCTGAGTCAGCATAAAACAATTTCCTTTGATCGTCCGGTTAATTTCGATAAGACCTTATCACAGCCCCTTAACGGATAACATATCGTAAAGGTGATTAAAAGTCGCGCGCCGTTAATTGCCTATGAAAAGACAATCACACCTGCACAAGCGAACGAAAACAAACCAATCACAGACTGTACAAGCGTCATCAGCTGTATGATAAGACAATCCACCTTCACAAGCGATTGTGTGTGTGCGTGCACTCTTTTTATCGTGAGAACTTGGTATGGTTTGAAGCTTTTGGAATTACCGGCAAGTCAGCATAATATCATCTCGTTGCGTGATCAAACTCTGATGCGCGAATGAGCTGATTTTTTGGTGCAATCTGAGTTATGCGCGAATAAGACGGTCCCTTAGTTTGGCAACTTTTTTTTTTGAGTTTTAAACTCGGCCTATTCGCGAACATATACGGTATATATAATGCAAAAGCTGAAAAAATTCCAAATGCTAGCTTTGCATTGACTGAACTTACCGTACATTGTGTAAAAATATTTATGCAATATTCAGTTTTTAGAACCCTGCCATGCACCATATGTTGCAAATTTTTTGTATTTGTATTCATTGTTCTATTACAGCATATCATACCAAATTAAATTTCTTAAGTAACACCATTTTCTATATTACCGCCTACCGGTATATTATATCTGGGCTTTAGACCCTTATGGGGAATTGACTTACTTAGCAGAGATGTATACAAAATTCATAAATTTTCTAATGAAAATAAAGAACATTTATTTAATGCTCGAACTCTGTTTGTGTATTTGTCCCCAAAATTTCCAGTTATCTAAGGCGCTTAACACAAAACTTATGTTCTCACTAGAATATGTTCCATATGACCTGTGTTTTGTTTTTTTGAGTCACCCTGTAATATTCATCCGTTCGGATCTTTAGAAATTTTCTTATCCAGGCTTGCTCATGATCAGCCTTATATTCATGCCCTTTGTATTCATATTGAAACAAATATATAATATGTTTTTTAAAAAGGTGTAAAACACTATAACACACCTACTTATTGGAAAAGCAACCTTCAGTCTTCTTTGTATTTCTTCTTGTACAGGATAAAATGGATGGATTTGTAGCTGCTCATTTCATTGGTTGGTTTCTAAAGGCATTGATATTTCGCAACATTTGGATGACAACAGTTCTCAGTGCTGTGTTTGAATTACTCGAGTACACACTTGAACATCAACTCCCAAACTTTTCCGAATGTTGGTGGGATCACGTAAGCTTATTACTGAAATTGTTTATTTTCAATTCCAACCTTATTTTCATGATAAGACATTTCATATTTATCCTGATAGAGAGGAAAGTCGATAAGGTGGCCAATACCTAATGTGATTGGTGAACAACTGCCTCCCATCTGCTTAGCATGAGGCGCCAAATTTTGAGCCACTACATAACAATTCCATTACATTTAAACAAATATTGCAAAATTGCTTAGCTGAATGCTCACACTGCAGAAAGGCGAATCCTTTGGTCTTATATTTTGTGCGATCTTTATAGTGCTGTGAGTTATATTTAAATTGTAGCTTCGTTGAGACGTTGATGATCCTTCATGTTTAATTGAGTATGATTCTCCAGTCAACTGCACTTAAATCAATTTGTATTAGAAGCTGTCACTTGTAATAGTTTTCTTCATTTCCTTGTTATCAGTGGATTTTAGACTTCATTGTCTGCAATGGTCTTGGCATATACTTCGGACTGAAGTGTCTCAAATATCTCTCAGTGAAGGAATATAAATGGCAGGGTCTGTGGCATATTCCATCTTACAGGTAAACAGTAGATATTTCATATAATTTCCTATATAAGAAATTTTTAAAATCATAATTCTCATCTCTTCAATCATGGTTACCATCTAACTAAAGCCAAAAATAAGCACGGGTGTCAGAAGGTTATTTTGGGGACGTATTTATCACTGGCAAAATAAAATGAGAAAGAAATCATACCCATTTCTCTTCTGCACTCCAAAGTTTTTTTTATCAGAAGTCGCTTCAAACAAGGTTGCATAACATAATGCATAACATAAACACACACTCTTAAATATTGGCTTTACTGAGAATCAAAAAAGATTGTTCGATGAGTTACGTGGTTCAATCATTGGACGAAATGATTGCTGGTAATTTGCAATATGGAATGCCCACTCACTCTCGGAAGCCGCTACCTTGCAGTCCTTGTAGTTGGGAAAGTTCTGCTTGTAAAAAAGATTTCCCATGAACGTGCCAATGCCATGTGTCTTGACTGACGAACGATTCCACTTTAACTTCTGCAGTATAGTATGATAAATTTCATTCGCCACAATAGCGGTGGCAACAGAATGTCCAATTTTTTTTCAATTCCAAGCGAGTGATTTGGGCTTGGATGAAAGTATAAATTAGATATTTACCGTAGGTAATCTAACACTTATGGATTGAGACTATTTATTTTTCGCTGTTTAGATAATACATGGATACTTGGTTAGGTTTTTTAAAATAGTTTCACCACTTACATCTAAAAATGAAGCAGGCCTCAGATCTGAATTGTATGATTTAAATAAATGATTAAACTTCTACTCCAGATACATTTACATAATCAAATTGAATGAAACATACAAATTTTACAAAAATACAAATTTTTGTGACGGTTTCATTAATGCGCCCACAGTGCCGAGCTTATTGACAGCAGTGGATCTTTTCTATGCCTGTGTAGAGTTAGTTATCTGTATATTCAATACTCATTCGTTTTTGTGTATGACCTTATTACCGATTAGTCGATAGCGAACTATGTTGAAGACTTCAGTCTATCGCAGTCGAGAGAAAGTTGGCCACCTGTGGTTTAGATTAATATTGCTGGCACAATAGCAGCAGTGAGCATAGCACTTGTCGCTTAACCGTTCGACTTTGTTTGACGTTAGCAAATTCTTGCTTACGGTTACTCATTGTCTAAATTACGGGTTATCCCTTGAAAACCCAGCAGAAGCTGTTGTAACTGTGTCACAGTTTGCCTGGAAATACCCGCGAAACCTACTGTTAACAAAAAAAAGTTCGCGCTGAGAGTGAAGAAGACCGAGACACGAGGTAGCAGTGGATTGTGGATAATTGATACATCACAATAATAACACAGAGAGGCGTGATTACGTGTTACATAATGATGTCACGGTAATGATAAAATTCGTCCCTCGTTTCCACGGAAGCTCTTTATATGCGAGACATGAACGAGTCGTCCATGTTTCTAGGACAAAATAAGCACATCATTACTTAATAAGACGCATGCCAGAAAATAAGCACAAATGTTAGAAATAAGCTCGATATGGTAACCCTGCCTATTTAATCAAATGGGATATATAGGATTGTCCCCATTAGATTGAAAATGAGATATGAGCTTTGTGTCCTTATACTTTAATAAATTACATCATCCAAACAATAAGATCAATAACAAAGAATTCTGAGAGATGGACAAAACCCAAATATAGTTTAATACACCATTTTAATAAGTAGTTCATACATCAATCATTACATGAACTAAACATAAATCGGGGGTCATTTTAAGAAAGCAATTTCATCATGTTGGGTACCAGTACCTCTCATTTTTCGAACAAGCAAAGCGTATAGCCAATAGCGCAAACCAAAGGAAATTAAAAACCAGAAGGATATGAATTGTCTCTGATTTGGGCGAATTCGAAAAGATTTCGTGTTTTCATAACTTGCTCAAAATTTTAGCCCATATTTCAGATGCCCATCTATATAATATGCACTGTTATACTTTTCATTAAACATGGACAATTTCAAGTTATCCAAGGGTCCCATTGAAATTAACAAGACAACCTTGGCTTCACTTCTGCTCAGGTAATAAGAGCCAAAGTAGATACAACACCTCTGCTTGTAAACCAATATAAATTGACTGAGTAGGCCTGGATCACTAATCGAAATATTTTTAAAGAGACTGCGACGAATTTAATATAATGGCAACTGGTATGTATCATACAGTGTTTTAGTCTTCAGTCTTGACATCCATATACTCGGATCCATATTAACCGTTTGTAATCAACCAAGGTGAAATTAATCTCACATATTTCCATTTTTATTTTATAATTTTCTTATAGAGGAAAAGTTAGAAGAGTAGTTGGACAATTCAGTCCTTATAGTTGGGTGAAATTTCAATGGAAACCAACAGAGAATCTTTTTAGATGGTTATTGGTGTCTTTCCAAATGTTAATGGTAAGATTCTTTCAAAATATACATCTGACAGCAATCAATATTACATGCATAAGATTTGGTTCAAAATACGCTAAAGACAGTTTTTTGTTCATGCTTTCTTTACATCATATCATAATTCGGATACTTAGTTAGGAGTACAATGCTAGACCCAAAAAATACTGATCAAAAAGTGGACTCGAAAGCTTACTGCTCGTAGGCACAGATGGCCAAAACGGAATCATGTATTCTGAATATATTCTTAAATAAGATATGGAGTATATTCTGAATTGAATCACGTTCACTGTTTATTCAAATTTTGAAATTCAGGTTGCAGATGAACAGTGAAATTGAATGCAGGCCTTTTTGGCAATGCTGTGACCTGTGTGGCTTTGTTTGCTCTGAATAATAATTTTTGTAAATGGAACTAGTTTGAATTATATCTAATATCAAGAAATTGAATTAACAAATACAGTGATGAGTGATACCTCGATTGTCGAATGACTCGATACAATTCGGTAGTCGACCATATAACTTACAACTTTATTGCTATTGCAGATTCTTCTTGCCGAATTAAACACATTTTACCTCAAGTTTGTGCTGTGGATGCCGCCAGATCACCCATTTGTATTAACCAGACTTGTGTTTTTCTGGTTGTGGGGAGGTGTTGCAGTTCGTGAGATGTATGATTACATGGGAGGGTATGCATTCTATTCATATATTCTTCATAATCACTATAAGGAGTGGTATGTCCATATTATGCATTTTCTATACTCCCTGCATTATTATAATGTCTAATCGCCTGATGAGAACAAAACAGGCCTAAGTCACAATTTTGAGTTTTGAGAAAAACGCCAAAAACAATTTGGAATTTTTTTATTTTTGAATTTCTAGATATTCACACTTAGTAAAGACCTGGGCTCTGGTTATTTTAATGTGGATGTGAATATCTTTGTAATCAATATTTTTTGGCACTTCAGCTTCAATTTCTTCCTGCTTTTTTAACCCCATAATGGACTTTGGCCCATTCTGTTCTCAACAACTTCTGAGTTTTTTTGTATGGAATGCAAGATAAAACAAGGTGACTTAGGCCTAAGTTGCCATGAAGAAATTTTTAGGGATGTAAGTTTTGGACATTTCATTTCTGATGTTCATGCCCATCATATTAGAACTTGGGACTATCTTTTTTCAGTGTTTTGGGGTTTTGAGCCATGCTCTACAAGGTGGTGGTCTTGAAATTCTAAATTTCATAATATTAAAAATTTTAGCTGAACTTAGGCCCATTCTGTTCTTAACTTCTACAGTCCTAAGTCCAGCTAAAATTTTTATTATTGAGAAATTCAGGATTTCAAGACCACCACCTTGTAGAGCATGGCTCAAAACCCCAAAATATTGAAAAAAGTGACTTAGGTCCCTTCTGTACTCATCCGGCAATATGCTGTAAAGTTGCAGAAAATGAAATACACTTAAATCCTCAATGCAAGTATGCGATGCTAATAAAACAAAACACAACTCTTGAGCGAAGGCGGGAAACACATCATCAACTTTTTCACATTGAAAACAGCATGAAAATATTCAGGAAATGAAAAATAACAAGTGGTATTGCAATAAGTATTGTTATCCACAGTAGCCATCCATATGTACTCGAAACTTGACAAAAAAGTAATCCAAAATTGGCTAATTCAGATAGATATGTGTATGAGCGGAAAACCTGGTCCATATTTGTCTCAACTTTCCTTTCAGGTAAATTGAACCACTATCATATTATATTGCATATTTTGAAGTCTTCAATACTATATTCACAGATACCAATTCAGATTCGCTAAGACTTTTTTTTAAGCAAAATTCATGATAAACCTTCTTGATATCTCAAATACAGAGTTGCTCATCAATTCGGTCAACAAGCATGGATGGTTGTAATGATTATCGCAACAGAGTTCCTCATGGTTGTTAAGTTTGGATGGAACACTATCACACTGCCATTCCCAGGATATATCAAAGCCTTCTGGGGAGGTGCTTTTTTACTATACATCGCATGGACAATATGGAAATTTCAGATGAAGTGAGTTTCGTCTCGGGTGAACTATTTGTTTCTTATATTGAATTAGAAACATAAAATTTTTCATGGACATTTACTCAAAGCAAAGTTATATGGATGACCATTGAATTGCCAAGAGCTACTGAAACTACAGAGATCCAATGCAGTGGTTCCCCACCTTTTTTTCGCGACGCTTATTTTTGTAAAATCAAAGACTTCAGATACTTTTGACACCACAACGAGAACAGGAAAAACTGGGAACCCTGAGAATGTTTGTTACCACATTGCATTATATGAAAACCACTGTATAAAAATCTATGATATCGGAATATTAACGGAACCCCAAGTTTGTGGTAAAATCTAGATATTACTATTGCTTCTACCTATGCAAAAATTTAAAATCTTACTCTATTTATCCCATCAGTTTTTTTTTTAATTTCGAGTCCAGAATATCAAAATATTACGGATTTGCTCTATTATTAATTCAAAAGTGAGATAGAGCATGGAAGTTAAAATAGAAAAAAAGTGGTGGTTTTTATTATGCTTCAACTTATTGTTGTTCTGTTTCTTGACTGCAAGAAACGTCTCAAAATTATATATGAAATACAACACACTTCCTATTTCTGCTTTCTATAATGAGATGTTTATTTACCATTGTTAGCTTTTCTTGAAAAAAAAAAAACAGTTCACTGGTCCTAGCCTAAAGATAAACATGTTCAACAGGCAGTTTACTTCTTAGCGTGTTTCCCTGAAATTCAGACAGGATTTAGATTTATTTTCTTTTGAAGAATAACACTATGTTTGTTTGGAAGAGGTCTTTTGTGTTCATACATTAAAAATAAAATTACATTGTAGAAAAGCACGAGATTTTTTAGTAAACATTATATGAAAACCGACATCCATTGTTTTTATTTGTATTTCCTATAAAAAAATCGCTACTCCCGAAGTATGCGCACCAAGATGTCGCATAACCTGAACCCTCACCTGAGTTCAGGTTGTGCGCCATCTTGGTGCGCATACTTCAGGAGGTCCAAAAAATCAAGTGACAAATATCATAATTGTGATATCACACAATCTTGAATAGTGGTGTGATCTCCACCTTACCTCAGGTTATTGAACCTTTCCTCTCCCACACATTTTAAATTTATTTTAAGGGTTAGGGTTTATTTGAAATCATTTTTAAAATTGAAATTAGATCTTATTTTCAGGCCAGGTCTTATTTTCGAGGAAACACTGTAGTTTTGCGATGATTAGCCATTGTTGTGTTCTGTGTTATGTCATAAAAATTAAATGGGTCGCCATAAGCTGTGGTAATAAATAGTGGGTCCTCTAAAACTCTAAAAAGGAACCACGTTCTAAAGCATAGAATTTTACACCCCACAATTAATAATTTATTGACGAGATCAGGCAACGGAAATATCATGTTTCTTCATATTCAATTTTGCAACCCTACCACCGGACAGTGCATCCCTCCTTTTTCTCCTATACTCAGTCCATCTCTCCAAAGATAAACCAGAATATTTTATACAAAATTACCTATTTGTATATAAGTGACATCAACTGATAAAGCAGTTCATATATTTTTAACAGGTTTCCGAGGTTTAAAGCAATGGTCAAAGAAACTACTTCAAAGGCCATTGTAGACTGTGATGCAGGAGAATCCACCAGCAATGAGGAAGAGGGCTTTGACTCAACAAGTTTATTAGATAACAACAGAAAGGCAAAACATGTTCGACGAAGAGATATTCACTCCAATGGAACACATCATGCAATTCAAGATTGAATCGACATCTTTTTTTACACCTTTTGTATTCATTTGGTCCACCATATACCACAATCTTGACAAACTTTGCCCATCATTGAACGCTATCCACCAACTCTGAGAGAGAAATAGATAGATTCAGAATGTAATTTGCTAATTACCTCAAGTATTTGCTGCATAATAAATGCTATGCAATGAGTTTCTGGTTTTTGACTCCTAATCCTTGCAAATATGTCTATATTCTGAATCATTATGGTACAATGACTTGATTAAAGACTAGCGCGTCACACTTAATTGTCTAGAAGCTCTTACTTAGTTTTGTCCTCTCGTCAGCAGAATTCATATGAGAACCTCTCATTTGGAACTCACTTCTCAGATCCTTGTATACTACTATTAGAAACAAATACCCGATAAATTAAGAGGTTTGATAACCTAGGTATTCATATGTACAAAGATAAGTCATAGTCAAGTTTTATTATTTATCAAGTAAAAAAAAGCATAAATAAATCATAGTTGGATGCCGAGTGACAACCAAATCTATTCAAAAGATCAGGAATTCTAGATGTCAAAGTACTGTACCGTCGTTATCTGTGAGTGTATGGCTTGGCAGATGACCAATCAATCTCCAAATCTGATAAAGTCAACAACTATTCCATAACTCAGTGTTTCTCAAACTGTGTGCCGCTGAGCTTTTTGGAATTTTAGATATCGAGCCATTTGTAAATGGTATTGGATCGTTATAATGTATTTGTGGACTTCCAAAATGTTGACGACTTGCTCGCTTAGTTAGGCTACCTGCTTACAAATCCTATTCATTTGTCAGTGTGGAGGCCATTGTAATTGACAACGAAATGTGGTTACGGTTGGCAGCAACGAAACTTTGTTTTAAATCTTAGTTTTCCCCAAAACAGGCACACGCACTGTATTAACATTTGCAGAATGAATTGGTTTAAAGCAATTTTTTACAAGTGTGCCGCAAATTTTTTTTTATTTGCTGAGTGTGCCGCGAGCAAAAAAAGTTTGAGAATCACTGCCATAACTTGTGGATCTCTATGCTAACAAGCCTGGAAAGTCACTGCTTTTAAAAGCCTAATGAATTGCAGTAGAAAACATGAAGTTCAGACTGATTTATTTACTGAAGCATTGAGTAGTACGCTCATGCTAATATTTTCCCAAATAATAAATAAAAAGGGAAATTACTTATAACAATAAACATTTGACATCACAAAATACAACACATTGAAAAAAATAAAAATTAAGAGAATACTTGTCTAAGGTACTATCACCCAGGGCCTGGTATGCACTTTGAACAATCTATGATGCTCGGCCTTCCAGCGTCAATCAAATTTGATAAGGTAGTGAACACCATTCATATCAAGACACAATGCTTAAGCATTTTTTTTTGTGGCATCCCAGTCCAGAGCGTTCTTCCATTTATTGATAATCATGTATAGTACGGAGGCTTCTTTACATTGATACCATATTCTGAAAGTGCTGGTGCAAGATCGTCCAAAGTCAACACATATCTTTAAAAAGAAGACATATTAAATTTGTGTAGATGGTAAACCGACTATCAGTATAAAACTTACTTTTTCTCTTTTGCTTTACTAGATCTTGACTGTTGAGATGATCCCTTTAGCTTGCTAGTCTGAAGAGCATCGTTGATTATATCAGACATGAATTTTTGAGCAGCCAGTGCTAGGATTCGAACTCTATAATATGAAAATTACAACGTTAAAATACGAAACAGGAGCATCATATTTAAAACCTGCATACACATTTACCGATAAATAATACTTACATTCTTCCGTCCGTAGTATCAACACCAGATTTGCTCAAATAGTGTGCAGCAACGGAGTCTGGAATCTGTTCAATCAGAGTAATATCTTTGAATGTAACTTGATTCACAGATTTGTAAACTTAAACACCAATACGTATAATGATTGATAGGTATATTTTTTACAGATTATTTGAGCCGTTAGATGTGTGGACTACTACTATTTTTTGCAATACTTCCATGCTTCCAAAAACAAATAACTAATCCCATACCCGACATGGAATGGTAACCAGACAAGACTGCAAGAGGCAGTGGTTCGCCATATGATTAAGCCGTCTTATCGACTTTTCTCTCCCCATGGATAAATATGTAAATCCCATCCTTCCCCACACAAATTTGCCTAGAGCAAGGTATTGGACCCCAAACTAAAAATGAAAAATATACTGCATAGACGAAAATTAAAACTATTTACTGGAATAGCAAAAGTCAAAATTTATAATCGTTTTGATATTATATTATCACTGTATCACAAAGATATTGGTACTTAAATTATTCATTATAGTACAAAAAATTCAGAGTTGTTGAATAATTCCCAGTACAGCAGTATTTACTGACTTCAGTCAGGATTTATAAAAACAACATGTTAAGTCTGTAAGTTACAACTTCCTGAACTTACAGTGGGTGTGAACTCTTCAATCTGAGAAAGGAAATCTGACATTTCTTCGGAGGTTAATTGTTCAGATTCATCAATGTCCTGCTCAACTCTACTATGTGAATCTCTGTTAACGCCATTCATTTTCAATCAGAGACCTGTAAACGTCCGAGCCAGGTAAAAGAAAGGGTACAGGTATGGTACTTCTCTGTAGAACTACCGGTACGGTACCACTTCATGGCAGCTCCTGCCTCGAACGAACCGCGGCGTCTCTTGCCATGGTTTTATGGCGCTATTCAGTATTCACAAAGTCATGTACCAGATATTAGTTTATCATGCGGAATTATATCTATTTAAACCTGTAACCCAACCTCAAATACATCAAAACTGTATTCATAGGAAAAATGCTCCAACCTAGTTTTCTGAGATTAAATCGAATTTTTGTAAGTATTTATTGACAGACCAACTTTTCTAATAGTCATCTTCAATGTGAACCTTAATCTCATCAGCAAATAGGTTGGGAGTTGACTTCGATGAGCGCATGGTCGTATCGCTCCCTCCCGTCAGTACCAAAATGACTATAAAGAGACTATTATAGTTGCTTTGGTCAATACCAAAGCAATTTTATTTGTGTTACGTATTTTTTTTCGTATTGGTGACTGTTTTGTTTTTTGGTTGACAAAATAATAAATATCTCTCTCTCTCCCTTGTGCAGGCCCCAACAGCCGGCAATTTATGCAGTTTTGAAAATTGTGGCATAACTTTTTTTTTAATAAACACATAGATTCTCGATCTTAATCTAATTTTTGTTGCAAAGATAGGATACACAGACAAAGTGAAGCCACGACCTAGTGGCGCCATACGCGCAGTGGCGTGACATAGCGAGAGGCGATAACGCTTTTTAATAACAGTTCCCTGTCTTTATTTAGCCATAATTGTACCAGTACAGTTTAATGAAAACCTAGCTACTACCGGTATTGACGAAGTACATGGGGTAGACAGGAAATTATGTGATGTTGTAGAATTATCTAGTATATATGTACGCATTTTGTAAATATTGTAAAGCTCAATACTGGCAATATGTTAACCTGAAGAAAAATCTGTAGACATTTCAATAGATCCAGAGATCGGATACCGTACCGTAGATTCCAAGTGATTCAGTAATCTTGTATAGAACTTACCGTATTCGTTTTATTGGTCGGTATAATTCAAACAATGGCTAGTGGTTTTCAATTCCTCCAGTTCATCCCAGGATACCATATTGTTCTATTACTTTAATTTACTTTGAAAAATCCATGACATGGTAAAATGGCTTCTCTTTAACACTTATTATACCCTATCACACTGTCCTTTTATACCATTATAAACTTCTGGCTGAATTGCAACCATAATAAGTTTTGTGGAAATGCTTTTAATTAATTTTTTTTTTGAAACTGCATTGCTTTTGCAGTTTTGGCTGAATCCAGAATTGGAAAAACCTTAGAAGAGTGAGTAATTTGATACATAACATAATCACATTTCACAATAACTTGTAGGGTCACATTTTTGCCAGAACAGTCATAGACCACTTATAACACTATCACCCTTGAGTGGTGCATACCATATATGTGCACACTCTTTAAACTTGACCATTCCCCCGATTTATAGTATGTGGTATCATCACTCAGTGGTGTTGTACTTACATCCAAATTCTTTTATTACTATATTTACATGCAGTGTGTTTCATGTTGTGTTTCTATTTATAGATGTTGTTTTGTCTTACAAACTCCTTTGTACAAACAGTTTTGTATTCTCCATCCTTATCTCTGTTATTACACCCACTCACCCTCCTTGCACAACTGTCTGTATAAGGACCATATTATACGTATTTGATTTACCATATTATAATTTATACCTATCAAATGGGGTGTATGCCGCACATTTGTGTTTTGGGCCAGTATGGTCCAGCATACATCCCGTCTTCAGTATTTATAATTACTAATTCTTTTATATTGCTTTTACGAGACTAATTAAGATACATACAGAAGTAATTTAAATTGGATATCTCAGTTACACTACTGTCAAGGATGGTACCGGTATTCTTATCCAGATATTGATTTAGGTAAGAATCAAAGTTTAAGCTCTTCGGCCTCCAGTCATATGAATCATTTTGGTTTACTTTTTATATCGCTAAGATTTTCCATAAAAACTGTCCTATGTCTGTATATTTATCCAATCTTGCTTCAACACGTGATCTTAATATATCTAATGTAAGTAAAAGTGCTAGAATCAAATCTTCTATTTATTTTCAGATATCTAAAGAGTGTGTTTGTTGAACTAATATTATAATAATGAAGTTTGGTGAGAATTTACAAGCTCATTTGACTCCTGAATGGAGGAGTCAATACATAGATTATGAATTTCTGAAAACTTTACTCTATGACTGTAGAGAAGAAAGTCCTGATGCTGAAATCACAGAAGAAGCAACAGTACAGCGATACTATGCACGATTCGAAGAAAAATTCTTCGCTATTTGTGACAAGGAATTAACTAAAGTTAATACATTTTATGCTGAGAAGCTGGCTGAATCAACCAGAAAGTTTGCAACACTTCAAAGCGAACTCCAAGCACAAAAAGCATCCCTTTTGAAAAAGGGGCCTGTGCGACAAAGAAGAAAAAGTGAATTTCTAATACCCACAAGAAAAAATGTCCAAGTCAAAACTGTGAAAGATCTCAAATTGGCTTTTTCTGAATTCTATTTGAGTCTTATCCTCTTACAAAATTACCAAGAATTAAACTTTACTGGTTTTCGTAAAATTCTCAAAAAGCATGATAAAATGCTTGAAACTGATAAAGGGTGCAAATGGCGTCAAAAATATGTGGAAACAGCCCCTTTTTATACAGATACACATAACTCACAATTAATTTTAAAAACAGAAACAAAATACATAAATGATTTGGAGGGAGGTGATCGTTCCAAGGCAATGAAAAGATTACGTGTGCCACCACTGAGTGAGTTTGAAATGTATCCAAGATGGACGGTCTTTCGAGTAGGCCTCTTCTTAGGTATATTGTGCATGATATTTGTTGTGGGAATAATATCTGCAATAATATTGGAAGTAAAAGTGGATCCATGGCTGGCATTGGACCTTTATCGGCCTGGATTAGTACTCTTCTTGTTTTTATTCTTCATTGGGATTAACACATGGGGATGGCGATCTGCTGGAGTGAATCACGTGCTTATATTTGAAATAGATCCTCGAAATCATTTGTCACATTACCATTTGTTTGAGCTAGCTGCATTAGCAGGGATTCTTTGGGCCATCAGTGGTATATTTTTGATATTTGGCAATTTAGAACCTCTCTCGGATCATTTTCCTGTTTATCTCAATCCTGGATTATTGTACGCGACTTATTTAATCTTTCTACTGAATCCCTTACCTATTCTGTACCATAAGGCCAGGTTTTGGCTTTTACGTCGAATGTGGCGACTGTTTGCTTGTGGGTTTTATCACGTTGAATTTGCTGATTTCTGGCTGGCAGATCAATTGAACAGTCTTGTCTCATTATATATTGACTTTGAATTCGTTGTATGCTTCTATGGCTTTGATGGAAATATATGGGATGGATGGAGAGGCGAAAAAAATTTAAGAACATGTGCTTCATATTCATATGGTCTACGTGCAGTTCTTGCATGCTACCCAGCATGGATACGTTTTATTCAATGCCTCAGACGTTTTTATGACAGCAGAAAATGGTTCCCTCATTTTGTAAATGCTGGCAAGTACTCAACAGTTTTTTTCAAAGTGCTATTCAATGCATTGTTCGTATTGCATTTTGACCATACAGGTGAACTAAACAGTGTATATTTTTATTTGTGGTTAGCTAGCTTGTTTATAAGCAGCTGTTATACGCTAGCTTGGGACATAAAAATGGACTGGGGATTTTTAGACAAAAATGCTGGTGAAAATAAATGGCTACGTGAAGAGATTGTTTATTCCTATAAAGCGTATTACTATTTTGCTATTGTTGAAGATTTTATTTTAAGATTTTCTTGGGTAATAAGTGTTGCAATCACCCATACTTTAAAATCAACTGTTTCCAATGGGATATTAAAAACTGTTTTTGTTATATTGGAAGTTTTTCGACGTTTTATTTGGAATTTTTTTCGACTTGAGAACGAACATTTAAATAACTGTGGTGAGTTTCGAGCAGTTCGGGATATTTCAGTTGCACCACTGCGTGAAGATGATCTTGCGACATTAATGCGTATGATGGATGACGAAAATGGTGTGGAGGATTATAGAAGAAGAGTGCGGGAAGGTGGTTCTGGGGGGAAATCACTAGGATCAAATTTATCTCGCAAAGTAGGATCATCTATTCGTCATAATGCTTCTTCTGGTGTTATGTTGTATGTCGGCAGTGGGGGCTCTGACGAGGAAGGAACAAGTACAAGTGCTATTTGATTGAAATATTATTCCCTTATCGATCATTTTTTGTCATCTAATAGGTAAAATTTATATAATGGTGCTAATCATAGTGCTGTATTATTTATGTTTGAAACCTTGCCAGATTGAGAATACATCTGAAAAAATACATCTTTATGTAGTAAATATTGTGAATTACCGTATAAAGTCATCGAGATAATCAAAACGGTGGGAATTGGATGTCATGGCTAAAATTTGTAAACCAAAAAATGTCACACAATTTTGTGATACATCTGTTTCCATAGTTTAGTAGTAATGATTTTGCTTCTCATTTGCATTGATTCATTGTGAGAGTCTTTCAGTCACTAATTTTTATTCTTCTAAGCAAACCATCTAAAGTTCCAAAATATTTAAAAACGTGAAATCCAAGATTTTACTGTTGCTATAACCAAATATTGTACAGTAAGAGTGTAAGACAAAAATTTACCACGCTTGAATTATGAAACATTCTTTTCTACCATCTTATTTGTATTTTGAATGTATTTGTCAATTCCGTATTTGTTTTTTTTTATGGTATTTCATGGACACTGTTGGAAGCTATTTGCAAATTCGATACCTGTGCATATATATTTTATTCATGAGGGGACTCTCACCTGAAATTGAATTAATTGAGAAAAGGGCACTTGCTTAGAGTAATAAATTCACTATTCTTACATGACCTACTGTTCAGACTTGTATTGCAGCCTTATGGATTTACTATAATATCAGTCATTATGTGAAACCTATGTTTTGTTATTATTTAGAATGGCAAGAGTTTGAATTGAAGTAAACATGGAATATGATGGAATGATCGATTCATTTGTGACTTCACTAGTAATAGAGCCCTGATGCTGAAAGTGAATTAGTGGCATCTTTTTTCCCTAGTTGTTCTGAAACTGTATAATATTAATAATGAATACTTGAGCGTTGAGCCAAAAATGTTGTTTTCCATATTTAAAATAAAAAGCCTCACTTGGAAAAAATTTGTTGTATACCTTTCAATTGCTTGGAATTGTTACTTGTGTTGTTGCCTTGTAAATTTGTTTTATTGTTTTATAACCTATTGCTATACTGCCTACAGCTATGACTTTCTGTGCTGTGAAATAAACACAAACAATGTGATGCCTTTATTATTTATAGCCAATAAATTTAATATCATTTTTGTGTTTCCTTGAATTACTAAGATTGTGGGCCCATTCCTGTTGTACCTATTTGCGGAGCATTGGCTGGATGTCAATAAATGAATCCCCAATAATTACTTTTCAATTTCAATGAATAAGCACTTTTATTCATCCTATTGTTCATTTCCCTGTATGTGTCATGCACATGCACCTATTATTAATAATTTATGTTAAATTTCGCTGAGCTATAGTTTTCTAAATATAGCATGGAGGGTTAATCAAGTATGGTTCATAGGTCAGTAACACATTAGTTGGCAACAGGAATGTGCCGAAGCTTCATTCAAATTACCTACCCCATAATAGCCCAAGTGGGCTACCAAGTATCATTATAACTTTCTTTGATTATGGGTTCAGTGTAAAACAATATACTTTGAACGAATTGAACATTAGAAATACCTGAAAAGGTATTTTTCAATGATTCAGATAATCGAAATTATGATTTCTGTAACCAATTTCACTGTGGCGTCATGGTTTTTCTTTTGAGTAAAATTAACATGTTTTTTGCAAAGTGTGTTTACGTTATTTGATATCATTGTTGGCCACACTTCTAAAATACCAAACTCTTCAAATATAGATATCCCAACATCCCTAGTTATACGTCTCAGTGGAACTGTTATTTGCTTTTCATATATGTGGTAAGATATTTTTTCATCTGTGAGATATTGATTTTTAGATTGTGTTTCGAAAGCATGAGTTTATCAATATTCAGTGTTACTTTTCACAAAACTAAATGAGTGGTAAAATGTATTAACTTTTACCCTATTGCCGTAATTTCTTATTTCATTTTTCTTGTCTGTAGCATGAAATGATATTATTATTAAAATTATTTTTATATTGTTTATATTTGTTCTCTTACATCCGTTGTTGTTAACAGCTTTAATTATTGTTTAAGCCTGTCAAGTCATATGAAATCATAATACATTACTTACCTCCCACTTCTACTGTGATTGGTAAGTAAGACTGATGTATATATGCCTATATTTTCTCTTAAAAATGTATATAAGGCTGTTTTCATTACCATACGAGTGTGATGATTTTGTATCACATGCTCCAGTATATTTATTTAACCTCAATGGGCTAATAAACCTATTGAACCACGTACCTACCTGTACCAGATTGCTAATTCATGATATTTCATCCAGATTTTTGCATCTGATAAACTTGTGAGCCTAGAATGGCTTATCATTATGGTGGTAAACGGTAGTGATTGAAAATACATTTTCTTCATTCATTTCACAGCTAAATTGAAAAGTAGGTAAGCAAAATTTATTAGAATTCTTTTCTTAGATATTAAGTTTATTATTTTACTTATTCTTTTTGATTTGATATACACTTCTCATTAATATCCTACGTCTGTGGTTTTATTCCACTATTTTTTATTTTTTTGCAATGCTTATTGATGCAATTTGCTTCGAGCAAATCATGCAACCCGCATAGAAGTTCCAATTTTGAATGGTGTGCGACCCGCGAAACGAGTTTTTACTTAAGTTTAATCTGGATCCCCCAATCTTTTCGTCTTGCAAAGCCCATGCCTGAGTCCAATTTATGTGTATGACATTACAATGCCCGAAACTAGCTTGTGCGACGTGAAAAACGCATGTCATAATATCAATATCCAAACTTTTTGTGCCTGCAACTACTAGAAAGCCTATGTTAAATAAGGTGTGGCCTGCGGTTTCACCCAGTTACGTTACTTGTATCTGGCCCGCTTGTATTAAAAGTTGCACACCCATGCTTTAAACGCTAGGCTGTCGCATATTGAATTTGTATTCTATTTTTTGTCTTCAGGTGAAAATGGAAGACTTGAGTTGCCCAAGATGCCGTATGACGAAATATAGGAATCCTTCACTTCGATTAATGATAAATGTTTGTGGGCATGCATTGTGTGAGGCATGTGTTGATCTCCTTTTTGTCAGGGAGTCTGGGTCATGTCCAGAATGTGGATTGCCTCTCAGGAGAAGTGGATTTCGAACTCAGTTGTTTGAAGATACAGGTTACCTTGTGTTGTGTTACTGTAAACGGTTTTGTAACTTTTTCTTTTGTACATGGAGGTTTTACTACTGCTGTAGAAGGATTGATTTGAAAAATATTCAGTTTATAATATATTTCTAACTTAATGTGTGTGTTTAATATGCATAAGAAAAAAATTATAAGCCCCTATACATATTTATAATGCAAATCGGGCGTTACCCAATAATGGCAAAGACACTGCTAGGGTACTGTCATAATTCTATCATAAGTTTAAGTGAATTATATTTCTATCTGCAGTAGTATGAGGCAGTATTTACTTTTTTTCAGCAAATTTTCCCGACACAGGGTGATTCATCCCACTTGAACTTTTGTTTGTCAATGATTTCAGAAGGTTGAATAATTTATGACGCACTGCACAAAAGTTATGTTTTCTCTGAGATGTTCTAACTGACCTGGGTTCGTTTTTTCTTTGGGTCACCCTGTTTATTTGAGAAAAGTTGCTCCATTATTCACTTTAAGTTTTAGATCGGATACATTTCTATAGGGAAGATAAATAATATGCAAAATTGCTGTAATTACTAATAAGGAACACACTATTTCCCCGCATATTAATAAGATACATCTCCGGGCCATGACTGGTAAATTGAAATGAGTCTTGGCAGTTGAATCCAGCTCTTTTGATTCAAGGTGTAGACAAAGAGGTTGATGTGCGAAAACAGATAATGAAGATTTACAACAAACAAGAAACAGACTTTGGGTCATTGCGAGAATACAATGATTATCTTGAAGAAGTAGAAGTCATTATTGACAGTCTTATATCAGGCATAAATATAGAGACAACCCGCGCAAAAGTTGCTGCTTATAAGTTCGAAAATGAAGCTTTAATACGTCGCAATCAAGCTCGAATTAGTCAAGAAAAGGCATACTGGCAAGATCAAATAGAGAATGAAAAACGTCAAAATGATCTCAAGAGGCATATTCAAGGTAATTCAAATTTAACATACTGTAATTCATCAGGTTTCTATTCTTCGGGGAAAAAATTATGGATTTTTGCAGAATATTCAATTCTGGTATTGTGATTACTCTTTATCTTTGGCCTGAACTAGATACATGGCTTGCCACTACTCAGGTATGTTCAATATGGTGCAATTTATTAACAATTTATTTAATCATGGGACATCATTGTAGTGACAGATTTTTTTGGAAATTGTCAAGAATATTAAGAGCCTAAGTCTTATTTTGGTGTTTGTGAATTAGGATGTGCTCTCTATGCAATAAATTATTAATAAGATGGTCACTGTTCTATGCGGTTGTGTATTTATTATTTCTTGTCTAAATCTATAGAAATGAACGTAAATATTGCAATGCATAAGAAGGCAAGAGCTGTTATCAATAATATATATATTGAAAATTTTTCCTAGGTTGTGCATGACCAGTCTTGTGAAAATTTCTCAAAGTAAAAAAATGCAGCCGAATTTTTCTGTTGTTTCATCCCGAAGATTAACCTTATTTGTTGAAACCACCTTATACATCTTTCATTTAAGGCAGTTCACACCATTGGGTTGGCGTTTTCATAAGAAAGCTAAGTCAGGTCTTGGGCACCTGAGCTTTTGACACAGATCAGCGGTATACGTTTGACATTCTTGAAGATATTTGTATCAATTTCACCTCTATCCAAACCTAAACACATTGTTTAATTGAGGGTCTCTTTGAACAAAGCTAAGTTTGGCAGCTTCTTGCCTAAAAAATTAGTGACAAATGATGTAGATTGCAAAGCACTTCAATAACTTCAATAAGTATTTCATCATCATCTGTCATTGTCTCTTATTTCCTCCATATTTTGGACAACTGGCAAAGTACTAATAAGTATGTGTTGTGCTGCATACCGAATAAGTTGATTACAAATATTTAATCACACAAGACAATATTAATGATCTAAATATTCTATTTCTTTCAGATGAAATGGAAAAAGAGGCAAATGAAGCCAAACGAATGAAACAACAGAGCCTGTTGGATGATTTAGAAAACAACAAACATTTAACACCACAGCAAGTACTAGAAATTCACAGACAAAAGTTGGAGAACGCTTCAGCCACAAAAACGTTTGAGGAAAGGTTAAATGCTGGCACTGCTAATATCTCAGGACCAGATATGTTATTGAATTTCAGAAACAGCGCAAACACTTCTATATCAGGGTCAAATTTATCAGAAGTAAAGCCTTATGTTTATGAGATATTCACGGAAGATATTCTAGGACCTTCAATGCCTGGAAAAGATGACTTGATGGAATCTGAGTATATGCATCATGTACGAGAATCTACTCCATCTGATATTGGTGGAGGGTATAGTAGCTTTATTGCTTGCTCTCGTGCATTGCAAGATGCATTTACTGGATTAATATGGCGACCCATTTCCACTGTTGAAGGCATTCAATGATTTGTTACCAATGGTTCCAAACATTATTTAATAAATTTCATCGTTTATTAATCCTTCTACGAGGTATTCATTTATGTTCATTTTATGGCGCTACAGTGAGCAAGGCAATTCTTAACAGTTTTATTCACATCGTTTATAAGTTCATCACCGCATTAGCTTAATTATCGGAGCAAATTTAAGTTTGTATATTGTGCATTTTCTATCATTGGTGTGTACTGTGTACACATCAGGACGCAACACAATGTTAAATTAAATGTTCTACCATCTCCCACCCCAGAATAAGTTGATATTGTCGCAGACATAAACAAGTAAAACAATTTTCATACTGCATTTGCTTCAATATAATTATTCCTGATTTAACTTGCAAGGCACCAGTATTTAAATATATTGTTAACGCATTATTAGCTTTTGACAGCCTTACGCATTCCAAAAAGGCACAAATCGCTTCTGTTTACTTGAGGTAACAACTTCCGTATATTTAACCATTCGCACATATTCTCAAAAGAAAAAATATTTAGATGAGATAATTTTATTTCGACTCTATAATCAGCATAAAAGGCGATAAAATGATTGATAAAAGCAAATAAATATAAACAGCTTATGAAATCAGGAGAGCAAACCTTGGATGAGGTTTAAAACGTACAGAATATAAGATGGAAGGTTTCGCCGGAAAGAAAGGATAAATTGTGTCTATGTACGCATATCTTAAAGTCATTTCACTGACATTTAGAAGTATGTCCGGCTGATTTTTGTCTTTGATGAGCCCTTTTTCCTATTACTGTAGCTATTCTTGTACGATTCCTAACACAATGCCACTGGAACTTTGATTTGCACTCAAATTTTGAAAACAACCAGAAACTGCCAAATAGGACACAACTTATTGCTGATTAGTTATTAAAAAACTATGATACTATGAACTCTTAGTACTTGCATTTGCAACAAAATACCGTGAAACCCTAATTAGTTCAATTTGTTGTCCCTTACAGGCTTCCAAGGGCAAAAGAGTAGAAACTTTTATCACGGGTTGGCTCTGAAAGTTTTCACAATAAAAATTTTCTATACTATGCTTAATCGCGCCTTTCGCTCCAAACAAAGCCCTGTACAAGCAGCCCGATATTACCAGATTATTTTCGTTTTCATAGATGGCGCTGGTCAAAATTATAAACTTAACCAGCATTCACGCATGACAACATAAATGTTGAGCTTTTCTTACTCGCGAGAAAGTGAACATTCGAGTAAACTTCGGTTTCTATCGTGTATTGCATTTTGGAACTACCGTATATGTTTTGAAATAATTATTGTTGTACGATAGAGTAAACCACCCAGAGACATTCCTTTATGTGGTTACAACGATAATGATAATAATAATACAAGCGCCTATCTCTTGCCAGGCACTTCAATGCTATTATTTTAAACGAGCTTTTGTCGCAATGCTGCAGCCTATTAGCAGTAGCTTTTAAACGACGGTTCCTAGGCCGCAAAAATCAGATTATATTATATATAAATTAGCAAGCTATGAAAATGTCTAGGCTTGTTACACTTAATTATGTTCATTTTAACATGTTTGAAAGTTTAATTTTCTGCGAACTCGTATAAGCCAATTTTTCGCGATTTAGAATATGTATATTTAAGTTAAACTGGGCCAAGTTTTTATTATTGATAAATTAATACAATTTATGTCTAAACTCGCCTCTACGAATGTGAATTATCCAACAATAGACAACACACTACGCTATAATGATTGGTATGAAATAAACAAGAATATTTTCCTATAGACCTAAACATGCTGAGATTCAAAGATGTGGGACAAATTAAAACAATAAAGGGGAGATAGGAAAAGTATAAGAGTTAGAAAGTAAATTAAAAAAATGGGCCTATTTTTAAATTTGATTTTGATATCTGAAGCGAATTTTCGATCCTCTTCACTTCGCTGCACTTATTTGCTCGTGTATAATTTTTGCGATTTATGGCTTTGTTGGCCTAATATTTATTCTATTTCGGATTTTAAATAGCAATTCTTGAAAATAAAATGAATATGCCATCGTTGATCTCGAGCAAATGTCCGCGGGTACAAATATATGTGGGTGCTAAAATCTATGGGTGCAAATGTCGGTGGGTGCAAAAGCATGCAGGTTCAAATGTCCTGGCTGCAGTTTGCGGGTGCAAATGTGCTGTCATCGAATTAAACACTCCCTTCCGCCGTCCTTTTTACATGAATTCCAAAAAAGTGGAAGCCTAATTATAAACGTCATAGAAACAAAGAAAGGCTACTTGTGTGGTAAGAGTGGGGCAATAGAAATCCCAACACCCAACAAAATTAAATCTGTTTATAGAGAACTTGCACGGGTCACGTGACTTTGTTACTGGACGGCAATAGAACAAAAACGTCCATCTGGCTCCTGTCAGTTGCAAGTCGGATTAGGATAGGATTTACATATTTATCCCGGGGGAGAGGAAAGCAGATAAGACGGCTTATCCATATGGCGAACCACGGCCTCTCGTCCGGTTACCATTTCAAGTCGGGTATGGGATTAGTTTTACTGTATTGTTTGTTTTCGGAAGCATGGACTTGGTGGTGGAGGAAGCCGTAACCGACCAGCGGTTACGTGAACCACCCAACGACGGCGAGGAGTCCAGCAATCCTCTCGCACATAACCATCCCTGCATGGGATTCGAACCTGCGAACCCACGCAGAGTAGTTAGAGGTGCGGTGGCGAGCGTATTCCTAACGCTTAGCCCGTTGAGCCACACCGCCGCGCCGGATTATACGTTTCCGTTTTGTTTGGCTGTTGAAAATGGTTATTTCGTATTGTTCCGTTGGCTGTACGTATAGTATATAGACAACGAAATGGATCTTAAGTTCCACTGATTTCAAAAGATATTTTGAAGAAAGGCAATAGACAGGACCATTTCAACAAATTCTGTTAACTGGTATGCGTTGAAATATTACTTTGCAGTTGTTAGCATAAACATTTAATGTGTCTTTCGACTAGACCTACCACACTTTAAAAGAAGCCGCCTACACCCCTTTTCACTAGAACCATAATACTGTAAAATATTTAATAGAAATTACCCCCGAGGCATCATATCTTCCATTTGAAAGGGCTGTGGAGGCAGATACATTTTTTACTCTAAATTATGGAATGTTACTTCCAGGTTATCTTATCCTTGCTTATAGATATCTTGATGTTAGCGACTCCAACTGACCCATGCACGCCACACTGAAAATTCTCTTGTGCACCGATAATATTAGGCTGTTGAAACCTTCAGACCTTAAAAACAGTCGAATCTGAGCACGATGGATTCATGTGAAACACGTAATATGCATTTATAAGCAAAAATATCCCATCCTGAGAAGCACCGATCCACAACCTCCTGCCTATGGAATCAAAACATTAGACAAATTGGTGTACTGTGCGCATTCACAAATCTTTGCGAATCAAGTGTGCCTTTTGACTAAAGAAAATTTAGCATTGAAATGGTCAATCTCAATATCAACCTAGTATCTGCAGATAAAACCAATTGTTTTTTAAAAATACATTTTCGATGTGCTTTATTTTTCAAATATAATTTATAATTACTGTAAAGTGTGGGATACATTTGGTACCATGAATACCATTTGAAAATTAGCTTGGGTTACACCCCTCTCAAATAAAAGTTTAGACTCTTAAGTCATATCTCATAGTATTCTTTGAACAACACTCGTTGCGGCTAGCCGGCTACCCATCAGAATTTACATTCAGATCACAAAGTCGCAATATTACGCCTCGCTATGTTGCATTGGCAACTGTATCTGGTTGTAGTATCGGTGTCCAACTTTACACTGAAACCTTCACTACCAGACCCACCGAAACAATTTTTTTTTCTTGATAGAGTCGTCTTGAAGTTGCTTTCGTTAAAGCACAATGGACACTTTATCTCCACAAATCCACAGTTATCACAAGTTACTTTTTCATTACGATAAGCATCAATAAATGGATACTGAGGATGTATTATCAAGTCACGCAAGCTGAGGTCTTGTGCCACTGTGCAACTTATACTATTGCAACTTATACTTTGCCATCCATCTATTCCATGGTCGCACCAATATCTGTAAGATAATGGAGAAAGATAGAGTTTTCATAAAATCTAACGATCAAGGAGTGTGAAATTTATGTTCATATCCCACCACAGCCACTAGTCGTAAATGAATTTGATTCCGGGTAGCATATCTTTTTTACCAATGACATTTAAAAGACATTTTGGATCAGTTGTACAAGTACCATTAGGATAGGATTTATCTAGGGGGGGGGGGGGGGGGGGGGCAGTTATTTGTTTTCAGAAGCATGGACTTGGATGGTGGGGAATGGTCGTAACCGATCAGCGGTCATGTCATGGGACCAGGGTGATCAGAGATGCGGTGGCGAGCGTATTCCTAGATGGCGAATTCAATTGAATTCTGGTTATTTTTTCCAGGCCCCATGGTGTTAAACTTTAGTTATCAATTCAACCTTTCACACTTAGTAATAGATTACCTGCTAATTAGGGAAACAATACCTTATACAATAAGGCTTATAGCAATTGATTATTAATTCCTTACTGTCTTACACAAGTCAAGTCTGCAACTGCAAGTAGGCCCACGCGGCCACGCCTAGGCCTACTAATAATAGTAGTTTGTCATCTGCTTTCCATTGAAATGAGGGAGCTTGTGAATATTTAAAGAAATTGATAATGGCACACTATCACCACATTATCACTCACCATCAACGAAGTGCTGTCCGCAAACAGTGAAACACAAGTGAGATGGCTTCTGGACTTGACACCAAGCAGTTCTGCCAATAGGCAATAGATGATATCCACATTGCGCGACGTTAAGGATCTTTTGAAATCAGTGGAATATAACTTAAGATTCATTTCGTTGTCTATATACTATACGTACAGCCAACGGAACAATACGAAATAACCATTTTCAACAGCCAAACAAAACGGAAACGTATAATCCGACTTGCAACTGACAGGAGCCAAATGGACGTTTTTGTTTTATTGTCGTCCAGTAACAAAGTCACGTGACCCGTGCAAGTCCTCTATACACATATAAAATAAAATGTTCGGTTCCGTTACATTTGAACCCACGACAATTACAATTACAACGTTCATTTTTCACGCGCAATGCATAATACTGTACAGTTTGATTTTTACGCAGTTCATCGACACTCGTTCATGCTAGTAAATGTCAGAATGTTTTAATTTTCACCAGGGTATATATGATTTTCGTTAAATAGTTCATATTGTCAGTTCGTTAAGCTTTGTCCATCAATCATTGCTTGTTCGTATCATTATTCAACTGTCCTTAACTTTCATTTTCCCTCTAAATGGCAATGCTCTGGTCTCCAATTTCTAGGTTTTGTCACAGACCTCGTCCTAGAGTTAGACCACCTCTGTAAAACCTGATCGATTCAGAGGGGCATGGACCGGTACTGTCGACTTATTAATACCCGGTGATTCCCCAGGGCTGATTCGTCTGAAATAACACTTTGGTAAATTCGGGTGCGGACGGCGAACGAGAGCGTCAGTCATGAAAGACAGCTGGATTTTGGGTATTGGATAAAAATAGTCTACAGATCACTACAGTTGCCAGTTCGCTTGAAACTTGATTTATATTTTTCATACAATTGTTCTGAAAATACGTCATAAGACAGGAGTATTCGCAAAGTAAAAAGTAATACTGGCAAGCATCGCAGTTGTCGTAGCGCCGGCAGTGGTCGGTCCGTAGAATCACCGTTTAAAAATTTGCAAAATAAAATGGGTACTTAGCCTTCTTGGGCTATGAATGCATGAATTCGAGTCAGTTTTGATGTGAGATTCGGAACGTGGCTTGATTCAAATGGTGCCTTCGTAGATTAATTTGCGCACAATTTCTAAAATAATCACAGCAAGCTATAAGCATCCGTCCGCGAACGTTGAATAACAATCAGTTCACAGTAAACGCACTCGGGCGAGACTGTACTCAGTGTTCACATGCATACTCTGTGGTTTTCATATTTTATTCAAAAAATTTACTGCGCTGTTAATCATTGGAAATGTATCAAATTTATAGTAACAAAGAGGATATATTTAGTATAATCATATTACCACAAGAACCTGTTACATCTTGTCGGGTGGATAAGTCTCAAAGGGAACCCCCGTCTGTGAAACTATGTCGACGAGGGAAAGGACTTATATCATATTTGCAAGGTTAGTGATCAGTCGCAGAAACTGTAAAATGTGAACTACACCAACCGTTTAATGCGATACTTTAGAGCAGAGGTAATGGCTAATTAAATAATTGAAAGGGAGAGCAAAATATTGCGGTCGAAGGATTGAGTATTATATCACGATTGACGACAATGTGACAAAACTCAAAAACAGTGAGAACAGGCTATATCAATAGATTTCTTGATGAATATCAGTTTGATGAAATAAGCAATGGCAGTTTGTAAAATTTTCTCCAGCTCGGTCCCACGTGCAATATTGACATTTATCGAAAACGCGAAATAGTTGTAGAAAGCAAGATTTTATTTCGGACGTTCCGCTACAGAAATTAATATAATATACATGCTTCCGAATGGTATGCACAACCCAAAAGAACCTTGGGCAACGAGGCCTTTTGTAAACCATTTCATTATCATAATTACAATAAAATAAAAACATAAGCCGCGGTATAGCGACTGCTCTGGTAATATTATCCTGATACAGGATGAAAATGAAGTGCTTATTGTAGGAATAATAATCTCAACGAGATTGTTCCAGAAGCCTCATTGATCTCTGAATCGCGATAGCTGTATCCTGTGTACATATTAGTACATATTAGGTGTCTATTAAAAGTAGGTATTTTGAGGAATATGTGCATCAATTGAATTATTGATATATCATTAAATTACACGGCTACGTGTATGAAGATCGCTTGGAATATTTCACCCACGTTGTCTTTTATTTTGACCAGTGAGTAATTTCGTTCTTTTTATATAGATATGTTGGGGGGATCTGTTGTAACTTATATAATATTAAATTCACCCCAGGAAACATGACGGAAAAAATTTTATCTTTGCAATCGCTGAAATAAAAAATAAATAATTATCCGTTTGTGCTTCTCAAATGATTTGCTGAACACTTGCGTCCCTTTTCTGGCTAATGTTTAACTTATTGTTTGAACTGCTTTTTATTGTGGAATCGTAAATGACACAGCCTGGTAGAACTGTATCATCTTGTGAACAGAATATGTTGCTAAGTAAACAACATACACAATCTAAGGATAAGAAAATCCATTCCAGTTTTATAATTTCTGGATTTTGAAATTAGGCGTTGCACTTTCTGATATAAGGATTCAAGATGAATTGTAGCTTATACCGCCGAATGTTCCAACTCGCAGGGGGCGTTTCTTGTTGCCAATTTGACTTTCGACAGTATCACAATTCACAACGGTTAATACTAATAGGACTTTTATGAACACTATACTATGGCTGTTTTCGTTCGTACCTTTTACAGTTGTGTTCGGCATAGTTCGTTGAGTATTATATTACAGGTTTCATTGTTCTACAATAATGAATGTTATATCTGTTTCTAGTTTCCTTTGACTGCCGCATTCGCGTTCGATAGATGAAGACTGTATGTCGTTTAAACGCTGAACTGTATATATGCGTCATCCATCCTTTATTTCCGACTTGTGGCTTCAGAATTTACAGAAAACGCAAAAACATCGCCCACGACCCAGTGATACAGGGTTGATGTTGAAAAGTATTATAATGCCGATCATGTGCTGCCATACCTGGGCTGTTTACATCTAACACCCATATACCGCTGTTTTGAAAATTCACTTTGCTTAGTTCATTTTAGTATTAGATCTTCATTTTACTGAACGAATGTAGGAGGTGCGCGGTGTTCCGGAATAAAGTATATCTAAACTTGAATTTAAATTACTGTAATTCTAAATTTCATTTAATAAACGATTCAGAAACTTTTCGCATAGGATATACCAAATAATTTTGTTATGTATGTAACTGAAAATTGTTATGTTTTAGTTGCTTGAGAGAGACAGCTGTTTATTGGATGATCCAGCAGTAATGAAGCCTAGAACGTGTAGTTTATTAGGACTGTTATTGTAGACGTAATGGACAATTCATACTACACACGGATGTATCGGGGTGGTCGGAGGAGTAGCACAGAAACGTACACATCCAGCAGTGAAACAAATTCCGAGTCATCCGACTATGAGTATCGAATAACGAAAAGGTTTGACGATATACGTAATTATTCCAGTTCAACATCATCCGACGAATCCAGCGATTGTAGTTCGTCCAGTTACGAGTACAGTTGGAGAGAAGCAAAGAAGAAATCTAAAGATTATGAATATGTATGGACAGAAGCTAAGGCGGTTATACCATCAATTACTGCAATACCATGTACGGTGGATATAAACGGCACAAAGTTACCAGCTGTCAAAGGAAGTCGCTACACATTAGTTCCATTAAAGGCCGTTCTTGTAGTAAGCCTGCTGTATTTATTGTGTTTGTTATGTTACTTAAACTAGTATCAGACATTGGCAACGACGATACATTTCTAATATGATTTTAGGTATCTTTTGGTGAACCACCAAGCTTCAATCCTACTTCTTGAACTCGCTATGTAACATTGCACAGTATTTGTCGGCCGTTTTATCTTCGTTAAATAAATAATATGTCGTAACACTTACCTGAAAATAGTTAATAATTGCCCAAATAAATAAGTTCTCTGTAAGAACGCATTCCCATTACGTTATTAAATTTATTAAGACCATCGCTAGAGAAGTTGTAATAGAAAAGTGTAGTTGGAACTTGGAAGCATCAAAATGAAGCACTTGCACTGTTTTATTTAACGTTATACTTGTATTATTATTATTTTTTAATTATCTCAATATTTTGTTTATTGTGAATTTCAGATTCTGTTCCCAAACAATACTCCGGATGATCTAGAAGAGGGTTTGAGGATTCTTGATATTCATCAGCTCACTAAATCTGAAGCCGAAAAACTGACTGAATTTGTTAAATCTCTACATGAAATTGGAACGCGTTCGTTTACCGTTGGTGAAGAAATTTATGTTGCTAGTTTCTCTGCAGGAGAACCCGCCTGTGAACACAATTCATTGAAGGTAAGGTGGAAGCTGATTTCAGTTTATTTTTATGCACGAAACACACCTATCTTTGAGTTTTTTACAGGCGAAATATACATCCATTTTGGACACATTGGTAATTACTGCTACTGACTCGATAAAAGGATGCAATTCTGCCATAAAAACTTCACATAAACCAATGAGTAATGATGAAGAAAAATCTGTACTACTGAAGCGTGGAAATCGGACTAAGTTGAAGAAAAATTCACTAAATCGTGAAAATGGCGAAGCAAGCCCGAGAACGGAGATGACAGATGAGAGAACATCGCAGGAAAGCGAAGACACCTCAGACTCGCCGAATTCCGAAGCAAGCGATAGTGTTTGTTTAATTCGTCATAAGATTCGTAATAAAAGGGCCGAAGAAAATAGAAATTCGCAAAAGAACGGATTGCTTGAAATAAAAGCAGCGTATACGCCTCAAAAACAGAAAGAGGTAGTTGTGTTGAAACATCTTTTTCCTGAAAATGAAGATGTTGAATCGGAGAGTGATGCGATTGCTTCCTCACACCTTGACGACGAAAAAGATCTGAAAACTTGCAAAACATCAACAGAGAAGCAAGATGATGACGTGAAGAGCCAAGGTCGAGACAAAAAAGAAACTTGCAAAACATCAACAGAGAAGCAAGATCATAATGTGAAGGGTCAAGTTCGAGACGAAAAAGAAACTTGCAAAACATCAAAAGAGAAGCAAGATCATTATGTGAAGGGTCAAGTTCGAGACGAAAAAGAAACTTGCAAAACATCAACAGAGAAGCAAGATCATTATGTGAAGGGCCAAGGTCGAGACGAAAAAGAAACTTGCAAAACATCAAGAGAGAAACAAGATCATTATGTGAAGGGTCAAGTTCGAGACGAAAAAGAAACTTGCAAAACATCAACAGAGAAGCAAGATCATTATGTGAAGGGCCAAGGTCGAGACGAAAAAGAAACTTGCAAAACATCAGGAGAGAAGCAAGATCATTATGTGAAGGGTCAAGTTCGAGACGAAAAAGAAACTTGCAAAACATCAACAGAGAAGCAAGATCATAACCTGGAGGACCAAGGTAAGATCTTATCAATGATATTTTAAATTTTTTGATGTTGTTTAATCGGAATCGTGTAAGATATACCGTTTAAAAGTCTGATAAACTAGTCTCTAACTATGGAACATTGGAAGACTGGATGCTTTGCAAATGTTGATGAAAACATTCGAATGAATTACAAATATTTATTATTCTATGTTGGACAGAGGTATTGAATGCGGATTCGAAAAGTTTATTCGTATTCTAAGCTAGTGTAAAATGAAGTACCCAACACGGGATATTTATTTCGTATAGTCGTGTTAAGGGCTTGCCTTGAACGCATAGTTGTAGATGTAAATAAAAACAATAAAATACATCAAAAATTATATTAAATAGTTGGGTTTTTACTCGTACCCTTGTACGAATTTACCAACAACTCAATATTGGAATGCTTCAGTCAACTGTGTTTATTAATATGTCACGGTAATAAGTTTTTGGAAAATGCTGTCAGCATATACTTTCAGTTGGGGAAGAAGACATGGACACCTGGACTTCTTTACTGCTGAGACATAAAAATTCATCGCAGTGTTCTTCGGATTTAGTGACAGATGTGAGCACACTTTCAGTGAAAGATGATAAAGGTAATTTTTTTATTTTGAAATTTTACGAACGCTATATATATATATATATTAGCGACAAACCTACTGGGTCAGAAAAATCGTTGTATGACGTGTTTGAAAAGTTCAAAAACGTGCTGTTTGTCCATGGTAATTGATTGAGCTGACTTATGTTAAAGCTTAACTTGAATATCCGGTGAAATATCGTCAGCGGAATCATAAAAAAATAGTAAAAACTTGTCATCGAATTGCAATTGTATGAACCAGAGCTGGAAAACTTGTGTTAAATAAATGAAAAACTTCACCCCACTATAGATAACTTCAAAGATAATTGTAAGCAAACTTTAGCTTTCCGTGCTATATATTAGTGATTTTCAACCTTTGTTGGTCCGCGGAACACTTTCATGAATTTACTGCGGAATAGGAATTTGTTCAATGAGAATTGTTTTGCGCCTTCTCAAGCCGCAGCCCTGTGGCGGCGAGGATTCCAGCAATCCTCTTGCACATTGTCACATCAATCATGGGATACGAACCAGAGCCGGATATACCATTAGGCAAGGTAGGTTAAAGCCTAGGGGCGGGCCTCAGATATCTAGGGCATTGACAATCAATTCTGAACCATTATTCATTTTAAATCATTTTTAAATTGTAAAGGCTTGTTTCATAATAATGTCAGTTTAATACGTTATAGATCTCATACATTTTAGTCAAGTTAATAATTCCAAATATTTATTGATTAAACAAAAAAATTCAAATACGACTGAATAAATGATTTAGTATAACTTTGAGCGGTGAACGGGTGCCTAATCCAACTGCTTGTGGATTGTATTAGGCTGGAAATATGTTTCATGATTTTACTTGCCACCAGTGTTCCGCGGAACTCCGATTGAATATCACTGCTATATACTATCGCCAAAAGCAATAATCGCATTGGATATCGAATACTATTATATTTCGTCCATATGCTGGACCTAAAAGAATTGACAAAGTAACCTGTAACATTTCTTGTGGCCAATGAAATATGTATATTTTTTAAAACCTTTTATTTTTGTAAAACGGGTGGTAATAAATCGCCCTGTAACATTTCTACTCAGTCTATATCAGGGGTTCTCAACCTTTTTTATGTCACGTACCGCCCGAGGTACGAAACAATCAACGCGAACCCCCGTAATCAGGCATCGAACTAAGTTGTGATATATTGACTATCAATTTGTTGCAACAACAATTTATTGACCATATTGTAACTAAATTAAATATTCGCGTTGATATTATTGCCCTTGTCGTCTGCATAGCTAACGAGTTCTTAAAATCTCTCCCAAGTTTCAATATGCATAATCACTTTCTCCAACGCTCGCAGCACGCTGTCTTAGATATTTCAGTTTGCTTGCAAAGCCGTGAATTTCACATTGTTGCGTCACAATCACAACAACGCAAGAACATGGAAAATCTGCGTTTCAATTGGCACGCATTTTCCTCTGGTAGTTATAAAGGATAAACAGCATCACACGAAAACTCGACTGTCTTTCAAGTACCCCTGGAAATCTTCTCGTGAACCCCAGGTTGAGAACCCCTGGTCTATATAATGCTTAAATATAAGGCTGTTTTTACTAAAAAATTAAAAGGGGATGCAGTATTTTTATTGAAATTTAATTAATCACTCTTTCAGCCGGATTGTTGATATTTTGAATTGCTTTTTTATCAAAAAACCTTGACAATTATGACAATTATTGATAGATGCTCGTGGGCCATAGTGTTGGGCTCCGAGGGCCTCGAGTTTGACAGCGTACGTTGGTGGATATTTTACATATTCGATAAAAGAAATGATATAGTAATGCAGCGGTTCCCAGGGGGGGGGGGGGGTGAGAATTGTGTTAAACTTAACTGATATATGAATGAATATGTTACCTGAATTGAATACTGTATTTATTATAAATATTTTATTGTTTCTTATTTTAAATGCTGTGTCTATGAATAAATAAATTGATGTGCGCCGTGAGTTTTCCCTGATAATTTGGCGCCACACGAACATAAAGTTTGGGAACCGCTGTAGTAATGTAATGACACAAAACCACACATGGTTCTGCCAAACACGACTTGCTGATACCACTAAAGTATCGTAAGTTTTATAAATCCGTTGACATAATTTTAGCACTCACCTCAAGGATTAGGCCCTACTTGATTGTACAACATCAAATCGCGATGAGTTCCACACTGATTATACATTGTATTACAGCGGTGATCAAAAATAAGTACACTGACAAGAAGAAACTCACCAAGAAAAATATACTTAAATGTGATGCTGAGTCGACGCAGTCTCGGAAATCGAAAATGGTAAAGGATAAATCGGCATTGAAAAATACCTCAAATGATCACAATTTAAAATTGCTCAGCTCTGAAAAGGAATGTGAAATGGAGAATTCCGGTGTACATGAAGTTGCGAAAGAATTGCCTATTAAACACTTCATGGATAATGACATTGCTGCATCAGTCTGTGGTGTGAAAATTGGTTTCACTTTCAACAAAACGCTAAAAACTATCACCACCATGAATGAAGCTTTCATGGACAACGAAATTACTAATAACAAAAATGCCTCATGCACTCAAACAAATAACACATCCGAAACTTTTACTAGTAGCGATTGGAAAGTGACAGATTCCTATACCTGTGACAGTCCAGAAGGCGGAAAAAATGTTGAAACGGACTCTCATAAAAGTAGTCACAGCGAGAAGTCTATGGTACGAACTCCGGTTCGGACTTGTCGAGAATTATCTGAAAATAGCGAACAAATACCACCCGATCCACCTCGGAAGAGCAAATCTCCTAAACGCCAAACTGTCAAGCGAGAATGTGTTGAAAAGTTTCGTTCGGAAAGATCTGGTAAAAAGTCTGATAGGTCAGACCGAGATTCAAAAAAGTCTGCCAAGTCAGGTAAGGATGCAAACAGGTCATCTTACAAAGAAGAAATTCACAGTCCAAAAAAATCAACGTCCTACTCACGACATGAACACAAAAAGGAATTTTCCCGTGAAAGAGATTCAACCGAGGGACGAAAATGGAGAACATTTGAGAGATACGGAGGCTATGGGCAAAGTAATAACTATTATAGGAAGACACAGAGAATAGTGCAACGAACCCCACGATTTGCGCCCAACTATGCCAGATTACGGTTTGTGTACGATCCCAGTTTGTACTCGCCATTATCATCATCTGAAACCGATTTTGGAGACGAGGAAGAAGAAGAAGTAACTGAAGAAAAACCGAAGCACAAAGTTTTGCGAAGAAGGTCTTCCCGTGACAATTCCCGCTATCGATCACAAAACAGAAATAGTGGTTCTGCTGAGCGATCGTCTGATCGCAACTTCAAGTCCACCCGAAGTCCACCTCGAAGAATTCCTAATTGTGTTATAAGGCGAGAATTTAGTCCAGAGTCAGACAAAAAGAATGAAACAATACTTCCAGTTGGGGTACAAAATATAGATGCAGTTATACCATGTAATTCGAAGGATATTGAGAATCTTGTGACTGCTATCAGAAAGAAATGTGATAACGACGATTTTGCTTTTCTCAACCGCGAGCATAGTCGCCCATCTTTTAGGCAACGTCAATCACGAAATGTGAGGCGACCCCAACCACGAAGACGATCTCATTCTCCGTCATGCGCACCTGGATTTACACCGTCGCCCCCACGTCTCAGAAAAATGAAAAACTTTCGTCGCCGTTCTCTTTCCCCTGTTTCGCGGATAGAACGATCACCCTATTTTAAGTTGGAAACTGCTATGGCAGATATTGAATACATGAGAAACACTTTTCAGGATAATATACAGTATCCTACCACTGGACTGTATACAACTTCCCCTTTTACACCATTCAATTCAGTCAATGCATTTTCAGAGTTCGAACGAGTGTGGAATGTAGGCAAAGCAGGAAACAATGGTACAGACTCGCTTAACGTTGAACAACGTGAATCATATTTACCGCGTACCGCTGAAACAACTCGTTCTAAAATAGACAGACATTTCATAAACGGCGCTGTTAGTTTGTCCAGTGAGCTGAAGCGTTCTGATAATAGTCCGTTTACGCCAATTGCAAGTCAATTCAGTTTTAAACGGCACACAACAGGCAGTACCCGTTTGTTCATTGTACTCATTTCAGCAGCGTGAGCAGACAGGAAGTTCTTTTCTGGTCGGAGAGTTTGAAAACATGCGAGTGCGTGAATTAACCGACTCGAATAAATATACAGATGGTGAAGTTATTATACTAAAAGGTGGTCATCGATATCTGGAAGACTCATCAGAGGAGATGTGGCCTTTTTTGACAGGCAATACTAATCAAGAGTCTTCGTTGGATGATAATTGTGATAGCGAAGTAGAAAATTTAATTGTTCAGCAGACTTTCCGGACTTCGCAGAAAAAAAACTGAAGTGGTAAGCGTAATGATTCCCAATGAAACCACAAAACCAGCGAGTACGCAAATTCTTTAAAAGTAAGCGAAAAACAATCGATTGCCTCTCATTTGGTATCTACCTCTTGTAATGTTGAAACAGTATTAACAACACTGACTGAGTCGCAAGCAGTACAGCCTTCTATTGTTACCAGGAAGTACGGGGGAAAATGGTGACTCAATTGACAGCCCACACATTGAACCGCGTACAAAAATTGATATAAGCGTTAATACGCTACCATCTGCAAAATGACGGTGAGTGCGTCAGACACAATCACAGCACAAGGTACTGGAAATTCATTTAGTCGAAGTGTGTCTAGCAAAAATCCCACAACTTCAAGCGTTGCCGTTAACAGTTGTGTTCAAAAATCCGTCGTTCATGGAACTGCAGTCTCACCTAATGTTACCAATGCATTTGAGAAGGAAAGCAATATCAAGTCGCGCCTTAGTGACGTGAAGCCGCTGAAAGTTGTAGATAGTTGCAGACAAGAAACCAAGCATAGAAGTAATACAGCAATCTGAATGTAAAATTAAAAAGAATGAAAATACTATAATATTGAATGATGCCAACGTAGCATGCCAGTCGACAGATACTGCAGATGTGCCTTCAAATAAAAAGGAAATATCAAATTCTGTGTTGTCGGATCAGTTAACGGTTAGCAATAGCCCAGTCGTTCCGAAAAAGATCCAATTGAAAAGGATGTTATTGGGAAGTGACGCGAAATCGTGGAAAAAACAAATGCTGCTGAAAGCCCAAAGTGTTCCGGTTAATGAGAGCGTGTTTATGTATAGTACTAATGTGTCAAAAAAATCAGAGAATAAATCGAATTTCTCCCAAAAGTCTTTTGGCGTCAACGAATGTCCTGTTTCCATGAAGGGAAATAGTTTTATGATAAAAAATATCTCCCAAGAATATGAACCTCAGATAACGAAAAACACTGCTGGGGAAATTATTACTGCAGAAAATCCCAATGTCTGTGATATACCTGATGAAGCCAAAGATTGTCAACAAATGACGAACAACCCTGTTTGTTCATCTGCAGGTGGTTCTGGACCTCCGCCGAGAAAGTGAACCTCAAATATCGGAAAACGCTGTTGCGAAAAATTGTTACTGCAGAAAAACAAAATGTCTGTGATATATCTGATGTAGCCAATGGATTGCCAACAAATAGTACGAACCCTATTTGTTCAACTACAAGTGGTTTGGACATTACAACTAGAAGCAGATATGAAAATCAATCTATGACCAACAACGCCCGTTACCTCAGAAAGTAGTGAGAATTATTAGTTCCTGCTACGAAAAATCCACAATTCAATCCTGCTTCCTCCATCGTCTCAGTTGTCGCAAAATCATTTTGCCAACTGTCTCCAAATCCTCAATCTCTTCATCAGCTGGCACAGATGGGGATTAAGTAGTGCAAGGATATTTTCAAACGTTGGTCGATCGTCAGTTACAATTGTAAATGACTTAGTCACACCGATCGTTGAACCAAAACTCCTACCGCCCTCGCTGCTAGGAGTACTTTCAGAGACCACAGATAAGACAAATGAATACACCATACCGAAATATCCTCCATCTGTTGAAACTTCAATTCAATCGAAGCCGTTTCGAACAAACCTTATTTCAGGTCGTCGCGTCAACAAGTACCACAAGTTACATCGGACAATCGTCCAGTATCTTCAAGCTCGCCTCTACCACCAATGTCACTTCACTTCACCTAGTTACATTAGTAAGCTCTCCTCCCATATCTTGTAATCTGCTCAGTATCAAATTCCTACAGTGTCTGCAGATGTACCGGTCTCGCCAGCTGTAATAGTAGGATATCCCCTAAAACAATCTTTAGTCAGAATCACGGAGATTGCACAACAAGCTGATGGTTGTATTCTGCAGTGAAATATTCATCATACACTGGAGGTCGAAATAAAACAAATATCCAATCAGATGAGCACAAATCAAGTTAATCCAAAAACTGTGGCCCCGAACCTTTGAAGTCAATTTATACAAGCCACCATTACCTGACGCCACAAATACAAGCGTAAAGCAACTCAGAGAAAGAAGAATGACTCACAGGAAAGTGTTCTCTGAACACGTCTTGTAACTGACTCGATAAAACAGTTTCCATCGGATACCATTCCAGATCGTAGAAATACATTTGAAGATCTGTTTCCAAAGAACACACAATGGGTTGTTTCCGAAACGTAAGTTATCTAATAAAAAATGCTAAAATCTAACCAGAGGAAGCGTAGTTTTGGTACATCACTAAGGCAATCCCGGGGCCGTGGAGCGAAACGTGGAGGCGGCAGTCAGCGGGGAAGAAGAAAAGAAGAAAGCGTTTACCTTCAATATCGTCTGACGAAGACATCATTGAGGAACTTAACGCTACTGCATGTTCATTCAAAACCGAAAGCAGAGAGTCCGGTAGAAAATAGTGAATCGGCCGAATCCGGTGACGAGGACAGTGATGGCGGAATTAGTTAGCTTCATGGAACAGTCTGAAGGCCAATTAGATGACTTCATGAGATTTGAGTTGAGAGAAGAACAGCGAAATAACAAAGAAAAAATATATTTGTCCTGACAATCAGACCTTAACGGGAAAATGAAAAAGCATTTAAATCTGGGTATACACGTTATGTTTCTTCAGGCAATTCCGAAGATCATGACGAAGAAGACATGATACCTTTGAGCCTAATAGCAAAACCTGGTAAAGAGGATTGGAGATAACGAAAAAAACAAATGCTGATCACAACGCTAATGACAACATATTTATCAAGATGTCAAGAGAGATTGCCGAGGAGAATAAGAAAAATTGTGCTGATTTTGATCCAGTTATCCACGAGCTATTGTATCCTCCATTTAATAAACCTCCGCACATGGTAAAAACTATGACCTCTCAAGATAAAAACGATTCCAACTTTATTAGAGAGCAAGATTCACGTTAATAAAAAAAACGGAGACACTAGTATTGATGACAAAAAGAAGTATCTCCAAGAAGTAACTTTTTTGAGAAGGTAGACATTCGTAGTTCCGCCACGTGCGATGATGATTCTCCCGCAAATGAAGATCTTAACAACCCAGAATCAGAAAAATCTGATGATGCTAAAAATAATAAAAAATGAAATGGTATTAAACGTCTCTTCCACCGACAAAATGAAAAAATGGCGCCGAAGATCAAACGCATCCAAGTAACATAAAGGAAACTTTCATTGGACAGCACTGCACCGAGCGGGACCAAGCATCATCTTCTTTCTCCGAATCGAGTGATTTAACCAAAGGAAATTCGGATACTCCAAATGCTATTCCTTATGAAGCTCATCAAAATCCTGTTCAACCAATTTCTTCCTACTCCTCCCCACTTCTCCAAAATCTGTTAACTCGGATGATAAATCAGATAAAGCGACGGAAACTTCTTGTCAGCAGAATATTTCGTCTGGTTCTGACAAACCTATGCGAACGGAAAATGTTCAAGGTACAAGGAATTTGTGTGTTTTCTCATTCTTTTTTTTTGTATTTAAAACGTCCATAAAAAACAGCATACAATAATTAACGATAAACAAGGACAAGTAAACAGTGTATAAAATTTACATACACAACAGTCAGACATACAAGATTAAAAGACATATTAAAAGATCGTGGAACGTTCAAATAGTCTCACATGTTACGTATTTCATTCTCAGTTAACCACCGTGCCACAGTTGTTAAATCGCCATCCCGCTGTACCGGAACCAAAAAATTAGTTACGGATCAATATCACCATGAAAGTTGGATTAATAGTAAGACATAATGTTTTCTTTTTTGTACATCATTTGTGTGTCAATCGTTCTTGACTTTGGTGTTCCGCAGATGTATAATCTTTATTATTGCCCGTTTAACTAGACAATGTGTGTTTATCTGGAAACTTAATCGAAGCCGCTGCAGAACTTGCCGGAGTGAAAACGCGGACTCTCATAGGTGAGTGTTTCCGTGTTCATTGTGCAAGTTTGAAAATAGTTCAAGGCAGCATAAAAAGTATGAAAGTGTCCCTCTTTCTTTCTAATTAAGCTGACAGTTTATTGGTCCATTTAATGATATGGATTCGCCGATTTCGAATGTACGAATTTTTTATTTCCAGATTTATTAGTTCTTCTGTATATACAGGTGGAAACTTTTTACCGTCAAAACCCACTCCCCAGAGTGCAGTTAAATGTGCTGAACCAGTTACTCCAATAAGGCGTGGTGAGTTTAGATTAACGTATATTTATTTACTCACTGTGGAAGTTCATCTTGTCTATGGACGCTTCACTATCTCTACACATCGATTCTGCATAACCAAATTAGCATATGTCACATTTTGAGATTAAAAAAATTGCATTATTGTATTAGTTTGGTTCTAACAGCTATTCTTAAAATGAACATGAGGCAGTAAGTTATCTAAAATCCAAACGTAGAACAGCTTTGAAACCCAGACCAAAGACCTAGTCCATAATGGCATAATATCGAAAAAAGCATTTTTGAAGAATATGACGTAAGCTACTCTTTACTATGACTACTTTTAACTATGACGATCTTTAGTGTGAATCGTGTGTTGGGATAATCATACCGACGTTGCAGATTGGACATCATTAGTTCGAACCCTAATCAGTTGAATCAATATTCAACACAATCCCAACTTCTCGCATATAGCATGTGCCTTATATAAGTAACAGCTACAATGCCTACATATAATCGGCAGTCATTATCCCTAAACTGTTGTTCCATTTTCTCTACCTGGCTTCTTTAATTTAGATTCCAATGACCAGTTGGAAAATATACAACTTCACATTTCACCCATCAACACATTGAACGAAACGTTTACCAGCTGGCATATGCCCGAAGCTGAGAGTTGTCACGGATTTCTCGAAGTATGCATGTCTGTACATCCAAATAGTGTATATGCTCTACGTCGCATCCCGTATGTCAAAACAACGACTATTGTGACAGAATCGACGAGTTCGAGTGCCAACACCATGTTTGTTAGAGGTCAACCCAGTTTCTTGGGGGCGAATGAAGCAGGAATGGAGTTACCTACATCAAGCGCCTGTGCTACTTATATTCGCCTTCGAGATATTATTTCATTGCTGAAAATTCATTACGAAGCATTGTATTCCCTTGTAGTTCGATGTGATGCAGGGATGTTTTGGCCTAATGCTTATGCACAGAAGCTATTTTCTTTCGTCTACGATCCTGTATGTGACACTGACGGGAACATGGCGAAAATGACATTGAGAAATGTCCGCAGTACTAAAGCTCAACATTTTTTGGGTCACATGATTATATTGGACAAGTTCTTGCATTGTATTTTGCCGGTGTGTATCTTAACAACTTAACGTACATAATGACATAATACTTTGACAAAGTTGTATGCATTAGGCGCATAACTAAGCATGATTAAATATTTACGAGCGTTTTAAATCATATTTATTATTTACAATCAGTAAAAGTCATTGTACACAAATTACGAAAATGGAGTAAGATGTTAGAGTGATAAGTGTTTTTTATTTCAAGACGCGTAACCACGTATTTCGCTCCAAACGATGCCCTATTCATGCAGCCACTGACATATTTTAACAAAAATAATAACCTTACCGGTTTGGTATTGCCTACCCACTTTATTACGCAATAGGTAAAGTGGGGACATAGTTTATTTTTTGCAATCATTCAAAATCAATCGTACACAAATAACGAGAAAAGAGTAACCACGCCGTTTATTCATGCCTTTCGCTTCGAACAGGCTCACTGTTACCCAACGAGCTACTATTATCTGCGAGAGCTAGAAACTTTCCGGATCGGTACTCCCTACCCAATATATTAAACGCTGGATGAGGTAGAGGGCACGGGATTCGAACCCGAGGTGTGTAATCTTCGATGCCAGCACCGTCAAGTCGAAGACTTTAACCGCTAGGCCATTCGCAGGAAACCAAGGCCGCTGTTAGTTTTTGTTGGGTAAATTTTTTGATAAAACCCTAGTTGTGACCAGTGGACGACTTTTTCTTAAAATTATGCTAAAGTCTAAACTATAAGTTAAATAGATAAAAATCTTAAGTCCGAAACGTAGAATGTATCGATAAAATCTGACAAAACTATTATAAAACTTCTCCATCATCAAATTGATTTTCTCTGCGTGTTTTTAGAAATTTTACCATGAAGGTTTGGGAGTTCTTTCTTGTGATGTTCCGAAATACGTCAACGTCAAGATTTTTAAACCGATTTCTGATATCGACAAAGAAGTGATAAAGGTATGCAAATGAAATTTTATGCAAGCTTTATGACATACATTGTGGTTTTTAAAATAACCCTTCCTTTTTGTATTTATCAATTTGAATTTACTAAGCCTGACTCTCATGTAACAGTATATTCGTTGCTTCATTCCTCTAACAATGACTTTGCTTTCAGATTTTTCAGAAACCGTACGAATACAACTCGGTATTGCGTGGTAAGGACGACAGAATCAAATGCAAGGTTATGGAGAAACTCAAATTACCACCAGATTGTAACAAGAATCGAAAGAGATCTGCAAGCAATGATTCCACGGATTCTGTTAAAAGAAGAAAATCGTGTACTCCGGGTCTAGTGGGTCAAGTAACCTCCGGGACCGTACCGCGTGTTTCTACTTTTGCTTTCAGCCAGCCTGTTGCTTGCACAACTTCAAATTCCATAAGACCCTACTGCCAAGTAAACGTAACAAATCTTTCTATCATTAATGCTAACGTAGTACAAACCCAGTCATCTAATATATTTTCTCAAAACAAGATGTATGGTAACAGTGTGAACAGACCTGCCCAAGAAACGTTTCCTGGTGCTGTGAATACAAGACCTTGGTTTTCTCCTCAATTCCATCCTACATTTACTTGTCAGTCACAATCCTCAAAGAATATTGGTACGAATACTTGTTATGCACAAACTCTTCCAAAGCTGGTTCAATCTGAAGATCTGACTTCCTCGTCATTGGTGATGCCAACGCCAGTTACCAATCTGAACCAGTTTAACAGGCTTCCTCAATTTTCGAAGGCCTTTTTACGGCCGAGTGTATTTTGCAAATCAGTGGAACATCCTGTGTTATCATCTACTATCGAGGGTACTCATGAAAAGCCTAGAATGGCTAAGGCCATGGGAAACTTCAATGTTACTTCGGAACGTGTAGCACATCGAGTCGCACCTACGACAGCTACGTCTTCTTCACCGGATCCAGAATTTGCATTAACTTCCATCTTCAGTATGAATGATCAGAGACGAGGTTTAACGAAAAGTACATATGCTGTAGGTGGCGCAGAAACTCGAGTTACACCATCCAACTTGTTGACCACAAAGGAATTCTTATTGAATGCGTCAAAAGTGATAAGCGTGCAGAATACGACTAACAAAGACGAAGGTAGGATTATTTTTATTCATAACTTTTTTCTCGCCATTTAAAAGTGAATTTACTTATATAGTGCATGGTTAAGCATACTAATATAAACACATATTTTTGTCTTTGGTATTTTAGGGACTTTTCGTTCTATTTATTATATCGTCAATCCTGGTGTGCTGTACCTGTGTCTACAGTTTTTCTTTAATTTTTTGGGCTACTTTTTGTTATCTACTGTAATTTTTAATTTTGACTTGGCGTTTTGCTTTGTACTGGCAATTTGGTTATCTTATTAGATACCTATATGTCTCTGCCTGTGATTCTTCAGTACTTGGTGTTATTATTTATCTGTGTATATAGGTGAAACGGGACTGGTTCAGAAATTGCGAAGTCGAAACACTTTGCTAAAATCCGGACTATCTGAAGCCGGGGATGTTATATCAGAACCTACTGACACAGCCGGTAAAAATTGCGTGCTAATCGCATTTCTTGCATCTCATCTTTATCTTATTCCCTCATTAATCTTTACCATAACGCTGGAAATGTTGATTTAACCATGTTGAATTTCACGTTGATTTAAGATTTCTTGTGTTGCGCATGGCCATATATATATTTTACACGGTATCAAGAAACACTTCAAAGTTTTTTCTTTCATAACTTTTTATTTTAAATTCATTTGTGTCTGCTTGTCCCATAATTCCAAACTAAGGGATTTCTGCTAAGTTTGTGCCCATAACAAAACAGTCCTAATGCTAATCGCTTTTCATTTAGTTAACTTTATTTCTGAAGCTTGCCTACTTACAATGTCAAACGATAGGGTACCCGTGTTGTTCTACGTGTGAAATTCAAGTAATATGTTTCGCAGAAAGTTTCAAAAGAGCGGTGATTCGAATTATAATAATCAAACAAATTTTCAAGAACGAAAAGTATGGAACGAGAAGAGAATTCTAATTTGGAATTTTTTCTGAAATGTGAATAAAATTAGATCGATATGAATAATGACTAATAAGAAAAAATCTATTAACATCCACAGTATTCAAATTTATTTAATATTGTCACGTACGCGCGGTAACTAAACATGGCGGATTTTTTTTTTTTTTTTATCTATGTGGCTTAAAACTAAAGAAATTCTCCCAACTGTGGGTGGATCGCGTGCTTGTTCTGTAAATCAAAATGTCGTGAACTACTTCTTCAATTTTATAATCAACTGATATGTAACATCAAGGCATTATGTCAGTATTCCATATTTCCAATTATACCTCAACGATACATAATACATCAAACGCTACTGTACTGTTCTACAAGAAGAGGAACTCCTGAAATATGCGCACCAAGATGGCGCACAAGCTGAATTCAGGTTGTGTACCAGGTTAGGGTTCAGGTTATGCGACATCTTGGTGCGCATACTTCAGGAGCACCCAAGAAGAAGATAACTGAATAACTGCATTCATATTTTTTGGAGACTTTATGTTAAAATATAGAATCAGAATTAGGTTGTAATGAACATGCAGCCGATGGTGATTTTTGTTCTAAATAACAAAGCAAAAACCCGCGTTTCAACGTGATTAATTGTATTGAATCTTTTAGTCGCGCTAGTTTTTAGTTTTTTTTTTCATTTTATAGCTAAAAGACCTGGATCATAGCAGAAACTTAGTCACCGAGGTTCCGGTTAAATTTACGTGTCTTATTTGTGATTGTAGAGTTAAATATTTTGTTTTGTTTGATGGTAAAATCTACCTATTTCGTTTTATCAAAACAATACTACAAATAAGCGAGTTCTTTGTGGGATATTGTTTTGGAAATGGCATAAATCGCCGAATAGTATAGTTCTATCAACAATTGATCTGCCTTTACAGTACTGTTAAACATGCTTGATACAGCGTCATATATTTAACAGACACAGCAAATCAGATTTCGATTGCTACCGCAAGCGAGATCACATTGCCAACTTCTGAAACAAACAACATTGGTAATATTCTTGAATGAAAGTTAATTAACTCTGCAGTCGTAATTGAATATCTGGTGCTGGTAGAAAACTGTTAATATTTGTTTGTCGTTTCATTAGTATTGTAATTGTTGTCATTAGTTGTAGATTCTGTAGAAGTTTTTTTTTTATTCATTTTAATTAATAATGGGACGCAAACATACGCCTCTGATTTTTCTGTTTTTCTGCTTTTTTATTGAGAATCAAGCTTTCCTTTGTCGTAGTCTGGAAGCAAGACTGCACGTAATCTTTAATAATATATGCTTTTCTGCTATCGCTGCCTCTTCTACCAGTTTGCTGATATAATGAGACTATGCGCTCATTGTCAACGAATGTAATGGACTCAATCTTAACATAAAATGCATGTCAGATAAATTCGAGTTTGTTAAAATCAGCATTTTTTCACTTTCCCGCTATTTATTGAAGCCACGAGGGTCATGTTCTCAGTGTAAATATAGCCTGAACTTCGTGATTCATTGCATGCAACATACTCGATGGTAATTCGTAGATTTTAATTTATTTCTAATAGGTTTGCAACAATTTTTTCCAGGCGTTCCATGTTTGTTCACCTATCTATTGGATAATTAGAAACTTTATTTAATAATCATTTAATTTCTGTTATGTAAAATCAAACTTTACATTTATTCATCGAAGTAGGTCCGTTATGGATTTTTCAGCATACATTTTTACATCTCCTATTTATTATATTTGCTCTTATGAAATTCTATATATTTTATATAAAATTTTCATATATATAATATGTTTATTTTATAAGGTATTTCAAATTGCCTCACTAAACTAGGTCTTTTCCGAGAGCCACACCATGTAATATTTACCTATTTTTGAAAGAACTGCAATATTTCCTGTTTGGTATGTTTCTTATCTAGTTTAATACAACTTGGTGGGCTGACTGGCATGGGGATTGAACCCGAGATATTAATCTTCAACGCCTACATAATTAAGTCCAACGCGTCAACCACGAGGCAACTTTAATATCACCGAGAAGATAAAACCGAACCAACATATTGTTTAAAATGCATTACTGGACTCTTCCTGAATTTTTAGAATCTACGGCGACCGATGTTTACAGTATTTCATCACCGTCCGATACACTACAATTAACTGGAGAAGCCATCAGCCGGCGAGGAAGGAAGAAGTTATTGGAAATAATGACGGCAGATGCAGGTTTGCTTCATACTAAACCGGTGGATTTCTCAAAAATTATGAACTCGTGTCCAATCTCATAACTTTTGCTGCATTTTAATATTTCTGTGCAGAATAGATATATATATATAAATCTCGCGATACATCTGATGTAAATTGGATTTACCTTCCAAAATTTCCACAAGCTCGAAATACTGGTATCCTAAGCAGTATCTACTGGGGCTGGGTCAGTTGTTATACAACATGCGTTATTATTAAAACATAAAAAGTATGAATTGTGTCACTTAGTTGTTTTTGATAATGCTATAATATTTCTCCTAGAATTAGATTATCAGATATAAATATATATACATTGACAATCATGGTATTGTTGCTAACAAAATTTTCAAATAAATAGACACCACGGTAAAGATTGGAAATGATAGTCTACTTTCTGAATCTGGTTCAAAACCAGCCGCAGTTTACCTCTACTGAATTTACATTATTTATCTTAAAGATGTCATTTTCAAGTATTTTTCATACATATCAGATTCAGAATCTGGACACTTGTCGGGAGTTGTCAGCAAATTAAAGTCCAGAGTAGAAGAGAAGGTTACTGACGCCAAACTAAAGCAGAAAAGAAAGGGTGTGAAGCAAAAAAGAAAAAAGTGAAATGACGAACCAAAAATAAAACACCATAAATAAATTATTTGGTACTTGACAGTATTTATGATTTTGTGATCGCCTAATTGTGTTATATAAGATATTTCCTATCGGAATATCAGCATTTATTGATTTGAAAGCATGTGAACATCGTAATTAGCTATTGGCCCCAATCTGTGTATAAAGTAGCCTATGTCGCTTATAGATTGTTCTACTTACGTGTGTTTATAATTTTGTTTTGAAGTGTTTTAAAAATATCGTGTGAACTATTTAGATCTTATTTTTCGTAAATCGAGCCTTGCTTGCATTTTGTCTTTATTTATTTTTTGCTAAAATCAAATTTTCAACAAGAGATTTCAGTATAAGACTTGTCACTCCATAATATGCATATCAATAAAATCTAGGACAGAACTATTAATGGGAGACGATATACCATGTATTAAATGCGATAACATAGGTGTGTAATTACATACATCTGATTTGTTTGGTGCTTTTGCTGATTTATTGCAAGTATTTCGGAGTATTCCTGCTCAGACTTGTTGGAGTTCAATTTCTACTGTTTCTTTCCCATATTTTCGGCGATTCTTTTCGTATATGCAACTTCAAATAAAATGCAAAGTTTCGTAAAAATCTCAATGCTGACTTTCTTGGCAAGTCGTCTTAATTCACAACTGAGCAAACATTGCATTGAATTCTGTCCTTATTTAGATGTTGGTGCTTGTAAGGTTTTGAATTGGTTCGGGTAACCACTTGTAAAAGTCAGCTCCTAATACCCGAGCAATACATTTGAAACTAAACTAATTATCTCGATCGATTCGAACCGGTAACCGGAGGATATGCGTGGTTCGTCATGTGATTTCAACGTAACTATATACTACTACATTTAGGCATGCTCTCGGTCTCTCCCAAAATTAATATGAAAATTCTTTTTATATATATCGCAAGAGCAAATGCTACTAAATGATTTTAGTTAAGTTATTGGCGTTAAAGTAAGGAAGAAGAAATTGTTAGTTTGCGGTAAGGTGAATGTCTCGTTCTATTCTTTCATAAATATGTTAGATAAGCCGATTGGAAATATGAGCTCCCCCGAAATTGCTATTTGTTTTGGAACCTTCAAAGAGCAGCCATATGTAGTCTCACTATGAAGGAACCTAACTTTAGTACAGCTACCGTTACATTTGATGCGAAACTTGTATTCAACTTTATTCCATCAAGTATTTTTTTCGCTAAAGATCGTGCAATGGAGGCGCAGTTCTTACCACTTCATGGCAGCTCCTGCCACAAAAGAACCGCGGTAGCTCTTGCCATGGTTTTATAGCGCTATTCCGTAATCAGTATTAACGGTATATTCACAAATTAATGTGCCAGATATTAATTGATCATGTGGAATTATATCTACTTGAACTCTAACCCCAAATCCATCGAAACTGTATTACGGCCCACCTACCGTGGTTACGGCAGCAAAATTTTACCTGCCATTGGTTTTCAATTTGCTGCCGCGGTAACGGCAGCTCGTCATTGGTTTGTGCCTTGTGGCAGCTAAAAAGTCAGTCGCCATAGGTTTGGCCCATTGAGTGTTAGGTTTGGCCCATTGAGTGTTACACTGGTTACACCTCAATTGTTTGGCCGTAGCGGCCATGGTATGGAAACACCGCCATGGTTTTGCGGCAGCTGCAGACGCCACAGAACACTCAAAACTGCACTTGGTGCAATGGGAAAATAGTGTTTTCAATCAAGTCGTTGCTCGTGCTGTGCCATCGGTGTTGATGTCTGGTCGCGAAATTGATAAAATAAAAATGTGTTATTATCAGGGATTGTGATTTAGTGGGTAATGTTCAGGGAGCAGGTGAGACAGCATTCGTTTTCATATTCCTGTATTCAATACCGGTACGGTACTAAGGTATGCACAGATAGTTTTATACAGTTGTAGTTATGAACCAACTGAATTGTTATTAAACAATTTGAATTGATTTTCAAAATCAATCTGAGAATCTTGTTTTAAATTGAAAAAGGTGGTCTACATCTCAACCGAACAAAGTACTCTAATAGGTACTGTATTACAGGTATTAAGCATATTGGTATACTGGGATTTCTGCGGTTGGGTATAACTAGTTTGCCAAAATACATGTTTTAAATGTATTAGCTGAATAGTCTATCTGAATATAGTGTGAAGCAGTGCGTTTCAAAATATTCATCACGACCCACTTGGTAGGCCAAAAATAATAAAATTGGTACCGGTAACACCTTTACAGCGTTTAATTAGTCGATGTGTTTGCATACCTATTCTCGCATGATGGTGGTCTCAGTAACGTACCTTTTCCAAATCTTTTAAATTTGATCGATATTTTGGTTTAACATAAGTTAGTATCGAAAAAGATTTTACAGCAACTCCCATTGCAGTACAGCACACTATCCAAATTCCAAGAATTTCCCTCCATTTGGCTCAATAAAACAAACACTCCATGTGTCTCACAAACGAGGGGCGTCTGGGACCACGTCAGATGCTTCATATCACGCCATGCTTGTCTCAATAATAATCTAAATTAATCGCGGCCGTCACATGACCAAAATTGCCGTTTTTTGCTGAAAACTCTCGAATGCTACAGTAAAATTTTTTTTCCTCCGGTAAATCGGATTATTTTTTCCCAAGGAATTCAATGATGAAGTTACTAGATTGCGCTTTTTTGTAGTATTTTGCGCAACTTCATTATACTGTAGTATTACCGATATTGAGGGACAACAATGTCCAGACGTCTCCCGAAGGAGGGGTGTCTGATCATCTGTAAAATGGGTTTCTCTGAAACAGGACAATGTAACCAGATTTGTATAGTGTGCCGTACTGCATTGAGGCGATCAAGCTTTCACGTGACCCACTATGGACGTGGGGTCGGAATCCCCTCCATAAAAAAAGGATACCATAACTGTTTTAGTATTTGACATCGAACAGGCAAAAGTATATGTTTTGTTACAGCATAATATTTATGATCAAAGAACGTATGGTATGTATGATTAGCGCTTCTCAGAGTTTCAATCCACGTTTTGAAGTAAGCCACTCTTCGTGTTAACGAATACTATTATCCAGTGGTATGAGTGATATTGTATGATCAAAATTCTCATTTAGTTGGTAGTACACACACAGTACACTTTATATATTAATATATCATATATGGCAGTGGTTCCCAAAGGGTGCGACGAGTTGCTAAGTGTGCTGCAAAATTTAACTGAATTGTGTTAGACATAACTAAAATAGGATTGAATTTTGTACATATTGTATTTATTATAAATGTTTTATTGTTTCTTATTTCAAATGCTGTGTATATGAATCAATAAATTCATATTACATTTCTATGTCATTTATACTTTCTGTTTTGTGAATAAAATAACTTAGTTGAACCCTGAAAGAGGTTCTTTGACTTGATCTTCAAATTATGATAAAATAAATAATTGAAATCCAATTAACTGCATGTTTTAAAAATTTATTTTCAGAAAAATTTTCAGGGTATGCCTCCCACAAATTTACAATGTTGTAATTACTCTTTGGCTTCTGGTGTATTGGTTGTCAGTTGTGCATTCCTTATATTTAAGAATGTGTGCACACGACCTCACTTTGAAAACCTTGTCTAATGTATTTATATATGTTGAGTTGATCAGTTAAGTATATCACTGTTGCTGTTAGGACAAAAAGTATTGTTTTCTTTTTGCAACTGGACAAATCTCTTCCATAGTAGATAAACATGGAAAGTATCTGAGAAAGCGTTTTATGTTTTGTTATTCAATTGTTTCTCCACTACTTGGGCTCATTATTTGAATCTATATCTGGATGCTTTTGAATCGCCAGTGTGTGAGTTTCAAGATGAGCAATTTCATAGCAGATATATTTTCAACATGGTTCCACAAACTCATATTATTATTATCTCATAAAGTTATCAAGTCAACTTTGTCACATGTATAACCGAAATCATCATATGGCATATCCAGCTGACGATCTTTTATTCAGTTGAGATAGAAATTTTTTCACAGTTTATGTGAATTATCTTTGTATTATACAAAAGTCTAATTTTTCTAGATAATGTTCATCCTCCTGCTAAGGAAGTGTTTCACATATGGCGAACTGTCCAGATGCTGGTTTCGTAGTCAGTTGTGCTTTTGAAGAATGAAAATCTGAGAAGGTGGCTAGAGTTGTTTGTTTAAAAACGTTCATATACTAGCGTTACAGCCTCAAGATTAAACTAGAACATTTTTTTTGTTTTCTCAGAATTTATTAGTGACTATACATGCTCCAAGCTTTGTTCAATTATTTTATGGGTTTAAATCATGTTCATTATGTACAGGACACTTCTCATGGGATGGTTCCATAACCACTGTCTAGCTGATTACCCATACCATAGAACAGGGTGGTCCAAGGTTGTCGGCTCCGCGGGCCACAAATTAATTTTTTCATTGTTCGCGGGCCACAATAGTGCCAAGAATAGGTAAACAGTGCAATACAGAACAAACACTTTTATTGTGCAAACACATAGTTATCAGACATAGCCATCACGGGCTAATAAAATCCGCATTCGATTTTTAGTTTTCTATGATGTCTATATTGTAAGCATATATTCCTGACCTAAAAAAAAGAAAGCCAGATAATAATTTAGACTGCCAAGCACATCATCCAACTTTGCTATTTGCCTCAGCTAGCCATAACACTAGTTAATTCAGTGACATTAGTGATGTAACAATAGGTCAAAAGATTTTTCTGATTAATTCGATTACGAAACAGCACGAAATGCGATTCATTGATTACTCTTCGAATGTGACGCGGGCCACAGATAATGAAGCGGCGGGCCACATGTGGCCCGCGGGCCTGGGTTTGAACCACCCTGCCATAGAATTTCCACTCCTATCAAGATTTATATAAAAACTCATCTCATGTAGTTTTAAATAAGAATAACATAATCTCTTTCCACCAAATAGTAAGAATATTTGTAAACTTCCCTCAGATCACAATCTAACTTCTTCAGACAAAACAATATTTAACTCAATCAAATAGCAAATGTTCAAACTATGCAAATTTTATATAATTATTTGGCTTGCAAATGCGAGTGTAAAGAGTATGTATGTTTTTTTTATGTAGTGCGATATTGATTGCATCCGCATGTCCCAACCTAAAAATTGTTGCTATTTGGTACATATTAACTGTCAAACTTATTCTGGGCACTGTTGGCGCCGTGGAGCTGTGTATATAACGTACATTTGATATCGCGTTCACATTTCCTCCGCCAATACCTTTCAGTTGACAAATCTAAATGACGTCACGCGCCATTAAATCTTACTTTCCGATGTCTTAGTTTTGGATTGAACGGGAGAATTTTGATCACGTTCCTCATACCTGGCGTTGGTGACCGTGTTTAGTCTTTTGTTCTGCAGGCGACCATGACGGAAATTAACTTGTACAACCTATTTTATGCATAATCCGCTGTATGAAACCCATTTATGAATAAACTAAAGACCAAAGGGCGGCAGACGTCCACAGTTTCTAAGCCGATTATTTACTTGGGTAGGAATCTTTTACGCACGGAAATCAGTAGGACATGCTTGATTCGACTCCCACTTTTCATTTGACTTTCAATTAGAAATCAGGGAGTCACCTTGCCAATAAGTACAACATCAATCCACGCCACTGGCCATGCTCGGCTTTGTACACAGATCCCGTTTACATCTCAACAGTGGTTAATTATCGCAATACGATCCGTAAATACTAATATGTCTCCACCTATTCCAAATATATTAAAGAAGATTTGCTGATAATTTTAGGACAATCTATATTTTATGACTAAAAATATAGAAATTCTGCGGCAAATGCGTTCCATCGTTTTTTACGTCAATTCATTCCCCTATGTTTACTTCGTGTCAATATGCGCACCTTGCGTGACACATACGTAGGCTTGCCACTTCAAATATGATCGGCGGAGGTTAGTGTTCATTTATTAAAGTTCAAAACAAAATAGTCCCTTAATTTAGCTTTGGATAGTTTGGCTGTTTTTTATTGAATGTATTAATAAACTATTTATTCTGACTAATGTGGTTTTATTCATGATGTCCGAATCGTTTAATCGAATTTACTTGAAATTACAAAAACGTTCTGGTCGTTATTTTTAAATTTGGAATCTAGGATGAGTCATTTTCGAGTGACTTGGACATTTGTGCACGAGGTTAACATTTTTTAAATCCGTTATAACATTTATCAATATAAAATTGGAAACAGGAGATAGTAGCGAAATTAGGTACGGATTTGTAGTTAATCTTTATGTGAATTATTACAGTTTCCAACTTAGCGGACTCTGAAGTATATTTTATTAATTGTTCAATGCTCTACGTACGTTGCATAGACGGCTGGAATATGAACAACAACGATCAACACTTCCGTTCGACAGAACTGTATCAACATATAGAATATTCTGTTTAGTAGGCTATGCTTTATATTCGTTATGGCAGCTTTTTCTATTCGGAAATTGTATTCAGACCAGCGCGAGTGGGATTGAAGTGGTAAACACCTTATATAGCGTTTACCGGAGACTAGTATTTATATGATTAATTTGGTGAAGCAAACTCCAACCGTAACTTCTCGCTGATGTTAGTTTCCTGTGTATTTTGTTACGATATTTAGCTTATCATGAATGCGGTCGGTTGAATGTCTTCAGAAAAACACACACGCGGGCTAGAAGACGACGAACGAAATAGGTCGCCAAAGCAAGGGAATTTATCGTTCAGCGTCATTCAGTGCCATTGGTGTCGTTTATCGTTAAAAACGATTTTCGTTGCTATTAAAGATTTGCTGTGTTTTTCGACTCGGTAAGTTTAAATTTTTGATCATTTTTGACGCGATCATTGAAAGGCGAAAACCTGTAAAAATTATAGCTCGCGAAGGAGGTTCAACTGACGTATTTTTGATATATGATACTGTTAGACACATCGTCACGACTTCGTTTTTATTATAGTATTTATATGATAAGCCGAATTTATTGCCCTCGCTATTGATCGAACGATGTCGTTTATCGATTTCATTGCGATATTTCGTAGAGCATATGCCACAAATCCAACTCTAGACGTCCCGCTTTCGGCTTAATTAGTTTTCGATTGGTAAATAAAGAAAAGGAAAAAGTTAATATACCCCTTGAGCATTTTTTTATCGCTATGGATTGACAACGGTTGCTGAAAGAGAAAAATTATTTCACAAGCAAGATATGCAAATGATTGCGTTCCATAGCGTCGGTTGCAATTTCGTTTCTGAGAACATTTTATGACTGGGAAAGAGTGCTATAATGTAAAACTAATTACTTATTAGTAATACTATTTTTGTTGGATTCTTTTCTTATATATGGAATTAGATTTTACTAAATAGTGATAGTCTAAATTTAACTGGCTATTGTAACAATGAATACATGCTTATTCATCTTCACGTCTGATAAAATAAAATATAATGCGATCATTTCAGTGTTAAGATTAGGCAAGGATGAATGGACATAAGGGAAGTTGAATTGTGCGTATAAGGGGTTTGTAATTACTGAAGCGATTGAAATGAAAGGAAGTTAGTTGGCTTTAAATTGAGGAAGTTGTTTTTTGACTACTGGATTAAAAAATATTTACTATTGGTCCTAACTCTAAATCAATAATCATGTATTATTTATTGCTATTTCTCAGCAACAAGAACATTTATATCTTAAATTCTGTCATTTTTTTTTGACAATAACAACCGGCTGGTAGAGGAGTTTTTTTTTTCATTTACACACCTATCTCATATCCTTCCACATTCTCAACTTTACACAGGGAGTAGTATCAGTATTACAAGAACTAAAGGCAAGCATGGTGTCATATAATTTTATCTTATCTACTGCTATCTGAGCTCTTAGAACTTTGGACTTATTCTTACACAGACACAAGCAGACAGGAGTGGTATTAGAGATACAACAGTGAAGGCAATGCAGAATTCCTATTATTTTATCAAAGCTGTTATAAGTAGGCTCATTGTGATTTTGTTTATATGACATGTTGGCTATTTTATTATATTTCTCGCCCTGTGATAATAAATTAATTGTGAGGCTTTTATTCATTCAGAAACTTAGGTGCCTTCAGCGCTTCTCAGCTTTTAATTATTTCAGAATTACACTACTTTGTCAAATCCCACTGTGTCATGTTCCACTGTAAATCAAGAGACAACACATCTAGTCTTGTTTGAAATCTTGTATTGTCATATTTGTGCTGGAACATAATGGAGAAACAAAAAGAAGTTTTTGTCAAGCAATGGCAGGATAAATTCCCAGGTGTCCCTGCGCCTGAATTGAACTTTGAGGATACAGAGACATTGGAACAAGATTTGTTAAAATGCAAGGAGCATGTTAAAAGACTTGAAGATCAATTAAACCAAGCAAAATTTCTTATGATATTTCTTCAGGTATGTAGATATTAAATTAATGATAATGAACTGGTGGTGGAGTAGTCATAATGGTATTAAAGTCTATTCCATATTTGGGGCTGATTTGATCAATAAAATATAGCTTCATTTACATTTCTCTGATATGCTGAGATTGATTCATTCAGTCACATCTTTGTTTCATTTATTTTGTGAGTGATAGTAATAACGAATTATGCCATACCTCAAATTTGAGCAAATATTGTTTGTGCAGACTTCTAAGTAATTTTTGTATGTTCATTTAGATAATCTTACAATTTGTTTTTAGACATCACTCGCGGTGAGTAAAAAGACATATGAAAGAAGGAAATGGGGATATGGATCTTCTATTGATTCTGAATCAGACTCTATAACAAGTCCTAGAATATTATCCACTGACGAAAACAGAGACTCAGCATTTGATGGGGAAAATCATGTAGCAAAATCATCAGTAATTGAAAATAAACAAGAATCTAATGGGCCACAGGTTCAAATGAGATCAAAAAATGTTTCATCACTGGTTGATGAAAGTAAGGGAAACCGAACTTCAAAAGTTTTAGAGAATGTCAAAATGTTTGAACATATTTCTGAAGAACAGCCGTCGCATGACCCTGGAGCAAGCATTAGAAGTCTTCCCAACAGATCAAGCAGTCGTAAACGAGCTCCATATTTGGAAGTATGGGAATGTAAAACAGGAACAGATGATAAAATGAAAGACACAGGTTCTGCAGAAATACAGACCTCTGTTTCTAACAAATCTGGTACGACAGACTCCTTTACAGCGGCAGCAGTATCTATGATGGACCCTGGCTATATGAGAAAACCGCTTGCAAAAGCAAAATCTGAACAAGATAATACAACTAAGCGTTCGTCAGCACCTCCTCGTGATAATTACGTTGAAGTATGGACATGCAGTAGTGGAGATCAGGTAACATTTCATTATAAAATTATGCTCAGGTTTGATTTTTAAATTTTTTTCCTACATTAACCAGTGATAAATTAAATAAGGTTTAGATTGGCATAATTTATAAGTAGTTCAAAAAAGCTTATGTATATGCCTTTCATCATTAATTCAATATTTAGTTTGCTTACATAGGTCTTTGAAATTCATAAGCTTCATTTAGTTTTGTCATAATTCAGCAGTCTTAAAATTATCATTTTGAAACATTAGCAAAACATTTAGATCAGTCTGGGAATAATTTATGATGATCGTATGGATTTTCTTGAGAGTATTGATGCACACAATCTATTTATGGTCCCACAGAAGGCAGCAATTGAGGTTTACCAATCTTTGCATGGCTCTCTTGTAGTGTTTATGATTCATCCACTTGATGACTTGATGATCCAACACTTGATTTTTTTGCTACCGTCATTTTCTTTTATTTACTACTTTCTAACACAGCGCTAGTCACATATCGAAAGTTTTTTGAGCAAAATAAACTTTATGGCACATTTGTTTAATAACAAATGCGAATAGAGAAATTAATAGTCTCTTAATGTGCTACACATTGCATGACAAGGCATTTTGAAAAATCCACAAGCATTAGATTTGCTGTGCTGTTCATTGTATGACATAGTTACTTGTTTGGCTATTTATGCTATGCCCGTATACAAAAAATATTACAGTATATTTACTGTAACAAGTGTTAACAAGTGTCATCAAATGATTCAAAAACAAATTCAAATTGGAATACTGATCTCATTCAATATAAATTTGTTGCAAACCTCTCCGTTCAGTACAGACAATTATACAAATATTCGAACGGACTCCTTCTTTTTCAATTTCACTCCACTCTGAAATGTCATTAATAAAACTATTAATCAGATCACTTGATTGTATTTTTGAAATACTTTCATATTAATTCCAATTATCCAACCATCTAGTCTGCTTGAGGAAACTCTTCATTTATTCGAAAGTTTCATTAAACCTTCATTTGCATAATTCTTGTGCTACCATTTGTAGTGCAAAATACTTTGTTTTCTTCGCCGCACACAGATTTTACAATCACATGTACGTAAATGCACTCAATGGCTAGTGGTATATTACTGATATGGACTATTATAAGTTATATTATCTTGAGTCTACCTAATACCGTAATTGGAATTCCTGCCGGTCACTAGCCAGGATGAAACCACTGAGGATTGTCAATGTGAAAATAGCATTTTATTACATATTAAGTCCAATGCCTTTCTTTTTTGTGCATGAATCATTATTCACGTTTCTGCGGTAGGTAATAAATAATAAATGAATGTGCAGCATGTTAAATGTGCTTCACGAAGAAAGTCTGCCACAACCAAGGCAATAATTGAGATATTTGGAGAGAAAGCATTTTCGTGTCCATTATCACACACGGTTTTACAGTCACAGTTCCCTTGAGTCCCTTGAGTGAATTTGGATCACATATGGCATGCATAACACTTTTGATTTCTAAGTATGGGTGTGGATAAGTGCAGTTAGGATAGTGATGTATTGAGGAAACCAAAGAACCCTTATTAAATTCATTTTGAATAGTTGCATATATGAATGAAGATACTTGACTTTATCCGCTTTGGTTTGAATTCGTTTATGCTACTATTATCCGGATATGTGCAATAGAAACTGTAATATAAGCTACTGTATATGTAACGCTTTTAGATTTTGCATTTGTAGCAGGAGGTAGTAACCATTAGTTTGTATATGTCACTGTAATGCTTGGGCCCTCATTTAGCATAAAGACCTATTGTATCATCATTACAGAGTAAAAAAATCATTTTGGCAATATATATATGGGTATGTTGGTATGGTGATACAAAAGTGTTTTAGTATATGAAACTACCTTTTATGCAATAGATTGCAGTTATGTTAGTGTTTTAAAATTGATCAACTTTATTTTTATATCATAAAAATATTTTTATTGTAGCCTGATTATAATTTGGAAGATATTGATGCTAAAGATGGGTACGGTAAAGAACATTATACTCTTGCTGGTTCAGAAGTCAAATTAAGGGAATCCAAGGAATTTGTGAATGACCCTGTTTCTAACAGATTAACTTGGCCAGCAGCAAAAGCGAATGCTCCTGAACATTTCCAGGTATGTAGGCTATGTCTGCTTATCTATAATGATGCAATATTGATTTCGTTTTAATCTGTGTGTCAGAATATTTATAGGGCATTGAACTGATAATGTTGTGCTATATATTCATGTAAGTAAAAGAAAACTATAAGTGGATTGCAATTTTTATAACACCATTCTTGTTTCTATGTTAGAATCACATCAAATATGTTTTTATAAGGAGCATTTCTGACGAATTTTTTGAACAAAATTTTTTAAAACCGATGCACTCTCAGCAGAAGCTTTATAATGTGTAGCGTCAAAGGGAAACTATTTTTTTAATTGTTAGTAGTTCTTTCAAATATGAACTTTTATATAAAACCCTTCTAACACTATTAATTATGAAAATATGTCATTTTACGACATATTTTAGAATTAACAATTAAATATAAACATAATTGTATAAATGAATTATGATATATTATGCTATTGCAAAATCTTCAGAATTCAAATCAATTCCGAAAAAACTATTGCAATATATTAATAATAACATGTATATAAAACAACCTCACCATAATCATTATTAACCGCCGCAAACAATTAAATCCTAATATTGCATTAATTTACTATGGTTCCACTTCCAATTGTCATCACTTTTGTACTATTTATAACACGGCTCTGCACACTTCTACAGAATTAATTTTTGTAAAAGTAATAAAGTGAATATGAAAATATTGTATCAATACTTAATAGATCTTTATTTTTTATTTAATTGTTTATAAGCACTATGTACTCTGTAGAGTGTGACTTGAGGCTCTTGAAAGGTATCTTCTTTGTTTCCAATGCTCTTTGATTACTAATGTAAGCCTCAGGTGTGCTCGTTGAAAAACTTGAAGTCAAAGACTTTGTCTGTACTTGTGTACTATCATAACAATATTATCGGTAAAGTAACTTTGGTATATTGAGGTAATGATGCCAAAATGTTTAGTTTTCACCAATTTCTTGATTCCCATTATAAGATATCAGATTCTCGAAAAATATAACGATAAATTTTGATGCTTTCATAACAAAATCATGATTTATGTACGTAATTAATAGTTAAAATTTACCCAGGTAATTACTTGCTGAATTATGCATTAATTTGGAATAATTGAAATCAAAACCCATTTTAGACAATAATTTTTGAATTAAAATAAAAAAAAATTATTGCAGATGACATCCATATGTTCGAGACGCATTTAGACAATAACCTTTCAAATACTTCTCTTTAATGAGACCAATTATATTCTGCCTTCTTTGAATATTGTGTTATTCTATTAATTGTTCAAAATTCCAGACCGGGTACTTTCTGAAAACGCTATTAATTAATATTTAAAACCTCACAATATCATGCCATGATTATTTATACATCAATACAATCACGAATATAGCACATTGCATGATATTTGTCATACATATCCTTTGTAATAAGTGTTCCAGTCGTTTGCCAAGATTGTCGATGTTTAATTAGATCTCATGTTTCATAGCTTGATGTCACTGATTTAAGACTTTAGTTTCAGTAATGTGTCACTGATGTTGTCAGTAAGGTTTGTTTCGTTATAACATAATAGCTAATTTATAGAATGTTTCAATTGTTTATTTGTTTGTATAACAATATTTGTTTTGTAAGTCTAAATGGAAATTTATGTTTCATATATTACTAAAAAAATTATTTTTAAAAGTACTTAATGCCATCTTCCGTTAGGGGCTAAAATTACAACGAAAATTAAAATTACAAATTTATTGAACAGAACTTGATATAGTTTTAGATTTTCTGGTATGTGTCAAATTAGATTATTACATAAATTCATATTTTTCATTTGTATTATCTTATGTGTATGGGCAAAACAAGTAAACATGTCAAGTAATACAACGCAAAGCAAATCTTAAGCTTATAGTGTAATGAGTATTTAGATATAGAACTTGACAGTTTTAGTTTGATGAAAGTGGAAAGCAATATTTTTTGATTGAATTAGGTATTAAAAACGGATGTTGTACTACTGCTACTATACAGTGTGGAAGTAATTGATTGTAATAACATTTTATAAAACTTCTTTCCTCTAATGACTTTTTGTGATTTTAACTGATGGATTGAAATAATATAAATATCTATAGACTTATTTCCAAACGACTGTTTCTATATTTAGAAATTGATACTTGTCATTCAATTAGATGTAAATTTCAAATTATTCGTATTTTTCTTTATTAGAAATAGTATAATTTCCCTTGTTTGATAATAGTTGACAGGAATATTTGAGTTGGATTACCAGTGAATATAATTAATGTCTTACAATATTGCCACTAGTTTATAATCGAAATTCAAGTATTATAAATGAAAATTTGTTCGGAATCGCACCAGAATAAATTGGTTTTACTATTCGTGTTTTCAAAACTAAATGTCATTGAGTGAATTTGAATTTTATCAAGTTCCCATTGCTAGACTATTGGTAGACTACCAGTTTTTATTGTATTTTCACTCATGTGTAATGTAATATGATATAGTCTACTTGATGACGTAATAATCCTTGTTCCCTATTTTGAAGCTTTGGGTGGTTATCTTTATTGTGGTATTGAAAATGGAATTGTTTTTATAAATAAAACTGACCTGAATTACGCCCCAATCATGTGATGATTAGTATCATAGTACCTAAATAGGAAATAGTGACAAGGGTGTATGTACTCGCCAACTAACCCATATATAACAACTTTATGGAACATAAAGGCACATAAAAATGCCTTATAGAATTGGATATAGGATTTCTTCAAGTAACTTTTGCAGGTACTCACTTGTTATTCACCACATTAGCCTCGTTAGAAGTTCAAGAGTTTCACTGTTAGTGCTATGTAGAATATAACATAGACAATAGATTTTTAAACTGGGAGTTTGGGGAATCTTTACTGTTATTAAGACTATATTGAATATAACACATACTACAGATCTTAAACTGGGGAATACCAATTAAATAATATGAATACAATCTTAATTAGGAATACAGTATTGAACTTGAGATGTGGACATCATTAGTCAGTATGCAATTTCTTGTGGCGTGTTATACATTTGACATTTTGAAGTGAAGGAAAGTTTTCATGTTGCATGATATACTATACAAAACAAGAAGAACGCAAGATTTGAAATTTAGTGTCAAATTATGTTGAAATAGGATTAGGCAGGTAGTAGTTTATGGGCCCCAGATTCATTACTAATAATGAGCAGGGGGGCTGTGATATAATTAGCAATCAAGTATAAGTATTTCTGTAAGTAATTTCTATAAGTATATTTTCTGCCAATTTTGATTGCTTGATGGTCCCAGAAAAATGATCTGTCTTTATGCTTGTCAATAATTTTTTTGGCTTCAATACAGTCGATAAATTTAGTCTGATATTTATGGACGCCAACATAAGCTTCAATTGAATTTTAAAACTGTGCTGTTTCTATTATTTCTCATTTTCGTCTCACCAGTTTTGATTTGTTTAATTAAAAATAGAACATACATTAGTGAAAAAATAATTTTGGATTGCAGTAGGCTTGCACGGAATTTACAAATTTACGGAATTACGGAATTATTTCGAGTTACGGAAGCGAAGTCACGAATTACGTAAAGTCGTAATTATTGGTCGAGCGCTTTCGCGATTGAAACGAGCTCTCTTCAGAGCAGTCAATTCCGTCGATTGTAAAAACCTAAAGTTTAAGTAAAAGAAGTTAGAGTTCCGGTATTCGCAGCCGTTTTTCTCTCTCTTGTTAGGCAGATGGGGAGGGCATAACGCGTCATTTACTAACCTATTATCAACTTATCTAAGATGGCCAATGTACATATTAACCGTAAATAAGGAATAGAATTGTGTCGAGACCGATGGACGCCAACACACCTGGTTTCAACTTCTTCGGGTGAAATGACTGAAGAATGTAAGAGATCAACTTATAAAACATGGTCTATTTGTAAATGTCGTGATAATTAATGTCGCGCTTATCAAACAGCAAGAGACGGAAGAGAAATTGCGTAATGAACCAACGCAACTTAGTCCTTTCGGCATCGGTAAAGCGATTGAGACGGCAGAGAAACAACATTACGACGGGATTTCCCGTGTTTATTCTGCGCGAAATCCATTTTCTATTACAAAATCTTGATGTTCTGTTACCGGTTTTATCGTTATATATCTGTCCGGACTTGGCATTGCTCAATATGTTTTTCACAATGCCTCGCCAATCGCAATATGTCGGCCAAATATGATTACCTGTCTTTACCAAATGCGGCAACTTATTTTGATTTATCGTCGACCTGAATACCACCGGCACTCGACCAAACTTGTGTCAATCTTGGCAAATAGGATTGTCGACTTGAGTTAGAAAAATAAATTAATATTTTCATGAGTGCAAAATAAATGTCACAAAATGCATTGTTTTGCGATATAACTTTGTATTTTTGGAGAAGGCATGTCATATAAGTACGGTATTTTAAATAATGCGCAAATAATTAATATTTGATCTAAATTTATCGTAAATAATGTTATAACATTTAGGCCGCGAAATGATTTAATGTAAAATGAAGCATGGAATTCGGAATATCGTCAATAAGTCGGCATCAATAATTATTATAAAATGCTAACTAAGTAGTAAAGTCGGATATTGTAAAAAACGGTGAAATAACAAGTCTTCGTCGCGAGGCAAGCGAAAGTATAATCAAACGAGAGAATACGCTTGTAGTTGATTAATAAATTAGCAACCCGGAATTTTTATTCAATACGAAAGTCGTATTAATACGTCAATACGATTTTGAAAAAGTGAACTATCGTTTCTTAAATATATTACCAGTGTTGGTAATGATAAAATTGATCGCATAAAATTTGGTGATAAAGTTGATAAAGGAAAATCAAAGCTAATACAAAAGATAAAAATCAGAATAAAATTATTTTGAATTCACTCCTTGATATTTGTCTTTAACATCTGTCTCCGGCGTGTGGTACTGCCGGGAATATGAAAACCAAACTTCGATGTCCCATTCGGAATAGAAGTGGATTAAATTGGTTGGTATGTTAGGTTTAAATGTGTGAAAAAAAATATCGCAATTACGGGGTCATTACGTAATCGATTTGGCCGTAATTACGGAATTGATTTTTGTCAATTACGTGCAAGCCTAGATTGCAGCTATACAAACAAAATGATGAGGTTCAGTCTCTCATCAAATCAAAATAATCCTAAAATGGCAGTGCCAAGGATTATTGTCACTGACAATGTTAGTACGGTATTTCAATTACCACATTTTCATAATCAATTTTCAATACTTCACTTATATGGTGTTTAAATATTTTTATATAAATGTTGAAATAAAAACTCTGTGGCCCAAGTAGTTCCCGTATTATAAAATGATCAAGTTTTCAAATAAAATCCTATTTTGGATGCTAATTTCTTATTATGATATAGCCACCTCAAAATGAGCGAGGTTTTTTTAAAAAGCGAAAGTATAGTAGAAAAATATAATTACGATAAATGATTGAAGAGCTCTATCCTAATATAATAATGGTATTTTAGTAATACGATATGTACGTCACATCATTTTTTAGAGTTACCGTTTTTATACCAAAGAAACAAAAATGCGTTGCTGTGGTTAAACTTCCTAAATTATTGATGTTCTTAGTTTTGCTCATTGTCTGTTTATTTACATTTCCTTTGTCAATGGGTCATGCTGACTTCCCATTTTCTCTGAATGCCATTGGATTTTCCCAATAACTTCTCTTTTACTCTGAACTGATGACTACTGTAAGGTGATTTCCTGTTTCGTGGTAGAACTATAGCAATTTCTTATTCTGCTATGATCAAATTACTAATTTGAAATTTTTACTGTTGCAGAACGAAAATCTTGGGCTGGGTGACAGTTTACCTCCAAATATGACAGAATCAGGCATGCTATCAGAAGGAGTTTGTGATCTCAGTGATCTTGATGAATCTTCTCGGAGTTCTTCACTCTCTGGTTCTCCTACTTTTGAAAGACGCAGTGTTGGTGATACAGTACAGGTTGGTGGAAAGATTGTTCTAATTGGAAAATCTTCGTATTCAAATTATTTCTTTCCTGGTAGTGTTGCATATTAAGGTCAGTGTTAACCACTGCGGTGAGTGGGTACAAACATTGGGAATACAGTGTTGATAAAAAATTTCTATCTGGTTTGAATAAATAATATATATGGAAAACGTTTAAATACATAAGAATAATGTAAACAATTTAAATTTCTTTATTATTTTGTATGGTCATGATTCTGATCACATAAATGATTCTGTGTATGATTTATTGATTTATGTTTCAAAATTTCCTCATTCATTTTATTAAACATTTTTTCTTTGGTTTTTCTCAGATTAGTAGATCTTGTTATTCTATGATGAGGCCTGCATTTTATAATTTTAACTACCTGGTAGTTATAAATAGGAATTAAATTTGTATTTGACATTAAATTACTTCGGTCTTTAAAATCAATGATCTTCCATTGCCCTTTGGTTTACAGACTATAAGTTTGGTTTCATATTGTCTTCTTAGAATATATCCAAATGTTGTTTAAAAATGAAATGTCAAATAAAGGATGGCAATTTATTGATATTTTGTCACATGCCAAATATAATTGGTCATGTATATCAACGTTAATTAGTTGTAGAAGTTTACAATTCTATGTTAACTATTTCGAAATACTCCTGCTGTGTTTTATAAACAATCCATAGCAAGCTCTTGTTGTATTGCAGGTCATTTGTAAAACAGGGATTTTTGTTCCCTATTTTAATGACATTTTGTCAATGCATAATATTTGATATTAAATCTTGTTGTCGCTGAAATTTTTCTGAGTCAATGGTAGTTTCTTTTGGTCAAGGAAGGAGTGTTTTGGAAGGTTTTGTTCAATTATTGAATATAAAATATTATTGAATATTGGTGTCATAACTTAATTACGATTGGTTTCATATTTTCTTGGCTTTAATTATTGGCATTGCACTGTTTTATTAGGACAATATTCCTGCAAAATCAAGAACATTTCCAGAACGAGTGACATCTAATTCTCCATTCCATAAGTTGAGCCAAGCAAGAACAACCAATGAACGAATAAATGCTCTCGAAGGTGGAAGAGACAGGTTTGTTCTATTTCTTGCTTCGAATCCTTCGATTAAATTAAATATTACAAGATCATCTCAGGTAATTCAAATTTAATCTTAAAATAGTCATCTGATAGAAAGGTAGGTAATAGATTCAGAATAAAACAAATGCCTGTAAAGTTGGCAATTAGTAATATGAATTGTATTTTAACAAGCTATTTTGGATAGGACGTCAGCATTTTTTTTGTGTGAGGGAATAAACAGTTTTTCAGAGGCCTGCTAGTGAGTTTTGTAGCTGTTTAGTCTAATATTTTGATGTGTGGGATGGAGTCTTTCATATACATTATATCAGGAACCTATTTTATGCCGAATCAAGTAATTACTTAGGTACTTCAATATTATTGAACATATTTTTAATTAATGACTTTTCAGTATTTGTTAAATCGGCCTTCAGTGAACTATACTACATTTTATGAGATTTGCATTACTTTGCATTTTCGTAGCAATGCCAGTACATTCATCAATTATACATGAAGTCTGTTTATGACAAGTTTTAATTTGACAAGTGATTGATCTCGATTTACTTGGAACTTTAGTAAGGAAGTGTCGATTCACTGGTCTGAAAAATGTAGTTTTAACAATATCTCCTTCTCATTTGAAATTTTGTTTCATATTCACAATTTACAAATATCAATCAAGCACATTAAAATGAAATTTTTCTAATAAGTTTTTTGATTGAAACTCTTTGTAGCATGCTCTTGAACTAATTACAAAAATTTGATATCAAGTTAAAACTGATTATCGCTATGAATTATAACACAGCTCCGTAATTTGAACGTTGGAGATATTCAGAGATTTTAGTTCAAATTCTGAAAGTATAATTGTTTAAAATATAGGTAAATTAAAATGCATTTGTTTTCTTCAACTCCATTATAAATGTTGCAGTTTTAGGACTTGGCTTCTTCATGGTTGAATTTAGAAAATTCAAATCATAGAGGAATGCCAAAAAATCTTTATACCAGCTATAATGCTATACTGTAGTTTAACATTATAAGCATAAAGTATTAGTGCAAAGTTTTGTTGTTCTTGTCTGATGTACTAATTACATAAATTTGTTACCGGTAATTATCAAATCATAATAATTTATGGGCAAACATATCATTCTGTTGTAACTTTTATTTTATTACCATGTTACACTGTGCTTTTATGAGACTAATTACATCTGCTGTAATATTTGTTGTTCACAAAGTCGTTGTTGTTTTTTTCATTCAATTGCATCGTGCAAAATTATTATTTAAATCACTATATTGTGTAAGATATTTTATGAATGTTTTATTTTTCAGTTATTACGGAGAATATTTTGATGAATATGGTGACTGGGTGGGAAGTACTCCTGATGGACAATCTCTTGATTCAGCAGATTTTTCAGAAGAAGGTAACAGAATCAATACAGTTTTTGGTTCATTTGTATTTTATGATTTCAAGTATTCTAGCCTTGAATAGAGATAAGCAAGAGAAGACTGGACCCATTAATAAAAAAAAATATGTGCTTTAACCAGTGTTTCTCAAGCTGCCTTGAGCAAAGGTTTCACTTGGTACCATTTGCGATAATTACATCAATTGAATGCAAATTACTGGCGATGATTTTACAATCATTTTTATTTGTTATTCTAAAATATGGGCTTCTGGCAAGTAAAGTAACACATGGATACCTGTTGAATACAAAAATACTTCTTTTCATTAAAAAAAAGAGGGCTGCTAGGTGTTAAAATACAAACCCAATTTAATAATAAATAAATCCGTCATTATATCAATTATACTTCTTCCGTTTCTTCTGTTGAAAAAGCGTGTCAAATACCTAATATAGTTAAATTCTAAAATTTGTTAAATGAAAGAATGTTCACAATTAATTGTGCTTTTTTTCAATTTTTAGAAGAAGTTGATGTTGACGCAGAGGAAGAAGATGAACATCCTTCACCTGCAAGTGGAATACCTGATTCAGTACAAGCATTGATTGGTGGTAGATCAGTAGCTGACGAAAATCCAACTCCTATTTTTGCTTATAGACAGTAAGTCTTCTCAAGTTTATTATTATAATAACCTAGGGAACTTTTCTTATTGAGTTTTGTGCACCAGTAGTTTAATTTAATATTGTTCTTTTTTTAGTGAAGATAAATTTAATAACTAATGTAAAAAATTGTATCTGTTACTGTTCGTTTTGGGTTCGGGATTGCCTACGCAATTTATTACACCTTGGGTGAGGTGAGGTAAGCTTAGGATTCTAGACCACCATGCCCACCTGTTATATCATATAACAAAATACCACTCAATTTGTTTTAAACAATTGCAGGCCCGATGATAACGTAAGCATCGATAGTTTGGATAAGGAATATGAACCCAGGAAAGAAGGAACAGACGCTGGTGTTGGGATACCACTCAGAGATTTTACAACTCGTACTGATAGTGAATCAAGTCCGAGTCACAGCGTTCCGTCCAATGTAAGTTCCTATCGTTAGTCATAAATGTTTTGATTGTGAAATAACGTAACACAGCGTAAATCACTCACTAATGTGAGATAAGTATTGTGTTCATGCTATGTTGGGCATATATTACCTCTATATTATGACATATGATAAGTCTACCAACCTATGTATTGGTTCATTGGTATTACCTTGTCCCTGGGTGAGGTAGTGGTACCTGATTTTTTTAACCAGCGATGCTAACACAGTTGGGTCTAACGACTTCACATCCATCTGGTTTATTTTCCTATTTAAATTTCTTGTTTTCTTATTGCTAGTGAAGTGATGCAAATAAGGATTTTCGTGCAGTGTGAAATGTTAGCGGTTTACCTTATTATCATACTTTTTTTTTATTTGAGCATCCATCTTCCTAACTAAGGTTATATTTGATTATACATGAATATTTACACCCTGTAAATGGGTGGGTTCACATGCAATAGAGTCAAAATTTTATGATAATGGAAATTCCATTTTATCATTGGACAAACCTCAACACATTATTCCATAGTTCATAACCTCTATATTCATTGTGCTAAGAAGTTAATGCAACTATATGCAGTTCCTCTCAACATGGGCTATTTTTCATGATTTGAAATTTCATGCGATCCGAGTTTGAACTTTCCATGTTATTCTCAATATGTCATCAATGTTAAAAATAGCTCTGTGACATAACTTTCAGTTTTGGTTTATGGTTCTGAAATTTTTTTTCGTATTATCATAGTTACAGTTTTTATCACTGATTTGTACTAAAAATGTTCATGGAATTCGTCTCAAATTAAATCCTACCTAACCAATGTATTTAAAAATTCATCTATTAAAATTACTTGAATTTAAGTGCAATTCTAGATGTTTGTTTTTCAGTAAACTTAGTTTCCTGCTATGATTTCAAAAACAGAAATTTGGCACAAAGGTGAATTAATAATTGCAAAATTGAGCAGCGCTATATTCATGTTTATTAATCGTAAATAGTACATAGATGATATTTGTTTTAAAATTGGAATTTATGTCCTGTTTCTAGATGAAACAAAATTGATAGGGAAAGAGAAATTCTATTTTTTCAATTGTATTACTTTTCTGCTGTGTACATGCTTACATATCAAACAGTAACTGAGACATAACATTGGGTTCTTACGGTAATCAATTTGTACTAAGCAATATAAAAATATTAGGGGCTCCCGAAGTATGCGAACCAAGATGGCGGACATCGGAATGTAATATGTGTACTAGGTTAGAGTTAGGCCATAATTTTAGGTATAAATACTACGGGAGGCTCTTGGCTAGTCTTCGAACTGATAATAGGACTAAAATAAGGAAAATTGTAAAAAAATTATCGCCTAACCCTAACCTGTTACCCATGTTACGTTCCGATGTCCGCCATCTTGGTTCGCATACTTCGGGAGCACCAAATATTATTTTGATTAGGATTGCACAAAACAAGATATTTACTGTTCTTGACTGAGCAATTTTTTGAAGAAAAGGGAATTTTGCTGGCAGCAAATCTATTATTACAATGTGAAATTTTTGCCTGATTAAATTTTCCAGCAAATTCAATAAATTAGGGTCCATGCTTACCAAATATTGCGGTTTTAATAAATATCATGTTAAATTGTAAAATATGAAATCTTGCGTGGTACCGTCCATAACTAGTCTATCCTATGCTTCTGTTGAATTTTAATTGCCATTAACATCAAGATGTAATTATCATGTCTTATCCAAAGGTTGATACATCTTGTATCATTGCCTTAGGCTTTTAATTGCCAATTTTTATTTTCAGTTTTCAAAGTGCCTAATTGACTTTACTGTAGTGTAGATCTCATGAATCTTAATTTGAATAAAAAAACAAAACAAAAAAATGATATAAATTTTACACTGAACTTTTTAATGAAAATTGAAAAAACTTCTTGAAAAAAAAAGTTTTCTATTTGACCTCCTGGCCAAATCGAATTAGCTTACTATTTCAAAAGCATTCTGAAATCATATATTTTTGAATATGAAATATTGAAATATTCTAAATTGGTTCATGCTCAACATAAAAATGACACAATCATTGTAAATTGATAGAAATTAATGTTGGTAACACAGGATGTTTGGGATAAACATTATTTTGATTAAAAAAATTTTTTTTTCAATTTAAGTATTTTTTTGTCTGACCATCAGATGTCAAATGTTCCAAATATTACATTTCCAACTGAGGCTATTCCAAATTATTTCTAGAATTATATTGAATATAATCAATTTTGAATTGCTTTAATACTTTCTGAACACAACCTGTGTGAGTGAGCTATATAGTTAATAATATAAATTTATTTTACAGCATTACCCAAAAAAATGAAACCTTATGTGAAAAATGAGTTTCTTATTACTTTTACAAAAATGAAGAAAATGTATTTAACACTTGGATGCTTGAACTTTTTTGTGTGTATAATTGTACCCAAAAGTTTCAGTAATCTAGGACGTTTTGAAAATCAGTTTATGCTCTTTCTAGAATATGTTCCAAATGACTTGTGTTCTGTTCTTTCTTGTATGGTCATTCTGTATTACATTTTCTGTTACATTACTGTTACAAAATTAACAGAGAATTTTGTTAAAACTTTTTCACATATTTTACAGAATGATGCCGTTTCTGGTATGGTTGATTATCAAAAAGTTCGAAGTATAGCAGAAGCAGAAAAACTGCGCATGAGAAGATGGGTCGTATCATCACTTCTCGACAGTGAGGAAACTTACTTGGAATATTTGAACACTCTCTTGCTTGTAAGTTGATTTCACTTTATTTCACTATTTAAATAGAGAGGCTGTAAATGATAAAATGTTTTATGTACATTGCGTTGAAATGTAAATAGACAAAATGTGAGAGTAAGGGAGAATTGTGTTATTTAATGTAAATAATGTACGACCGCTGGGTTTATTCAAAATTTCAATTGAAAATTGCAAGGCTCACATGCTACGTTATAACATATTTCAAAATGCTTACTTCTAATACCTTCTAATAGAATATATTTTCCTAAATTAAATATTTCAAATATATTTTGAATATAAATATTCAGTCTGGATTGTGGAGTATTTTCAAAATTACCAATGAGTAAATTAGTATATTAAATTGATATGGAGATCTCATGAAAGTATACTTATATCAAGTTCATGGTTGACTTATCGACTCTTGAGAGAAAATTGAGTTTTGATAAAAATTTGTGGATTGGGTTGATTTGCAAAACTTTTAAATTGAGAACTGTGTGTTTTAAATGTTGTACACAAACAAAAAGTTTCCCAATTGAATGTAAGAAAATGTAGAAAATCTTCCATTTTTTGGTAAAAAAAATTTAATTGAATCGAATTGTCCTACCAAGTATTGAAGCTTCAACTGCGAATAGTTTACAAACTTTACAAAAGTTTCTACATGCCACTGCGAATAGTTTACAAAATTTTTTCTAAAATTATCTATTGATTTGACGTTTGTTGTATTTGTTTCTTACAATTTAATGCATGACTGAATGAACATCAGTATGCTGCATAATAAGTGAAAGTTATCATTTTACATTCTATGTTGAAGTATCAAATATCAAATATTTAGGTTTGCCTTCCAGGAAGAATGCACTAACATTATTTGTATTGAATATTATGATGCATTATATCGTGGCTATAATATACGAATTTTTCCATCAGCCATTGTTTGAGCATTGGGAGTGAGACATTTGAAATTGCTGTGTATTGTGTCATTTTTTCAGTGATTCAAGTTTTGCTGAAGTAAAATTTTGAGAAAATATTTGTATATCTATGAAAATAAGAATTTTTGAAACTCAATTTGATGCAGATAATATTGCACTGACCCACTGTAGTACTGACCAGTTATGGTCAGCAAATTACTATATTTTTTCCCCTCAGAATTTAAAGTAGTTACGGGTATTTGAACTTTTCCATTTATCCATTTTGTTTTAAATAACACCTGACCAGTATTACCATAATACATCTAGAAATTTCTTGTTTAGTCTAATTTACGTAAATCTCTAAGCTTGCCTAGCGGTTTAATTAAGCGTTACACTTAACTAGATGGCATAGCAAGTTCACATCTCTTGCCCACTATCTCAACCTTGGTGTAATAATATGGGTAGGCAATTCTAAACCAAAAAGATTTCTGTCTTTTCAAAACAAAGTAGTTCATATCAGTTACTACTTATACAGAGTCTTCTTTAGAGCAAACAGCATATAAATGAGTTAACAAAATAAAAATTATGATTCAACAAACATCACATGAATGATCTGTTATTTGTTATAGTACATGAAACCACTGAAAGCAACAATCGGAACATCTATGCCTGTAATGTCAAGTCAAGATTTCAATGTGTTGTTTTATCGAGTGCCGGAATTACACAGTCTTCATGCTGAGTTTTATGAAGGTCTTACTCGAAGACTCAAAGATTGGAATGCTGATACACAGATCGGGGATTTATTTCAGAAGCTGGTACGTTCAAAATAACACATCTTCTTTCACAAAAATCTTTTTTTCCCTAACGGGAAATTGTTCTGAATATCCTTATCGGTCATGGGCGCTTTGTGCTAAGATTTAAAGTCCTGTGGGATATAATTATGTGCCATAGGTTCACTAAGTCGCTGGTCAGTTACAGCTTCCTCCTTCCCCATCAAGTTTATGCATCGAATAACTGCCTAACAAACTAATCCCATACCCAACATGGACTGGAAATCGTACGAGAAGCCTTGTTACACTATAAGATTAAGTCATCTCATCAGCTTCCTCTAACTCGCGATAAATATGAGAAAATCCTATCCTAATCCTAGATTCATTTTATTTTAAATTGTTTGCTGACATAGAATGATGATTCTTTTTTATTTCTCATTATCATTTATTCAATGCTCTTTCCTTTTCAGTTGAGCAAATTATACTTTTATGAAGACTACGTTAACAATTACAAGAAAGCACAACACACTGCAGAGAAATGTGCTAAAGAAAATAAACAATTTGCTGATATTATTGAGGTGAGCATATGTGGATCTTTGTAAAAGCTTATCTTTAATTTCAACTTGAGCAAATGGCAATGAGAAATATTTTTCTCCTTGAATTTTCTTACAGAGTTTGAAAGTTCAGTCTCGAAAGAAAGAGAAGAAGGAAGATTCTGAATCTATAAGTTTGATTGGTGAGTAAACATTCTATCGAGTGGATTAATTCTTGAGTGGGGTTCACTTTTCTAAGATTTGTTTAGTTAATCAACACTGTTAAAATGATCTTTCTTGTAGTTACTAGAAAAATGATTTGTTATTTTATGGCATGTTTTGACTCTATGTGATGTTAGGTGTGTAGATTTAATGAAGTGGAAAAATAGATGCCAAATAATTCATATTATTCAATCCAGGGGTGATATAAATTACTGCTCTTCCGGTTGAATTTGTCATCTCGTGAATGGAAAAAACCTAATTCGTGTCAAAATTATGAATTGAAATTAGAGATATAAATTCATTTTGTAGTTCTATGCAACCTGTTAGTGTATATGTTTCAAAAAAAGGATAAATATATAAACAAACTTTTAACATTAGGGTGACTTTTACCTGGCAAGATTCACCATCAATTATGATAGGTTTTTTATTACCTTAAAGCAATTAAAATTGAAATATAAAAAAATTTCTGACTCACTGCAAAAAAATTACTACTAATATACTTAACATTCTTTGACTTCAAAATACGAAAAAAACGATTTTATGTTCACTTGTAAATAATACTCACCAAGTAATGTCACTAAGTTCTAAGATAATCTTCATTATTTTTGGACAAAGACCCATTTTTCTATAAAATTTATATTTTGTTTAGAAATTCTTTACAAACCAGCCGAACGAGTGATGAGGAATACTTTAGTTTTGCAAGATATTCTGAAACACACTCCACATAGACACCCGGATTATCATACACTGAGACAGGTAAATCGGCAAAATTCCACTTCTGAAATATATAAAGTAAAAACAAAGTTAAGATTACTGACTGTGTTCATAGTTATTCCCTTCACTAGTCAAGCATAAAAAGGTAGAATTTTTGTCTTAAGCAAACATATTTGCTTTTCACAAAAATTCTAATCAGTTTGCACAATTTTTGAAAGACTATTTTTTATATTTGACTACTTTTACATGCCTTACGACCAAAATAGGGCATAACTAGTGTGTAGTGTAGTTCATCAAGTATTTTGAGTGTATGGTTTCATAACATATTATTAATTGTTTAAAATTAAGAATGAGTTTGAAGTACCAATATCATGACAAATGAGACATAAATTGTTTTATTCGATAAAATTTATTATCAATCATTTTATTGCAGAGAAATTAAGGTTCATGATTTTTTATTATTAGCTTATTCACTCCTTTCGCGCCAATTAAGGAACCACTAATATCTAAGGACTGGAATCTTTTGGTTCTGCATTGTCAACCCATTTTATTTTCACCCTGGATGAGGTGGGGGCATGAGATTCGAACATGATATATGTAATCTGCGATGCTAACACATTTAAGGCCATCGCGTCGCCCTATTACTAATTTCAGTTTCACATCACTATTGATCAGTTTAGAATATTCAAAATTGCATAAAAATATCTCAGGATTTGAGACTTCTTTCATGGCTATCCATCGTTCTAAAACTGTCTCATCATGTCTTTTTCTACCGTTATTAGGTTTTGAAACAAGCACAACACTTCTTGAATCGTATAAATGCATCGGCTTCATCATCGAGGGGGAGAAAGGCTCCGTCATCTGCCTCTCTGGCTGCAGCAAGAACGGCGAACAGAGAACTTGTAAAAGATGGATATTTGGTGGAAATTTCACCTGAAGCTGGAAGTCAAAGAAAACTTCGCCATGTTTTTTTATACAGTGATCTACTATTATGTGCAAAGCAAAAACATGCTGCTGGGTGAGAATTTTTTTTTCATTTATCAAAATCTATATATTTATTGTTTACATCCCTAATTCATTGCTTTTTTTTGGAATTCAATTTTTGTTCGCAAGTGTGTAATACCCTAACGAGAGTACTAGTGTCCTTGCTCACAACAAGACTTCATAAATGATTAAGATTTAGGTGTGATAGGCGGTGGTTTTAATAAAATGACTGTTTACTGGACATTTAGCCTCTTGTCGCTATCCATTCTGTACCTGCTAAAATTTATGTGTTTTTCTTATGTTCAATGGGGAACAAGTACCATTTTGCACCATTGTAGCCATTAACTGATTGATTTATGGATGAGTGTTATTTATAAGAATTTGTGTTAAAGAATCTGGATTTGTACACTCATATCTTTAATTTGGCATTATTTTTATTTCATAATGGTTTCTATTATGCTACTATTGCAATAAGTGCATTATAACTTTCAGTCCCTTTCAGCTTTGTTTATCAGTATATTAGCTATATAAAATGTTTTTCATTCAGAATGTTTCATCACAAGGAATCATATGAAGCAAAGTGGTACATTCCTCTCGCTGATTTATCGTTCAAGCCGACTGATGATTCAGAAGGTTTGTTGTTACCTTGATGACAAACTTCCTTGTATATGTTTTTGCTATTATGAAATATGCATTTGAAAAATGTTGGGTGGTCACAGTATTATTGCAGTCCAAAGATAATATTTACTTGAATTAACTTATGCATATTATCATGTTTTGTTTGAATGGAAGATGTAGTAATAATATTATCTTATTCTAATACTATTGCTCGTAATATTATCAAAGGTCAGAATGTTATTCTAAATACTTCTGTTTCATAGTTGGCCTACTTTTATTGGATTTTTGTGTAAATGATCGTACATTTTGACAATGACAAAAATACATTTTTAATGCACTTTAAATGCCTTCTGTAAAATTTAATCGTTTTTGAAAAGTTTTTGCTTGCAATGGGGGAACATTTCAATCTATGTGCCCTTTTTCTTTCTTCCAAAATTATATACTTAACTGTAAATATCCTGTTTAAACTCCTTAATGAACTTCATAATCAGAATTTTTGTTTTGTACATCTCGCCATCGAAAATGTTTTTGTAGCAAAACTTTTTTTGAACAGTTTTGAACTGCCATGTCAAAATTCTACATTATGTACTACATTGCTGATTGAAATACCATGTGTCTAACTGTAACTATGACAATTCTCCTTTCTCTTCTTTTCTGTGTTAGTGGATCTGTATACACTTAACGCAAGGATACTATAACAAGAACCTTATTAACAGCACTTTCACAAAATTTAATGCTGTGAAAGTGTGGTGGAAACTACTCAATAAATAAAATTGAGGTTTCATCAAAATGTAGTTGAATGTTTATAACAATTAGAATACCGAATTATATTCTATGTTATACAAGACAGAATAAATTTATTGAAAATTTCAGGCGCTTTTGACGTTCCCGAAACAAGTGAAGATGATTTGAGAGACTTAAGTAACCGAGCTATTGGGCTAAAGAAAGAGATTGCTCGTGAAAAGAAACGTCTCGCTGGACGAAAAGGTCAATCTGCAGCTGATCAAGAAGGTGGTCAAACACTAACAAGTAAACTATTGGAAAGAACCAGAAAGAAATTGAATGAAGTGGAGGCTCAGATTGTATTGTCTGCACCTAATTTGCCTCTTCGAATTTATCATATGCAAGGAAAGGTATGTGGATAGTCATACATATAATAATATTATAACTTCTGATTAAAGGAATTTGAGCAACATGCAATATCCTAGTACCCTTTGTCTCAGCACAAACTTTTTCTGTTAAATGAAAATCTATTTATTTCTTTCAACTCCTAATTCGTTCATAGATTGGAATTCAGCTCTGTGTGAGCATAACACATTAATTGGAAGTCAGTTTGGCAGTAGTGGTTAAGACATCAATACTTTTGCTTTGTCATGACCTATCAATCATTTCCTTGTTTTGAGTACTGTTTGTATATCACCAACATTGGACATCAGTACAATATCTAAACTTCAGCAATGTTACTTCCTGGTATAAAATACCATTGGTTGTTTAGGCATATGTTGTATAAATGCATTCTCATTTCTCAGTTTCTGTTCCATTTATTCAACTCTAATTTAGTCTTCATATTCATAGCAGTCCAGCATATAGGTTTAACTATATAATATGTGTCATCCGCTCAATGTACACAAGTCATAAATATTTGGTTGCGACGACACCTGTGTATTTGATATAAAAATAGCTTTGTTCTGGTTGTTTCAAAACATTACACTGGGAATAATTAAACTGTTTGCCAACAAATATTGATTCTCATGTAACAAGGTAATTTGTGAATTTGGTAAATGGTATCATTCACCACTCACCAAATTTTATGTAATACGGTGGATACGGTAAATAGTTGTATTTTTAAACTATCTGTTTGCGTATGTCAGTCTGAGTTGCAAATGCATTGTTCAGCAATCTGTTGATTTTTACCTTGTAAGTTTAGGTACAATACTTTCTGTGACTTCAGCAATTGAGCTAGTGTGATTTGTGCAACAACCATTTTCACAATATCACAACCGAGTAACCAAGAATATAGCTTTGTTTTTATTCTCAAATTTGATCATCATCATATATCGGTTTACATATATATATTCCCATGCCATGACATCAAAATGATTCCTCTACAGTTTTCTGGTTTTATACAAGAACATTTTTACTAATTTAACTTTTTTTTTGGTTGCGCACTTTGGAATCGTCAGGATATCAAGGTATATTATTGAGTGATAGCCCTGAATTTGGAAAAACAATTTTTTTTTGCGATTGGTTTAAAATGATGAACTTATGAACAAAACCAACTATTTTGCTTATTGGTCATAGTTATGAGATGTTTGCGTTTGATTATATTTTTTGCAAATTAGTGATAGGGATATCCATATTATATTGTAATTTTTATAACATACCGGTTAAACCAAAGTTGAGGAGTTTTTCTACTATGAACTGATATCTTTTTCATGATATATTTTTATAAATTCAGAGACAGATCAGTCTCCTCTTTATTTACTGTTGCAAAAATTTCATCCATGATAATTCATGCTCGTGTGGTGTCAAAACTATTATATTTTTATTTTTCAGAGTTATATGTTTCTCATGTCGTCTGATTATGAGAGAGCGGAATGGACGGAAGCAATCATAAAACAACAAGAATCATGTTTCAAAAGCTTCTCATTAACTTCAATAGAGGTTCAAATGCTCTTAGCATCATGTGTGAAATTACGAAAAGTATGTCTTTTTTTAAAGAGGGGGGAGATTTTTTAGAGCAATGTCACATGAAATCACTTAGGAGTGAAATAAAATCATCTCTGAGTAAATGGGAGAGCTACTGAAACGTTAGGGATTTATGGTTTTGCATTACCTGTCAGCAAATGCGGATTGACGTGAGACCTGAAGCAGTTGAAGTCAATAGGATTAGAAAATGTGCTTATATTTCAAAATTTGATGTAATTAGAATTTATATTGTTGGGATTTGTTTGAAAGACATCAACGAGCTGTTTCTATTCGACAGTCACCAAATCACGCCTTGATCTAGCATACATGTAGTACTGATTTGTTATTATGTGGCAATTTGATTTTAATTCAATCTTTATCAAGCTTTATCCTAAGCCTAAGGCATAGATTTTTATTTTTATATTGTAGGCTAGTTATTGTTTTTTAATCAGAATACATCTTAATTTCTTATCTTACAGGTCAGTACTTTTGGATCAATGTTGATAAAGGATGATGAAGATTTATTATCAGGATATCTAACAGTGACTGTTCATTCTGGAGAAGGTTTTCTTCATGCCTGCAGTAAGATTATTTCAACTCAATTTCCCATTCAGTTGCACAGGATTTTATCGCAATAACATATTGTTGTTTAGGACAGTATTATTTCATGTGTATTGTAAAATGTATACCTGGAATTCTCCCCCCCCCCCAAAAAAAAATCTTCCGAGGGTTAGATGACTATCCACAGTACCAGTAGCATATGTGAATTACACTGAGGTTTATTATCCAATCATGCAAAAGATTCAAATTCGAATTAATTTCCACCACCTCAGCCATGCCCATCACTCTCACCAAAATTCCACAAAGGTAGCGTATCAGTATTTTAATCTTCTCATTGTGTGTGCTGAAAAGAGAATTATTTTCCAACAACAACAACAACGAACTAAACAATCCATTTGTCCACTTCTGGTCCAATAATCAAATTTCAGGTTCACTATGATATATTTAAACACTTTCAGTCCTTGTTGAAAATTTAGCTATTCAGCTAATTTAAGATAAAAATTAAGAGATTTTATTTTTCACTTTCATTCAGATTCATATTTCTGAAAATTTAAATTATACCTTTTTGCAGATCCATATTGTACTCTTGAAGTTGATTCGTATGGTCATTTCCAAACAAAAGCAAAGACAAGACTTAGTGAAAATACACAGAAACCAGAATGGGAAATGGAATTTGAATTAGAAGTTGATGGAGCTCAAACTTTAAGAATATTAACATATGACAGAGCTCGTGGATCCAATGCAGCATATAATGATGATGTACTCATTGCTAAAGGAAAAGTTTCGGTATGGAATCGTAATATTTATTATAGCCTGTAGCCAGGGATGTAAATAACAAATTGAAAATATTCAAAATTGGTTAAATTAGTATAGTAAGTGTTATTGATTTTAAAAATGCAAACTTTCAACTTTTCTCTCTTTTACACCTTAAAAATTTCAAAAGTAAAATACCTCTCCTCTTCCATCAATATTTTTCATATTTTCACTTCAAATGCTTATGCTATGATTCAAAATGCGAATAGGGCGTTAAAAGAAATATTTTGGTTGTAGAATTTGGATGTATCAGCCGAAAATTGATTCCGTTTGAGCTCAAATTTCTGCAACTAATCATTCAACAAAACATTATATATTTTATAATACCTGAAAACGATAAATTTCTTATCTACAAAATTTAACCCTTTGGAGAGTCAAAATTTGCCTCTGGTTTAAGAACCTCTTTTTTATATGTATATATATATATATATGGTTAAATTTTCTGCATTATCAAATTCAATCTCTTTGAAAATATATTTTTTTGTGTGATTTTTTTTTTCACAAAAATCGTAATCGTTTCTGGTCATTTCTGCCTAGAATGCTGAGAATGCTTACAAGGCACAATTCATAAGGCACCCGGACTTTTGAGAGGCATTATAACTATAATTGATTTTAAAATGTTTACATGTAATATATTTACAGTTAGTTCAAGGTTCTCTTCGCAACCATGAATGGGTCAAGGAAACAGTTTTAATGAACGAAATAGAAATCAAAATTTCGGCCAAATTCACACCGAGAGAACAGAGTTTACGACGACTGCCTTCACAAAAATCAAACGGAGTGTTTGGTGTTAAAATTGGAAAAGTTACCAAGTACGTATTACACATGGTACTCCCGTAGTATGTGTACCAGATTAGGGTTAGGCTATAATTTTATTCCGATTTTCCTTATTTTATTTCTATTACGAGTTCGCAGACTGTCTGTGGTAGCCAAGTGAATATACACCCTGCCCACAGGCTCCCGTCCCTTTACACAACTTGATATAAAGGAGGCTAACAAAATTAGTTACCTCCATATTGGTACTGTACTACACACTGTATGCTTATTGGACACGTGGTGGCCTATTCATCGTTTTGTTATTATTAAAATGGCTTTTTTCTTTAAATATTTCAATTGCTTTGAAATTTTCAGTGTTTAACGATTGTTGTTGTTGCTAGAAGGCTATTTTATTTATTCCAAAAACTTTTGTGGGTTCTGTGGGATTTGTTTTTCGTATGTGATGACATCATCGAAATAAAAAAGTCAGACTCAAAAAGTAGTTTGTTGTTGTTTTATATTTGCACTGCTTTTATTATTATTATTTTGCACACAGTAGACTATTAGATATGTGCGCTGAGAAAGTAAATACCGGTAATTATCACATGTTCTGTCATATATCACTTCACCTAGACTTCCCTCATGACCACTGCCTACAAACTTTGAAATATTAAATTGCGATTCTGGTACTCATCAACTAGTTTTGTTTATTCTTTTATCCTCCCTTCCTCATTTTGCAGGAGAGAGCATAACCATTTCCCCCACATTGTAAAAATGTGTGTACAAGAAATTGAAAGTAGAGGAATGGATGAAGTTGGAATATACAGAGTATCAGGTGTTGCTTCGGAAGTCAAAGACTTGAAAGCTTATTTTGATACAAGTAAGATAATCCTAATAACAGAATTCGCTTTTTTTGATATCAATAACACTGCAGTCTCTAAAATCAGACTCGCTGACTGTATATTTCTTTTGAGAAAAATAATTTTACCTCTCAGAATACATAGTAAAGTTCTGAAGTTAGTGTCATGATCAACCATGTTCAAAATGAATCGAATATTTGAATCCAATATAAATTGATTACTGTAAATTCTTGATTTTAAATATAATTTGGAATAGTTTATTTCTGAAAATTTTAATTGAGCAATTCAGGTTGGACTGTATGATAAATAAACATTTGAAGCTGTAAATAATTGACCCGATTAAATCATTTTTCATATTAGGTTTCCCTGCGTTTTCAATTTAATTGAATATATGTTTACTACATCGTTTTGCTTGTTAAAAATGTCACAATTTATTTTTATTTTAATATTGTTTTATAGCATATTCCTAATAGTAGCTTATACAATTTGACCATTCCTGTCTATTTCACAAATTTTATCACTTTAATCCTTGACTTCTCTCATGTTCTGACCTGTGATTTGAAGTTCTTTTTTGGACTTAGACTCAATTATAATTAGTGAAATATAGCCAATGAACTGAAATATTTCAACAGTAAGTGGGAATTATCAAAAGCAGACAATTTAACCTTACAGAAAATATTGTGATCAACTTTTATTTATGAAACCACAGTTTCAGTGAACCAAAATATTCAAAACATTGATGAATTTCATTTCAATCTCTTTTATAATTGAATTGTATTCTATTCATATTCCTCATCATTGCTCTGAAAAAAAAAATTCAGAAGGTACAACGTAAATGTGCACTCTATTATGTGATGTAATGTTTGTTTTAGATCGCAAAGATGTCTCTCTTCTGCTCAGTAATGTCGATATAAATGCAGTAGCTGGATGCTTGAAACTTTACTTCAGAGAATTGCCTGAACCTTTGTTTACAAATGCAAAATACAGTGACTTCGTTGAAGCAGTAGGACTGGCGGATCCTGAGACCAAACATAATACAATATGGAGATTATTGGCAGATCTTCCACCAGCTAATTATCACACGCTGATTTATTTAAGACAACATTTGCTAAGGTAAGCATAGCCAAGGTATATGTATGTGTTGGCCAGGAATGATATACTAAAATTTAAACTTGGGTAAATCTGATTGGAGCAATATTTTCGTATATATATGCCCAATAAACTTCACTCCATTCTGAAGAAAAAATCCAAGAGTATTTCCTGTATGGTGTGCTTCAATAAAATGGCTATCTTATGTCTTACTTTACCAGCTTCATACCCATCATAAAATAAGATTAATTAAATGTTGTCATTATGTTGATTTTCACACAGTTTTGTATAAACAAAACGAACTTTCTAATTCTCATATTTCTCCAATCATACATCACTCTTGGCTGATGTTTCTTGAATAAAAATTTTCATATAGGTGGACAGTCTAACCTACTCCATTGATAATTGTGTCAATTAACTGATTGAGCTTGCTGCAGGGCTCATTCCCTTTTTTACACTGATATATAAATTAGAAAAGTTGAGGTCTAGCATTGGCAAGTCCTTTTTTCAGTCTTATGCCCAACACCTCTGACAGAATTTACAAAATTGAGAAATCACAAACCAAAAGTACTTACTTACATTCATGGTAACTCATATTTGTATGGGGATGTTTGTACAAAGTCTTGGGATAGAAGTGTGGAAACAAATTGGTTTTATTGTACCAAATGTCTGCTAATTTCAATATACTGGAATAATTAAAACATTGCTATAATTTACAGAGTTGCAGAAAATGATTCTGTAAATAAGATGACTCTCCATAATCTCGCCACTGTTTTTGGACCAACATTGTTGAGACCTGCAGAAGATCCAACTAAAACTGATACAAAAAATTCAGATGTTCTTATGCTCAGTGCATTAAGAATGGATGTACATTATCAGGTATGCATTGATCAGAATTTTATAACCAGACTCAAACAATTGGTTGTTTCTAACATTACTGGGATTTTCTACCTGGTTTGTCCATGGGTTCCTTTTTAGGTGGGTGTTTGTATGGTACTGAGATTTACCCTAGCCTTTGAGTAACCAAAGTATGAATTTATATCTGCCCTGAGTGCAATGAAATAATAAGAGACAAAATAGGCGAGAAATTTGTTTTTTTGGCATGAATATTTATCTCAAAGCAGCTAGATCCCATATTACGAGACTCATGACTGTATAGCTGCTGTTCAGCGATAGCAAATGAAAGGCATTTTGCAACTGCTGTATAACAGCCCAGGCGGTAGTTTTGGCCATGTCTAATTTTCCCAGTTTGTCTCTTTTAATAGGCGTGGGTGGTGTTACGGAAAACCCTGGTAGTGGTCATACAGATGGCCATGCATTTCCCATATTTAAATTTCATTTTCAATGATCTATCATGTATCATGTATATAAAATAAAACACAGTATATAAAACTAGTATATAAAAGTTCCTTTTGTAGAATTGACTGACTTCAAAATGACAGTTGGGGCTTCTAGCTTTAATAATAATCATTGTTACTGTTTAAGTCTGTTTTAATTTGATTTATCCAGCAATTCTATGTTGATCTTTATATCTGAAGAATTTGATTGACATCAATTTATCTTCAAGATTTAATTTCAAGTTATGTAATCTTGCCATAATTTCTATTGTTAATTCTTGATGGAGTTTTTTGGTCGTCATGCTGTGGTAAAAAAAATTCCCTTTTATTTATTTCAGGTTGGAGTCTTGCTATATTGCCTTGAGTTACCAAAGATGCCGGAACTTGGAGCGACAACTACTGGCTCAAAGTTGGTTTCCAATTCTACAGATAATGAAGGAAGACAATCGCCAACCACTGTACCAAAATCTGTTGTTGGTACTTCATCGAGTATGAGAAGTACTCGTGCACCTGATAATGTGTATGTGAGCGCTGATAATGATAGCAAAATACCACGGCAAGTCAGTTTTGGATCGAAACCACCGATTAAATCTAGGCAGTCAGTGACGAGGTCCATTACAATGGATGATGCCAGCTTAAACAAGGGCGATTCTGTTAAAGTGGCACGACCTGAAAAACCAATAAAACGAAGCACTGGTATGCCTTCTACCCCTGCATCTCAGCTTAGAGAGCGTTATCATGCTTACGAAGAAGTTGACATTGTACCACTCAGTAAAAGCCCCACTCGAACAACAGCACCACAATCACTTATACCTAGTACAAGCCAACAAAACTCAAGTAATAATAACAGTGTAAAAGTGGATAAAAGGAAAAGCCAATTTGGTGGTAAAGCCGTCGCCCCTCCACGGGTTCCTCCTAATAAACCTAAGCCAGCCCCAAGAAAACCATCTGTCAAAAAGCAGCAAACTGTTGTTACAGACTTGTAGAAAACTTCACATGATACGCATTCTATGCGAGAACGCAGCGTGACGTGACATACATATGGCTGTGTTGCATGGCTCAGCAATGCATGGGAAAATTGATCTTGAACTGATTCTTCTAGTATTTTTATGCATTGAATTAGCAGTGAATGTGTTACATATACAACAGTGATACCATGGTCCAGTTTTAAGGACCAACAAATTTCACTAAGCTATTTTTAAAAAAAATATTGTCGTTCTCTTATTTTATTTTTTACTCACCCAATAAATAACAAAATGCTTCATGATGATAATGAATATACCAGAGCTTTTTTTCATTCATTGCGCATTTTTTTTTATCCGAATAAGTCTGCCTTTTAGTTTGTCACAGCATTCAGTGGAGGACATGTTCCTTTTTCATTTAGCAATTTGTCAGACGACAAATTGATACTTGTGTTATTGACAGCTTCATTTTATTCTTTCTATTGATTTTTTTATAGTTTAAACTTCTGTCCATTTTTCATTTTCAATACGGAACAAATCAGTGAGGATCAACAGAAACTTTAGCATATATTATCTGCACATCTACATGGTGACAAATATGAAATGTTCCCATTTTAATTCTGATGAATTTTATGCATTCCACCACATCACCAATCGGGACAAATCTCTAGGGGGAAAATAAAAGTGCTGCAAAATTGGTATACGTGTAAATAAAAATAGGCACAAATACACTGCCATATATAGGATAGGATCTCGGCATCTACACCATGATTTGTTGAGGTCATGGTATTCTGAAATCTGCCCTAAAAAATTATCTAATCTATATGCTTGAAATTTACAATTCAGGCAAAATTTTACTCCATAGAAAACTACAAAAAATAGTTTTAATTTCCTGAATCTTTATTGTAGTATATCTAGCTCAAATATCATAAATTCCCACAATTCCCGCTAAAAAGATTGTACTTTCCAACCTTTTTCTTACACACCCTTGTACTTGATGTTATTTATGCATAGTAATATTGCACTGCATGAATGCAGTGATATTTTGGTTTCTTGTATTGTTGTAAGTAAAGGTACTTGTCTCTGTTTCATGATTTGCACCAGCTCATCGGTATGATAAAATTTTTTGGACTACCTGATTCTAGTTTTTTTTTATTATCTGCAGTTTTATATTTTTTCCAGTTGTTATGTGCGCTTAACAACTGGAATTTATAAAGAAGATGATGTTGTTAAAAAAATAAATGTATGTGGGGATCAACAAGATACTTGATCGCACAGTTCATATTTTTTGTGCAATATAATCTCATGTATCAAATACTTGGTATGTTTGTTGATGAAAGTTAAATTCAGTTGCGAGCCTGAAGGTGAATTTCCGGTGTTGTCTTGCCTTTTTTTCGATCTTTAAATTTTTTTATATTTTTTATTTTACATCTATTTTTTATTCTAAATTTGAGTAAACAGAATAGTAGAAACACAATGAGACAGACATCAACTTGGTAGATCAGTTTTATTCGCAGGTTACATACAAATAGATAGAAAGATATGTCATTACTCATTATTACTTAGTCATAAAAAATAATAGAAATTCATGCGGAAATGAGGCATGATTCATCACTTAGTACAGCGTGTATGTATAATAGAAATTCATGCGGAAATGAGGCCTTCATCACTTAGTGCGTACGTACAACGTGTATGTAATATAACCTTTTTTTATACAGGAGGGTCAGGAGCCCAGATATGATACAGATACAGCGGGCCACATCTTAATTTATAGGTTTTCTAGTAGCCGTGCTCGCAAAGATTTACGTTATAGATCTTAGGACATGCGTTGCTCGCTTCGCACTTGCCAGCTATTGGGGGGCTTTGTAACATCATAGATAATTGGATTCAGGTATAGGCTTCACAAAAAGATTAGAATTACCCACACGTACCAGATACAAAACCCGTTTCGTGGGCCACCCACAATTCAAAATTGGCACTTCTCGCGGGCTGCACAATTTTTCCCTTTGGGCCGCAGATTGCACACCCCTGCTCCACAACAACACTATGCATATATATGTACAACGGTAGTGCCTGAAATGCGAAGTGAAAATATCCTGGATTTCCACCTTACCAGAAACAAACTGCGACAGATCAGATCGTAATAGAAGATACATTGGTATCATTCAGAAATAGCTCTTATAACATCTTCACTTAAAGTCATATGAGGTGTTTGACCGTAGTTACTCATAAGTTTCATTTTTAAATCAGTATATTTGATTTTCCATCTGTTTCCGTCGCTGACATCTCTTACAAGTCCGAAACATTGTTCAAAAACTCCCATAAGTATCTGTCTATCGGGTGAGTTACAAGTCTCGTTGAGTTTATGCAAAGTTCCACACACAGCAACTTTTGCGAGACCATGTGGACTAATTGTTCCTCTATATCCTTCAGGAGTTGTATTCGGATTCAATACTGCATTGTCCTATAATAAGAAAAAATGTTTTCCTCTATGATTTTGGTAATTGCTACACATATTCGTTATACTCCCAACACATACATCACGGAAATTAGAGATCATATAGCACTAAAATACCATAACAGCTTGTTCAGTTGTTTCCTTAACCACAAGTACTCAGTGGGTGTTAACTATTGACTGATTATTACCAGACTACTGATCTTGATGTTTTTTCCATAATCATTTTTTCATTATTGGATAAAAATGGTAAATCAGCATTTCAAATCAAAATCTTGTATTTATCTCAATGATAAAATGCCCATTTTCCCATGAAATCTTATTTTTAGCAATCTAATTCAGCACTATTTCGCAGATAAAATGATAAACAATCTTACAAGGAAAGATTTGTTCTTGTTGGGAAATAGGTAGTTATATTTACCTTCATAACTAATGAGGCAAGTTTTTCTTGTGCTGCCTGAGCACCAATAAACTTTTCTTCATGTTGATTATTGCCTTCTCTAATCACAGTGAGTACAAGTACAGCATCAGGACAGAAATTCTGTGCTCCCCAACCTGGTGACTGGTTATCTGAAATATCAAAGTTATTATTTGGGGATCAGAAGAACATAGGCTTAATAGAATAGACCAGTGGTCGACAAACTGCGAGACACGAATATGTAAGTTCTAACAATGAATGTTGAACGGCATTAGTTTTGTAGTAATTTGAGTGAGCGAAAGCACATGTCAGTTGTATGTGTCATTTACTTGACAAACATGAATCGTTGCGGGAGCGCAATAATATGAAGTTTAAAGTAGTAATTGTTTATCGGTGGAAATTTAATTGGGTGCGTAATGTTTGCCAACCACTGATTTGACTATTAAAAATAAAGCTAGTTATATAATGAAGCCTCAAAAACAAATGAAGGTCTACCCAATAACCGGTAATTCAATTCCATATTCTCAAATTTGCAGTTACAATGTGATTTATTCAAGTCTGTTCAACTTTTGCTACTACCGTAATTGGAATCATTCAGATATAACTGATTTTACATAAGACTGCTGAGCGAGATCAAAGCATACCAAACTTACAAAACCTACCGTAATTTGTTCATTTTCCCTAATTGTCAAAGGTAATCATTGCAAGTAGTGGATACTAGTGACATATTTATCAAAACATGAGAATCATGGTTTTATTGATCAAGTAACAAACTAACAATATAAACGTCAGGAAAATCATACTTTTGATATTATTAAGCATTGGATAAAACCATAATATAAATTCTTTTGCCAACTGTTGACCGGTGTCTAATCCATCACCAACGGAAGAAGCTGACACAACATTCAATACATTTTTCTCCTCATGATGTATAAACGTGTTATAATTAATCGTAATTTGTTGAGAAGTTTGGCCCTGAAATTCATGTGGATTAATATACGAGTGGTAGTTATGAGTGAAAATGCACGAAGAATTTAGGATATATAAAATACAAAATTTCTGATATTCGATATGACTATTTCAACAATCCAGATTAGCACTATTCATATCCAGCACTATTCTTTTATCCTTCTCCAGACAGCTGGCAAGCAATTACTCACCAGTGGGGAAACTCTGGAATAAACAGAGTGATGTGGGGAAATAGAACATGCGATCAGCAGTGGGGCATAACAGAATATTACTAACTTCTATTTTGCTAAAATATTTTCTACTTCTGGTATCAATTCTTTAGTTTTGTAAAATTTTGATTAGTTGGGCTAAGATTTTGTAGTTGGAATATTGATATACTGTAGCCATAGAGCAGATATCCTTGATACTTCTTATCGATTTTCCAGTGATTTTTATTATCTTTCATTCAATCTAACCTGTGTTGAGTGTGATGACAAATGTTTATTCCTTTCAACAACACCCTTACTCCAAAAATCAATTATCACACTGACAAGTTCAATTTTTGTGCATTTTGGATTAATTCCGCCAACATTCTTCGAATGCAAATATTGAAATAAAATTTCATGTTTCAGCTTCTTACGATTTAGCAATTCTTCAACAGTTTTGGAATATGTCAAAATCGCATCAATGGCTTCTGAAAGATAAAATTGTAAATAAGATATTGTAATCCATTTACTTATTCATGAATGGACAGAATCTTTCCAGTTTGGTATAGCATAACTAGCTTAAAACATCATGGGGTTGGAACATGGAATTTTTAACCCACAAAGAAAGCATATACCGTATATTTAATATGTATAGAGACATCTCGAGAGTAACAGTGACATATTTAAATTTTCAAAGATGATAGAATACACATTAACTTCTGAATTTGGAAACACACAAAGTTATTTTTGATTATTATGTGAAAAAAATCCATATAAATAACTTAAAGTCTTTTTTGGCATGATTTGACGTAATAATCTGTGGATAATGTGCTTTGGTGAGATTATTTCGAATGTATTGCTATAATGATTTCAGAATATCTATGCCAATGCAAACCAGTGTACTTTCCTGTTTGGCAAGCTGTTAGTGTTTAGTTTTGAACTCAGTAATGGTTTCATGCAACTGCATTATTATTAGCAGAATTGGATTCCGATTACAAAATAATGACTGAATTGAAACAATCACAACTCGAAATAGTTGAAACAAATGTAAAATGAATACCTTCTGGGTTAGTAGATGCAATAAGCTTGTTGGTGACTGTATCACACAGACCAATCAATTCATGTTGTGGAAGCATTCGTAATAATTCCACACATCCTTGTTTTTGCCTTCCTGTGATCATTTTCTGTTCACAAATCCTTCAATATTTCATCATATAAATACCCCTGTTTGAATTTAATGCCGGACTGGAAATTAAAATGACCCACAAATAATAGAATCAAGCACTTGCAGACTTGGATAAGGCAATAATAAAGCGCGGCGGTGTGGCTCATCGTGTTAGAAATACGCTCGCCACCGCACCTCTGATTACTTTGCGTGGGTTCGCAGGTTCGAATCCCATGTGGGATGGTTATGTGCGAGAGGATTGTTGGACTCCTCGCCGCCGTAGGGTGGTTCAAGTAACTTACCACTGGTCGGTTACGGCTTCCTACCATCATGTCCATGCTTCCGAAAACAAATAACTACCTAATTCCTTACCCAACATGCTGACATGGAATGGTAACCGGACGAGAGGCTGTGGTTCGCCATATGGTTAAGCCGGCTTATCGACTTTCCTTCTCCCCCGGGATAAATATGTAAATCCTTATCCCAATACTGTAATACCTGAATTAGTGAATACCGGTAATGTACCGTAATAGAAATCTCATCTGAACTACGGTAGGTATACCGGTACAACATATGCGTCATAAGCCATAACAGATATTTTTACTGTACTTATAGCTGCTAGAACTGATATAGACTATAAACAAATGTGCATTTAATACATGTGCATATATCAGTATCTATTGATACTTAAATTATGAAGAAATCAAATTTCACTTTTTCCAAGTTTAAAAATCAAGTATAAGTATAAGTTTATTTCGACTCCATAATCAGCAATAGACGATAAAAAAAATAGATAAAAACAAAAGTAAAAGTAACTGATTATAGAATCGGGAAAGCGAACAAAACCTAGAGTAAGGTTTGAAACGTACAGATTTTAGATGGAAAGGTATTGATAAAAGAAGTAGTACGTGTTCGCTCACCCAATATTCACCGGTACCGGTATTCAGTTTTGAACTCAGTAATGGTTTCATGCAACTGCATTATTATTAGCAAAATTGGATTCCGATTACAAAATAATGACGCTATGTACCGGTAGTTACACGATTCCCGACGAGCAGAAAAATCTAATTCACACCACTGCTATAAAACTTTAATCTAGTTTTATCTAATAATTATTTGTTGTTTAGAATAACACAAAATTCTATTTCATACGTATTTCAGTTGCAATGGCTCCAACTTTTTCAACTGATTTGTGACTGTATCACGAATATTACTCTCCATTTTAAATTTAGGTTTGTTATGGAGTTTTCGAAATAAACTATCTATCTATCTATATTTCTGGCAACCATTTGTACAAGTATATTTTCAGGGGAAGTCCCGATTGTCACAAAGTAAACAAAAATGTCCTGACTAAGCTCGCAGTCACGCGCACATCATCGCTTACTGACATTTGCAGATTTGGGCTCGCATAGGTATTTCAGTGCCTTACGCATAAGAAAGAGATAACTACGGGAAAACGTATGGAAATAATATGGCATCCAAAACTGAACTGACGTATCGATTGCTAACAGACGAAGACTTGGATGAAGTAATAAAATTCATACAAACACATTTCATTCCCTTCGAACCTTTGAGCGCTGCTGCAAATGTCAAAGCAGAAGAAGAAAAGGAATTTCCCCGCATTTTAATCAAGGTTTGATAATCACTTTTTCAACAAAATTTCAATAGCCATTTACAGTTGAATTACTTTGAGTTAATAATAGCAATTTTGCAACCTCACATTTCTGTTCTGACATTTTTGTGTGCTCGAATAAATAGCCTCTTATTTTAGCTATCTAAGGTATCGTTAACATACCATCATTTGCAAATAGAACTGTTTTGTGTAGCTTGCTGCAGTGAGTCTAATAGGTAATTACCAACAGAAATTTCTGAAGACTTAGTTTGAAGTGTTTTTGTATTTAGCAAAATTCAGGAAAAAAATTCTAAGATCTTTCAAGATAACACATGGATGGTTACGATACTTATTGACAGAAATTAATGTTCTGTAATAGAAAAAAAGTCTCAGAATATGAACTCAACCAACTCTGTCTTACAAAAAAGCCGTGAAATTTGCAATCAGAATCCAAAAATCAGGATAGAACTTTTGACCATTAGAATTATATTTTTAATGAACAAATTATGTATATCAACCCATGGTGAGCTTTAGTCATGGTGAGCTAATGGTGGTCTTGTATAATTTGTAAATTTTAGAAAATTCATTGACCAGTTGACACATCTTGTCACAGAATTCACTTTGGCAAGCTGCCAGCATTGGGGCGTTTGATAATTCTACTGGTGAACTATGTGCTGTTCGAGTCAATAGTCTTGGAAAGAACAATGATCGACTTGTGCCAGAAGACGAAAGCATGTCGACTGCTAAAATGCATAAAGTCCAACGTGTATGATTGTTGGTATTGTCCAACTTTAAATTTGTCTGATTTGTTTATGTTAAGTCAAGCCTAGCAATTATTTTTTACCAAGTTGTTTTGGAGGTATATGTATAAGTAAACATTATATTGATAGCAATGTAGAATGATTTACTTTAGAAACAGCTTATACCTTTGTGGTATTTACATTGACTTTTATGTTTAGATTTTAAGAGCTATCAAAGGAGGCATGTTGAAAAATGTAGTCGGAACTGAAAATTACATGGAACATATATTCGTATCTGTCAACCAAGCCTATGCAAAAAGAGGAATAGCAACAGAATTGTACAGAAGGTAAGCAAGTTGTTTGGGAATGGCCGTGCTAGTATCATTTTTGTGAAATTTAATTAATAAAATAACACTAATATAAACACTATCAGGTTGAACAATGATATCGTATAAAATACGGCTTCAAGTTGATTCAATCTACCGGAAGAGAATCAACATCTGGTATAACTAATTTTTCGACATTTATTCTCCTTTGCAATTTTCCTCAATTAGGTCTGAATTACTAGCTAATCAACATGGATGCAAGAAACTCATTGCAATTTGCTCAAACAGCTATACGAGACGTAGCACAGAAAAAATTGGGTACAAGTTAATCAATGAGATCAAGTATGATAATTATATTGATGAGGTAACTGGTGAGAAGCCTTTTGCCAACATGAAAACACCTCATTCGACAATATCTCTTGTTGTAAAAACACTGTAATTAATGTAATATCAATGGTAGGCTATATATCAAATTAATTTAAACTAATAATTTTTACTAGCAAAGCAACTGAAGCTGATTTGTGGTTGTGTGAACTCAACATGTTTAATCAATACATTTGAATCTGTAAGCAACATCAGAATAATAATACAACTTATAATTAATACCAGGTCCGCTGTATGAACAATTGTAAAGCACTGTATCATAATATTTCAATGTATGCAGAGTAGTAAATCGAACTTCCTTGGTTTTGGTGACCACATATTTACTTTCATACCACGTGCATATTTTCACTTTAATGTAGCAAAGTTTCACTTCTTCCATTTCATATTCACATTTTGATATTGTGCTTGCGATATTTTATTGCGTTTCTTCAGAATTATAAATTTATTTAATTACCTAATTTATTTACCTATTGCACTGTATTCTTGATTCCCGTTTTCATCATAATATTGCTTGATTTTTGCGATGATCTTCAGCTTTACCTATCATATTATAATTTAATCATTTATATATAGTATTTTAACACATTTAATAACAAATAAATAAACCTAATAATATTAAACTAAAATGCTAAGTGTCGGCACAAAATTAGTGTGATGGGGTTGAGGAACATTAGTGTTATAATCAATATATGTGTTGAAAATGCAGCTCTTACCGCACTTTTCACCATACTGCTTTCGTATATATATGTTCCGACAGGTTCGGCCCAATATTCTTGAGTAGGTGGGTGCATGATATTGGGATAGGATTTACATATATTTATCACGTTTTAAAGCTTTTTTATAGTAGATTTTGCGCGCTCTTTTGAATAGTTAGTTAACCCATGCAATTCCGCTGAGCATATTCCCTAAATTTCAGTTCTATCGATCAATCCAACAATCATATATTTTTGCTCCTCTGCACCACACACGACAACACCTAACACAAAAAATTCAAACAAGTGAACAAGGGGCAGAAAAAACAAGGAAGGATGAGCATAGCCTAAAATAAGGTTGAAAACGTACATGGATACGCGCTTACCCACCTGGAAGAAAAACAACAACAAATGGAGTGGAACATATTTGTATTTGGATTAACAGGGCAGCGGAATAGTGGCCCTTTAAGGCACCCGATTGACGGGAAAATTCACACTACCACATTAAATTTAAACATATAAAAACAACAACAAAAGGAGTGAAACATATTGGTATCAAGATTAACGGGGGCAGCGGAATAGTGGCCATTTGGGGCACCTTGCTTTTACTGGCCCGATTGGAAGGAGGATTCTCAATATGACAATAAATGCATTCATTTTATTAACTACGTAAGCACGCCCCGGATGCTGGTATGAAATACTATACAACATCGCCCCTCGCAAATAACGCTACTTAAATTCCCCAGCTTGCATCGAATTCATTGCATACCGTGGCTGGGCTAGCTACAAAATCCAGCGGCGATCTAACCGTATCTGTGTCTGGTGCATGAAGAACCTCTTGTACTTGTAGATAAATAAACAAGATAACTAATTGCTATAAAATGACAACGCACATGCAAATAAGTGCGCGAGTATCGTATTTCCCAAATAGATGCATTTAGCGCAATGAACATCGAAGAATGGGTCAATGCAATACGATTTTAACAGGAAAACTAGAGAGTAACGCTCAAATATATGTACACGAAAGTGTTTCAGGGGTTTCAGCATAGTATAAAATTTTACAAAATAAAACAGCAAAAAAGTGAGTTGAATAATAATAACTACGGGGCTTAGAGAATAAGTGAAATTAATTCAACCTAGCTTCAATAATTTTTGAGCGAAAATTTTGAATTTAATGTTTGCGAGAGAATCGAGTTGTTCTCGATGCGACGACACCACCAATTTAGCAAAACGTTGCTGCGTTAGTTCGAAGATGTGGAGTGGAGGTGATTACATGACTATGGGGAAATTTCCACCAGTTCGTTTGCAGTGAGAGGCGGACAACTCGCCTACATGGACAACTCGCTTGACACAACCTCCTACCGAGAGGGTGATTCAATGGATGTCTCCGAGAATATATTTTCGTAACAATGACCAATCAGCAACAAGTCAACGATGACGTTGTGTAGTCGCCCAGATATTTTTTTTTCTCAGGCAGATATGCAAGTATGATTGTAAAAATTCAGACATTGGCTCGTTATCGCGGTTTTGCGTGTTATTTACGTGTCAGTTTTCAGCGTGTTTACAAATATAAAAAGATGTAAATCAAATAACTTAATTGTCATTCTGTCCTCCGAGGAGCTTTAGATTAGTTGCAAAAATCAAAAATTAGTCCCGAAACAATTGCGATGCACCAGGCTAGCGTTTCTCAAACTGTGTTTCGCAGAACACTGCTGTTGCACATTCGCAGAAAGAGCTCCTCCTATATATATCATTTCAACATTTCTATTACGATACACATTATTGGGTGAAGGTACAACAATATGCTAAGGACGAACCCAACCAGAGTCAAGTTTCATTGTCTTGGCGGCCAAAAGTGCCGCACTAAGTCACCAGCATGGAAAGTTGTAGGACACACATTAGCATCAAAATTCTTTTTATATCTAACAGTGGTTTTCTGCAATTGTCGACGAGCCAACTAAAATGACTCTTCAGTTACATCAGAAAACCATAGTACTAAATCATGATACCATTTGGGCATAAATTTGCTAGGAGGTTTGTCGAACATCAAATCTATGAGTAGAGCGATTTCTCTTCCTAGCATCAATTTGTTTAGAGTAAAATTATTAGATACATCTAGAACAGTGGTTCCCAAACTGTTTAGAGCTGGGACCCACTATTTATTACCACAGCTTATTGCGACCCATTTAACTTTTTATGACATAACACAGAACACAGCAATGGCTAATCATCGCAAAACTACCGTGTTACCTCGAAAATAAGACCTGGCCTGGAAATAATAAATAATTTGTATTTCAAAATTGATTTAAATAAACCCTACCCTTATAAGAAATTTAAAATGTGTGGGTGAGGGAAGGTTCAATGACCTGAGGTAAGGTGAAGATCACACCACTATTCAAGATTGTGTGATTCCACAATCACAATTATGATATTTGTCACTTGATTTTTGTAAAGGAAATACAAATAAAAAAACAATGGATGTCTGTTTTTATATAATGTTTATTAAAAAATCTCGTGATTTTCTACAATGTAATTTTATTTTTGATAAATGAACACAAAAGACCTCTTCCAAAAAAAAGGTGTTATTCTTCAGAAGAAAATAAATCTAAATCCTGTCTAAATTTCGGGAAAAAGCCGTTAGAAGTGCTGTACAGTGTACAAAACTGCTATGCATAAAAAGCCACATGGTCATTCTTTGTGTAGCAAATTTTTGTTTCTTTGAGAAGATCGTAAAAAGGAAACTTTCACAGATTAGAATAAATTAAATTTCATTTTTTTTTAAGATTTACGTATTCGAGTTGCCACCGATCCTATTTAATAACCAGTATAATTAGGCTTCCCGCTGCTTGTCAGCAGGGAACCTATTGTATTCCTGTGTTTTATTATTATTATTTATTATTATTATTATTTTTTTTTCAAATTGGTCCTACAAACTTAAAATTCAACTCAAATGTGCAGAAGTTCTCAGCTAGCAATAAAATGCAAATTTCATGCATGATTGACCACGCTTTCACGCTCCAGTGAGCAAAACGCGTATTCAGTTTTTTTGCGGTTTCTCAAAATTGATACATGGTATTGGGTTGAAATTCATAACAATGGTTAATGGAAATGTTCCGGATACAATATGTCAAGGATACGCATGAGTGACCTCGGCGATACGCTCCAGTGAGCAATATAGGATTTTACATTTTCATCTTCTTCTCGAGAACGACACTACTTAGAGACTTGAAATTTACATCACATGCAGACAATAAGTCACCCATCATAATTTGCAAATTTTATGCATGACTGACCACGCTTTCACGCTCCAGTGAGCAAAACGCGTTTTCAGTTTTTTTGCGATTTCTCAAAATTGATACATGCTATTGGGTTGAAATTCATAACAATGATTAATGGACATGTCCCGGATACGATATGTCAAGGATACGCATGAGTGACCTCGGCGATACGCTCCAGTGAGCAATATAGGATTTTACATTTTCATCTTCTTCTCGAGAACGACACTACTTAGAGACTTGAAATTTACATCACATGCAGATAATAAGTCCAACATCATAAATTGCAAATTTTATGCATGACTGATCACGTTTTCACGCTCCAGTGAGCAAAACACGTTTTCAGTTTTTTTGCGATTTCTCAAAATTGATACGTGCTATTGGGTTGAAATTCATAACAATGATTAATGGACATGTTCCGGATACGATATGTCAAGGATACGCATGAGTGACCTCTGCGATACGCTCCAGTGAGCAATATAGGATTTTACATTTTCATCTTCTTCTCGAGAACGACACTTCTTAGAGACTTGAAATTTACATCACATGCAGATAATAAGTCCCCCATCATAAATTGCAAATTTTATGCATGACTGACCACGCTTTCACGCTCCAGTGAGCAAAACGCGTCTTCAGTTTTTTTGCGATTTCTCAAAATTGATACATGCTATTGGGTTGAAATTCATAACAATGATTAATGGACTTGTTCCGGATACGATATGTCAAGGATACGCATGAGTGACCTCGGCGATACGCTCCAGTGAGCAATATAGGATTTTACATTTTCATCTTCTTCTCGAGAACGACACTACTTAGAGACTTGAAATTTAAATCACATGCAAATAATAAGTCCCCCGTCATAAATTACAAATTTTATGCATGACTGACCACGCTTTCACGCTCCAGTGAGCAAAACGCGTCTTCGTTTTTTTTTACGCGGGAAGCCTGTTAAAGCTGCACGCAGCTCTAGTTAATAATGATTTTATGATAAACGTACAAGACAGTCGTCACGCTTGGCGGATCAAAGCACATAAAAATTAAAATATAGCGAAGTTTTGAATGAAATATCAGATCTCATAGGGTTCATAGAAAATCAGTAATAAATAAAAGTAGGACCCAACCAGAGTCAAGTTTCATTGTCTTGGCGGCCAAAAGTACCGCACTAAGTCACCAGCATGGAAAGTTGTAGGACACACATTAGCATCAAAATTCTTTTTATATCTAACAGCGGTTTTCTGCAATTGTCGACGAGCCAACTAAGATGACTCTTCTATTACATCAGAAAACCATAGTACTAAATCATGATACCATTTGGGCATAAATTTGCTAGGAGCCTACTAGCGAAAAATACAATCTTTACACACTGAAATTTTTTAAAGCAATTGGTCCATTAGTGAAGTTTTGAATAAAATATCAGATTTCATAGGGTTCATAGAAAAATCAGTAATAAATAAAAGTAGGACTAACAGACTACTAGCAAAAAATACAATCTTTAAACACTGAAATTTTTTAAAGCAATTAGACCATTAGTGAATGAGAAAAGCATTTTTTTCATAACAACAAGAAGAAAAATACCATCTAATGCAACAACAACATAATAGGAAAAACGATACATATGTCCATTTCGTGCCCAACAACATATTAGCTAAACGATCTTTAGATGTAGCCAATGACATGTTTAATGTCATTGATGTAGCATACATCTCGTGCCCATCAAATAAATCCGTGTCACAAATTACAAAACGGATATGTAATTGTAGTGCATTCGAGAGAGGCGATAGTGTAGTCGCATTTAAGCGTAACCAAAGTGACTTCAATATAGTCAGTTTGAGCCAATGAGCATGCTTTGAGCGTAACGAGAGAACAGCGTAACATAAACAAACGAACAAAAGCGGGGTCTCGTGTAGTTTCGTACCTAACGTACTTCTAGTAGGCGTAGCATAACAATTTTTTGACATGCCAATCCTAACCCTCACCTGACTACGCCATCCAAAAATTACGTCACTACGACGTCACAATCACGTCATAGAGCTCGCCTAATTCTCGTACGATCGCCCGAAATGGCATCGGCGCCGACGATAAAGAACTGACTAACGTCAGCGATCTCTCTCCTATCGGGATCGTTGCGACGAGAAAACGAGAGAAATGGCTGTTCGATTTCGGGTTCTCGTCTGCGCGTCTTGGATGACAGTTCGCATAGTTTGAAGGGCTCTATTACGTCACTCTGATGTCGTAGTGACGTAATTTTTGGATGGTGTGGTCAGGTGGGGGTTAGGATTGACACGTGAAAAAATTGTTATGCTGCGCCCACTAGAACTATGTTAGGTACGAAACTACATGAGACCCAAAAAGCGTAAGCTAACTAGATTTTAACTAGTACAGTGATGTAAATCATCTCCACTCTACAGCTTCGAAGTTCGAACTAGTCAGCATTTGCAATTACTGAATTAGGATCGTGCGCTAAAAAGCACCATGTCAGATGAGGTGCTATCCGTCACCGTTACAGCTCCCACTAACATCGCAATTGTGAAATATTGGGGAAAACGTTGTACGAAATTCAACTTGCCAATCAACTCTTCCTTGAGTGCTACTTTGAGTCAAGTAGGTATAAAAGTTCCTGATTTTTAAATTGTGAATGCCATGTACCAGCAAAATGGCATATCATATGATATATCTTACTTTGTTTTCTATTTGTATCCAATGTCTAACTATTGTGGTCTGTCCTTTGCCACGAAAAATCAATCAAACATGATTGATCGTAATAATTTCATCACATCAATATAGCGCAAGATACCACAGCGACCACACTTTTATTTCAGTATTTTGGGAAGTGATTATTTTTAACATTCATGCCCGAAGGATTCATCAGTTGTCCGAATTGTACTAACGCTGGTTGAGCTGAAAACCCTCTCAGATAGCTGGATAGTTCAAAAATTTTCTCTCTCAGTTGCACACCTCATTGTTCATAATACAAGTGAGTAAAAAGACCTCAGACCCACATAGGGTTATTGGAAGTTTGCTCCTATAAGACAGTAAGAGATGGTGTAAATCTTCGCTGAGTGAGTAAGCTAACGGCTTAGCATTAGTATACTCGGAATACATATGGCTTTTTATTATGTTTAGGACCAATTAAAAACTACAACAAGAATTAAAACATCACCTACTTTTGAAGAGGATGAGGTTTGGCTACATGGAAAGGAGCAAGATATTCAAAAAAATCAAAGACTCCTCAACTGCTTCAACAATGTGAGCGTATAATAAATTTGTAAGACGACGCTGAGTAGAAGCATGTTTTCATAATTTTTTTATGGTTCATGTCTATACTATCTTAACTAATGATATCTGCTGAGTAACAGATGCAAATTGAGCCCACTGATCTGGAATATATACTGATTTGACAACTTTGTACATTCAAATGACCAACAATATATTTCAACCAGTTTCAAACAACTACTTTATGCGCAATGTTCAATTCTCAAGGCAGGAAATAAAGAGTGCTCAGTGAGCTGGGGTCAGTTTCATAGCAATTGCTCAATCCCATATCCGTATTTTTTCTTCATCGCACTCTTGTCAAAAATTGAAGGCTTTTGCTATCCATATTAAAAATATAACCTACCATTTGTGGTGACTTTAGATTCGTAGACTTGCCAGAAAACAAGCAATATCTGGAGGTGAAGGATCAGCAGACCAGATTAAATTTTACAGTCAAAAGGTTCAAGTTCATACCGAAAACAATTTTCCTACAGCTGCTGGCTTAGCATCTTCTGCTTCAGGCTATGCAGCGCTTGTATTCGGACTTGGGACGTTGTTTAAAGTTCAGGGAGATTTGACATCAATTGCTCGTCAAGGTTCTGGAAGTGCTTGCAGGTTAATCGACTTTTGCTTTAAATTAAAATTGCAACAATTTGGATTTATGAAATGAAGTTCTTGCATATTAAAATAAATGTAGGAGGTATGTTGGAACATAGAACTCAACAATATCATCAGCGATCATTAGTAATTATATATATATTACTATCAATATTAGAAATATATACGGATCAATTTTATTGATTTCTAGAGATCTTTTTTTTGTAATATTAATGAAGTCTCAATGGGAACATAGATTATTATTGTATCTTGTTTAGGAGCTTACATGGTGGATTTGTTGAATGGCAGATGGGGGAACAGTCGGATGGTGAAGACTCTATCGGTGTGCAGATAGCACCAGAATCTCACTGGCCTGAACTACGGATCATTGTACTAGTTGTAAATGATGCAAGGAAAAAAGTTGGCAGCACTGAAGGAATGCAATCCAGCGTTCAGACTTCTACTTTACTTCAATATAGATCAGAAAAAATTGTAGATGAGCGAATAAAACAAGCGAAGAGAGCAATTATTGACAAAGATTTTTCTCTGCTTGCGGAAATAATCATGAAAGAGAGCAATCAACTTCATGCTGTCTGTCTGGACTCCTTTCCCCCTCTGCATTATTTGTCGAACGAATCCCACACAATAATGGATTTAGTGCATGCGTATAACAGAGCCACTGGTTGCACAAGGCTAGCATATACGTTTGATGCAGGTCCCAATGCTTGCTTATTTACAATGTCTACTTTTGTTAATGAGGTTGCATGGTTAATTGAACATTATTTTCCAGTGGAAAATGGAAATAAGATTTTCAGAGGGTTGGAAGTTGATCCTGTATCACCAGGAGATGAAGTTCTCAATAAACTGGACATGGAGATTAATCCCAATGTGATAAAGTATGCTATTCATACTAGATTAGGACATCCTCCAAAAATTGAGTCGGCAGTTAATGTGTCTTAGCAGTGACTAATGAAATATGCTTGTCAAATACAACACTGATGATAGAATGTGATAATCCATGTTGGTGCATGGATGAAACCACTTTTTCACATATAGAGTATAAAGTTTTTTTTGTTTCCAGAAGATTTGACTGATACATATTGATGTCTTCTCATCACTAAATTGTTAACCAGTGTCTGACATACTTTGAATTTGTAGTACATCACAAAATAAGCATGCAAGAACATAGTTTTTCTTTTTGCACTGTATTTTCAACACCTCTGAAATTGCATTCAGAGAAAACAAAATCAGCCGTTCATATCAGCTTATGAAGTTAAAATATCTTTACCAGGAGACAACCTACCATTATATAATTTTGAAATATGTCTTTTGAGTATTTGGATTTTCGAATATTGGAAGAGAAAGACCATACATTGGTTTGGAATTTAATGTTGGAGGAATATTTCACACGAGAACCTGTTTGTGCGGTTTCAAATTTTTCACCAGATGAAACTAAAATGTATGTTGGAGACTTTGTTAATGTGAGTCACAGTGCAGTGTCATCTGTAATAGTGTTTTTGTATAATAAATATTGCATAGCGTAATATTTCTTGGGGGCTTACTCAATTGGTTAGGAATGAAAAAAGCGGTTTTTACTGTTGATTCCCTGTCAATTTTTGTAAAGATTGCTGAACTTGTGACTCGTGAAAGCGCACATAATAAATAAAGTTGCCAACCGGTCAGCTATACTAATCTCCAATCCTTTACACTTTGGCAATTATAAATATGTATCTAATCATTCAACAGGATGGCCTTTGGCAACACGCAAGCTTGGGAGCATTTGACAAACAGTCTCACAAATTGGTAGCAATTCAAATAAATATACTTGGAAAGAAACCAAGAAAATATCTCGATTATGATGAAAATGGATATCCTATGCACGTAAGACAAGCAATTGGGGTAAGATAGATAACTGTCAACTCTTAATATATGTCCCTATAGATGCACTGAATATTATACCATCTTTCCATATCATTTTTAAGATTATGGATCATATTGCTGGAGATACCTCTGACATTATTGGGACGACAGACTACATGAACTTTATTGTACTGTGCTGTAGAAAAAGTTACTGCAATCGTGGAATTGCAACCGAACTATACAAAAGGTATTTGTTCAAACTAGTTGTTTGTAAAAACAGACGATAAGCAATCGCTTGCAAAGGGGTCAAAGAAAGCTTTCAACTACTATGAATCTTGTTCATTATCATTAAAAGTAAGACTTCGGCCATATTCCTATCAACAGTCTCTCTCTCGTTCTATCAGGTAAATTATGTTATAATGGCTCTCGCTTCAAATGATATATTCGTTAAAATACTTTTCAGATCCGAAGAAATTGCAAGGAATGAAGGGTGCAAAAAGATGTATACAATAGCAACAAACTGTTATACCCGCAAAATAACAGACAAATTCGGTTATACAGTAATAAACGAAATGAATTACGAAGACTATGTAGACACATTCACAGGGAATAAGATTTTCAACAATATTGCCAAACCTCACAGTAATATTGCACTGGTTGTAAAAATATTATAGCATTACATATCTCACAAAAGAGTAGTCCTGGTGCTTTTTGTGAATGTGTGTTGAGGTGCGTCAAACATAACTAACAGTGTTTTTGGAGTGGATGATCACTAAACAACACCACAGTTACATATATATAATGTACTATGTTATTTACAAATAAATAAATATCTAATTATGATGATTGAAGTGTTATGCTGAAAAATATTTGTTCAAAGTAGCATTTTGTTTATTAATTAATCTCAACAATGGCAAGCAATATCATAAAACCGACAGGATAACAGACATTGGAAAATCAATCTTCTTCCTCTTCGTTTTCTTCAGAGTGGACATAAAGTCCTGGCCATTGTCGAACATACAAACGGGGCATTTGTCCCTCCCTGACTCTATCCATCCAGCAAGACAATGCTTCATTATAGGATTCTTGTTCAGTAGAATGTTCTGCCAGATTTTGTGCGGCTTCTCTGGAACTCCATTTCACACCTCTGGGTACAAATATACAATACCAGTGTCTCGCACCATTTAGAGCTAGTACTGTTCCGCATGCCTTAGCAATTGGCTCACAAGTTCTATCATCAAATGAATTAACTTTGTCAAAATCGTATCCATGCAGTGATGACATATCTTCCATTTTGCCATCTCCTAAAAGTTATTCAAGTCCATCATTAATTAAAAGCCATTGAACAGAACATATATCATAAAACCACTCACCATGTTCCTGCGGTGGTTCTGCAGATGAAGACCTTCGTATCTCATTGTACCAACTTGAATATTTTCTCACATCAAGATAGGTTACTGAGATTTTTGGATCTCTGACAAGAAAATTTATAAAAATCTCAATTATTTGAGCTCAGTGAATCAAATATTGCAGAAGCATACATATATAATAACATTTACATTTTTATCAATATGCAATGTCTGCTATGAAAAGCCATTCACCAAATTGATGCAATAGTAAAAAACTCAAGTACTGTTCCCTAATGCACGCACACTTGCCCAATGATCATTGTTCTATTTTCAGATTCAAATCATAATAAAATTCTCTGAAATTGGAGCCATCTTTGTCTTAAATTGGGCAAGAAATGAATTTTTGATTCTCAATAAATATCAGCCAAGATTTTGACTTACAATACCTTACTGATCGTGCGCCTTATAAGCACCTAATTAATGTATGGATCATGTAATGGTTTATTGCCTTCACTCAAAACCAGTACCATTACCATCGTTTAATAAACAAACTGCCATTTTTGTTTTTCTCTGAATGAGATATGATAAAACATAAGAGTTTTTGGTTTAATGAGATAAGTCGATACTCCCTAAACACCGTTTTGTCTTATAGCCCGGATGCGTCTTGTGCATTGGCGAGACCTCAATCTGAGCAATTTATTGACGGTGGTGTGCCTTAGTCCTAGGGATGGGCAATATAGAATACCGAATCCGGAGGATTCGAATCCCAAAGTATTCGAATCCAACAGGATCCGATAACAGGATTCGGTTTCCGCCTCTCCGGCGCCATGCGTCGATTTTTGCATTTCGGGCTTCTAAATATCAATTAAAGACGAGCGTTTTTCTCGCGTGGAAATCTCTCTCGTTTAACTAGACTTGCGTCTGCTCAGAAAGAACCCGTAAAATCGGTAAACTTCAAACACTGTAATCTCAATCGGCGTATTCTGGACAGGAAGTCGGCGAAGTACATCTCAAGACTCGTTATTGCACCATTTTTGCGTTTTCGCCGGGCGTCAATTTTTGTATTTCGGATTTCTAATTCATCAATTAAAGACGAGCGTTCTTTCTCGCGTGGAAATTTCTCTCGTTTAATTAAACTTGCCTAATCGCAAAGAACCCGTAAAATCGGTAAACATCAAACACAGTAATCTCAATCGGCGTATTCTGGACAAGAAGTCGTGAAGTACACCTTACGACGAAGACTCGTTATTGCACCATTTTTTGCGTTTTCCTGCTTTGCTATCTAGCGAGGGTTTAATAATAATAATTATTTGTGCCGACTTACTGGCGATATTACGGTAATCTGATTGCAACAATCTTCAATTGTTTACAGGCGTGCCTTGCTTCATTTTACATTACTGTAAATGATTTTCCGCGACCGGCGAGTTTTCCCCAGAAAATGATGCATGTAAATCAAAAGCCAGGCGTAAAATGTTATGACATTACTTGCGATTAATTTAAATCAAATATTATTTTGGAATAATTTTATTACTTTTATTACACCAGTTTCCGAAATACAAAGTTATATCGCACAACACGACGATCTGTCGCATTTAAATTTCACTCCCAAAAGATTACATATCTTTCGGTCCGTTTCTATCGTTCAAGATAGACGCACGTTTGATCGAGTGTCTGTAGTAATTTTATTCGCCGATAAACTTAAAAAAAAGATGCCGCATCTGGCGAAAATAGTTACGTATTGAGTTTGAGTAGAGCCAAGTCTCGGTAGATAATGATATGTAACAATAATAAAAGAAATTGAATTCGTCGTTAGATGATGTTAACTAATAACTAACTACGAAATCGCGTTTACGGGAACCTTGTTTTGCACGTCTTGATCGCACAGAATAATAAGTTGATTTTAATTGATAGTGGTTAAATTTAATATTTTACACCGTGCATAGGTTGCAGTGGCCACACGCTGGTCCTGCATCTAATTAATTCTCAGCGGGTGTGTTTTAGTACACTCGACACTCTATAACATTAATAATGATTTAATGCCGTTTCATATCTATTTTTGTATTTAACCGCTTACTATTAAAGTGTTTGAAGCGTAATTTAGCATATAAGTATTTAGAGATTACATACATTTGGAACAATTGAAAGCAAAAATATTGTAATATTCTTAGATTTCATTGTCCTGGGAAATGCCTGTTTAGTATCAAATCAAATCCAATGTTAAGGACATTTCCAAATAAATAATACATTTATAATTTTTTGACATCTAAATCCAGCAATCAGGAAAATTCCCTCTATTTGAATAAGTATGAAAATAGAATAGGATTCGGTATTCTGGATTCGATTTTACTATTCTAGAATATTCTAGAATAGTAAATTATTCTACATTGCCCATCCCTACTTAGTCCATAAAATAGGGTCCTATAAATTAAAATTGGGAGTGTTCTGGAAATATTAAAGAACTGTTTGCCTGTTGTCAAAATACAACTAGTGTTACACAGTGATTTCATGAGTATTATAAGCATCAACCAACCTTGTAAAAACTTTCATGACATCACAATACTCCTGCATTATATCATGTCTATTGTCAGAATCCTCATCAAGTAGCAAAATAACAGTCATGTGACCTCGAGTTTGATTTAAAACTGCAGTTTCATAAGTGTTTGGAAGAAGTTCGCTCACTAAATCTCGTTTGTTTCGTAATCTTTAAAAATTGAATAAAATAAATAATGTCTTATGGTTGTGTTATCATTCTATTTCTGTTTACCAAAGAATTTGATATTAGTTGATTATGTTTTTTCTCAAACACATTCAGGTATAATATGAGTTTGTAGTTCATGTAGCTGTTAACTTTATATATTAAAATAGACATATTCGCTTGTTAAACGAAAAACAACCATGCATCAAGTTCAGATCAGTCTTTAACTAGCTAATGTGTGATGCAAAATCTTTAAACAAACTCATTAAAGTTCAGAAAATTATGTGGCTAAATTTGACAAAATGGAATACACAGACTGACATGCTTGTATTTCCTGATAAATTTTCCTTGCTTGCTTCATCAAGATTGATGTTTTCAACATCTTCTTCAGTTTCTGTTGTGTCACTGAAAAAAAATAAAGTAAATTAACCACAAAAATGTTATTTGCATGTACCGATATATTACTATACAAACGACCAACCTGTCATTTTCAGACTTGTAAGTCTTGCTTGCTGCAGTATACTGAAACACAATTGCATGATTAAATTGGAATAGGGCCAGTTGGCTGAAGCTGGTAAAAGACGACAGGTCATGGTGTGAGCGATTACTAAATAGCATAAAGAAACATGGTCACATTGAGAAATGTAGACCAGAACATGAGTTCTTTGATCATTAGGGTTCAAATACACTTTATCTTTGTCATACACACAACATTGAAAAAGAAACCTAAATAGAGAAAAAAATATATTGAGCATATGCATATCCAAAGCTAAAACTATTTTTCTGTGGGTTTCAACTATTCAAAGCATTCTATGCTTGATTCACCTAGACATTCGAATTTGAGCCAGAACTGGAAAAAGATTTCTTACTTTTGTCTGTTGTCGTCTTCGATTAGTGTTTCGGACATTTTCCTCTTCCTCACTGAACAGTGAAATGAATAATACTTATATTTTTTAAAAATGTTTGAATTTGAATAAAAGTGAATTAGTGCATACAAACCTTGAAAACAACGAGTGAAAGAGGAAAACGCAGAATAAAGGGAGCATCAATAATGTCATGAACTGCTTTTCACCCATTCGAGTTATATATCCATATGTAGTTTCTAGAATATCCACCATTGTTTGCAGAACTTGCAACACGAAAAACTGAAAATCAAAATCTTACACTAGAAATGTGTATGGGTATAAAAAAATATTCTCAGTCAATGAAAAAAGCATATAATATGAGATACAAAGCATTTGTTGCAAATATGACACATGATCGGCATGAATAAAATTATTTCACATTATTTTTTCTTTTTGGATTCAGGCCTGAATGCATACATAAGGAGTTGAAATTAAGCTCATAAAGTAACACCATACTAACAACTGTATGAGATTTTATGAATGCCAGGCTCACGATTGAAAAGCAGAGACCCATAATACTTTATTTAGCTTAAGCATAGTCTACCTTAAAAATTCGTTTCACACAAAATTTTCCCATAAAAAATGAAATAATACTGAAAAATTTACTGGTGCTAATTCATCAATCAGTGGTGACAATGACACAGTGCTTTGAAATCTTTGTAGGTGAGCAGTTTCCAGAGCCATTCTCAAGCAAACTTGAAATTCTTGTTTTGCAATTTTATAAGGTTGTTTTAGAAAATCAATGTCTAGCCATTTCACAGATGACATTTTATTACCACGTCTCCACAATAAAAGTAGCTGAAAAAACAACAATAAATTAACCACTCGTTGCATAAAAAAAGAACAATTTTTAGGTATTGTACATGAATATAGGCATGGAAGTTTGGCAGGAAGGTG